AGAGGCTGGCTGAGTTGGCAGCTCGACAAAGTTGAGGATAGAGTACGGAGTACTGCTGAGCATACATAATGCGCTGGACTGAAGGCGTGTGTCAAATCTAAAAACTGACCGTCCATTGGTCCTCTTTTCAAGTGTGGATCGCAGCCATACAAGCTGAACGAGAACCAGTGGGACGTGGGTCAAGTAGGATCAGACCTTATTCAAGAGGGGTAATTGCATTAGTTTAGCTGCATGTCCCGCCACACTATTACACTCACCAATACCATCGCATGTTGAATAGCTCAAGTCCATCACTCTACAACTTACAATGCGCTCTCTTTGCCAATGCAATCCCCCGCAGCATCTCATTGGTAAGGATCATCAACCCCTCATCAGCTCCGATCCCCGGTTTCGACAGCAAGAAATCCGGCCTCGTCGCCAACGCCACATGCGCCGTGATGCGAGCAGACACATCCGTCTCATTCGCAGATCCTCCCAAACAGCACCCGATCCCCTTGCCGTGGCAATACAGCACCGCATCAATGCTCTGATCGACCCCGCCCAGATCGGGCATTTTGATCTGCACGTAGTCGACCGCGTCTGCATCCGCGAAATCCCGAATGTCCTGCAGCGTATTGCACCATTCGTCCGCGACGATCCTGACATCAATGCTCTTCCGCTTTAGACAAGCATGGAGGTCCGCTAATCGCTGGATCTGCGCCTGTTTGGATGACGCAATGATCGGAGATTCGATGAGGAGGGCGTAGGGTCGTGCACGCTGACGTAGCTGGCCTAGAAAATCAGCCAGCCTCGTCGTCTCCGGGAAGACGTCTCCTAGTGTACCGTAGACATCGAAATGAAGACGGGGGTGATAGCCTGGGGGAGCGCGATCCTGGATCCTACGAGCGACGGTGTCCACGTAGTCCATTAGCACTGTACCCTGGGGACCTATATCGGAGACATGCACAAACGAGGCGTGGGGGAGCATCGGGGCCTTCTTCATGATCATTCGGTCCAGCTGGAGCGTGTCATTGCGATGGCAGGAGGCGAGAATAGCAACAGGACGATCTGCGATTGAGCCGAGACTCCACTCGTGACATATCACCTCGGCGATGGTACGGCGCTGAGCCAGTGCGGTGGCTGCAAGGAGCGCTTGCGTGAGACCATACCGAATTGCGGAGTGAAGCCTGCGACCGTGTAATTCCTTCCAGGGCAAGTCAACCCGTTTTGCATTATGCCGGAAATGCGAGATATCGCAGCTGAGCAGCCACGGCTTCACCCCGGACTCGAGGATAGGGAGGTGTTCTTCAGCAATGAAGAGGGAGTCTCGGGATGCAGCGCCTGAAAAAATGACATCAACGCTGTCTCCAACTGCGGTCCCGCCGCAAGGTAGATGCAGAATAATCGAAATAACTTGCCCGGCTTGTACGACCCTTCGGAAACCAGGTGTGCGTGGGAGGATGTTGTCACTTAAAGGATCATACGCTGGACTCCGGCGAACTGCCTCGAGATCCTTGACAAAGTAGCCGGATAGGCCAATGACGAATTGAACGTCTGTAGGCTTCATTCTGCTTGATCAAGTAGATGATGTGAATTAGTTACGGGCTACGGCAGGAGTGTACATACAGGACGCTTATATAGTGCTTCGCGCTAATTCGTGATGGATTCTGATAGATTGATGAACAGAGTCAACTCTTCACTGCGCTTGATCCCCACAACAGCAATATTCCTGGTGCGGTTGATCAGAGTCTAAGATCTAATCTGGTTTTGGAGAATACTTCCATCCACAGGAGGCGGTCTAACATCATGCCCTAATCATGCAGGGTGCTTATATTACTGAGTTTTCGGCTACTGCTCTTTTTCGATTTCTGGATTTAAAAAACTAATGATCCGGAAATAACACAGGATACCACTTAGATTGGGTCTCTAACATATCTTGACTGACTGAGTCAATAGTCAATCCCCTTCTGCATCACTAGCTATCAGAGCGCTCCAACTAGTGAGAAGAATTGAGGATTAAGAATATGCTTCTCAAGAGCTTGCAGTAGAGTATGATCGTGTTTTCAATCAGCCGGGAAGTGGAAATCTGCTTAATGTGTTTGTGGTTGGAACTATATTATACGATATATACAGTATGAACTCGGTATAGGTACATTAGAACCGCCTGTCCCCGACAAAGTCAAGCTTCAACCAACCTCAGCTTCATCTCTCGCTTCCAGCCCTTCATCCCCAGTGTGATAAAGACCACCCCGTTCCAGAACCCTCTCAGCGATCCCATTGCCCCGACAGCCAGCAGCAACGGATAGGAAACATGGCTCGGGTCTACAAGGGCGGATAATCGATTGATCGTCGGGGCAACCCATGTGGCCAGCAGGACGAGGAAGAAGACCATTGGCATGAGGATGTATTGTCTGAAAGATACGTTGGAATGCTTGAATCGTTTCTGCCCTGGGGTGACGTTGTGGGAGGAGGGGTCGTTGCGCGATGGTTGGGGCTTTGGCTCGCTCGGGGAGGGATAATCATGGGCGGCGGGCTGGGATTGAATGTCGATTTGGACGGTGACAGCGACGGTGTTTTTGGGCTGGTCAAAGGCCTGATTGTTGCTGGAAATGTTGGAAGAGAGAGCGATGTGGTCCGTATGGGAGATATTGAACTGGTGCCGCAGTTTGATTACTTTGATGCCGACGAGGATGTAGAAAAGTAACACGGTTAGGATTAGGAACCTGGAAGAAGGGCCGAGTCAGCAAGCTCAAGTAGGAGCTATAGGTCCATTAGAAGAGAAGGATATATACCATATCGGTCCGTAGTAGAACACGATTCGGAAGACAACCCAGTTGGGAGATATCGAACACCAGAGCTAGAATAGTTAATATCAGCGGAATAGAAGGAGAAACAGACGCTAACTTACAGTTACGCCACCGTACATGGGCCCCTTCTCCGGTGTATGAATAAAGAAAAAGATAATCGCAGGAGTAGATACAAGGGATGTAATGATAGCAATATACCATATCTCAAGCTTGCGCAAGGCCCGCACGTCGAACTGATAGTAGACTACCAGGAAAACGTCGCAGGCCATCGCAAGAGTCCAGAGGACATCTGCCATAGGAAACCTGTTATAAAGTTAGAGCAGTTCTCCGTCCATCAGCTATCCATCGAATGGTAGAATAGCTTATCGGGACATACATCTGGAGACAAAAGCCCTGAAACTGGCACAAGGGCGAGCTGTTGCCTGCCGCGGGCCCACTTGTCGCGATCATCGTTGCAATAAAGTCAAACAAGTTATAAAATGCATTGATAAAGATCAGCCGGTGCATTGGATTGCGAAAATGCTGCGAAAAGGCAAATGTGCCGATGATCGTGATGACTCCCAGGATGGAGAGAATCGAAGCGACACGTTCGACAGTAGTCAAGGTGCGAAGTTGCGCTTCAGTGAGGGCCATGGCGGATGTGACGAGGTCATATGGAACTTGATCTCTTGGAGGAAGTGGTCCTACAAAATCATTGATCACATATCTGCTCAGCAGATTGCATGTGGCATGCAAAATCAAAGATGAAGCAGGTTAATATCAGTTCCACATGTTGGGAATAATCTAGCGCATGCTACTAGACCCTCGTCCTGTTTCTAACAGCACAACGATGCTGAGGAGGAGGGAAAGTGCAGAATATACCATTCTCTCTATCTACTGGACAAGATGAAATGGTAAATCGCACCACGCTATGGCGTCATTTGTACCCGATTTGATGTATATACGACTTGTCCCGCTCTAGCCTTTTGTTTGCTTTTTTGGTTGTCCTCGTTGGTTTTCTGTTCAGAAGCGAGTCAATCAAATAATCATCGGTTGGAGAATCATTTGGACTCCACGTAGTTCTGCTCGCCTAAGACTCGAAAACCCGTGCGTGATCTCAATTATTTACCCGCCATGAAATCGTGCCGAAAAGCTTATCAAGACCGCATCGCAGCAGCGGGAGGAGTCTGCTTGAAACACTGCACGCCGTGACAATTACAGAGCTTAGAGGCGAGATTTGGACAGAGACGCGAGAAGCGAAACTTGCGTAGGAACCATCAACATGATTTGAGATCCGTTACCTGTACGCTGATCCATGGCAGGTTTCTTCACTATGGTTGGATAACAAGGCTTAGTCTAACATGAACCCTGTTCTAACGTCATTCATGGCGCTGCTTCTGTCATACTTCTGACCGAATCTGATTCAAAAGTCGATCTTGGCAACCCCTGACATGATGCGTCATCTTGATCAACAAGCATTCAATGGCCTCTCTGTTCCGGCTGCCGCGGAACCCCAAAATTGTCGGAATCCATGGCAGCTCCAACGGTTATAGCCTCACAGTTTATGTGGGTCATATTGACCATCCAGGGCCAAGTAAACGCGACTGAAGAAAAACAGACTGACGCGCTATCATTTAGCCTTGAATTCAGGGTTACTGCTTGGTTTTGATTCTGTCAAAATGACCAGAATGGTGCATCCGCACAAGTCGGCCAAGATGAATCCAGGGTCTTGTTCCTCCAGTTCGTGACGATTTCCGCCTGAGAATAGACTTTTTATCTATCATTAGCTGTCTGGAACATTGACATGTTCTAATGTACGTATATAGGTGGTATCAAGAGGTATGCAACTTTGAAGCGACTCATGACACCCTGTCAGCAGAGGTGGCGCTGCAGTCACCAGGATTTCTGTCACCTTCCAGAAGGAACCCCTCTATACACTATAGAATGTATTTCTCTGTATGCTCGCATTTGATGTTCATCGTACTGCCCATAGATCTCTGTTTTGATTTAGGGTTGGGAATGTGGAGATTTCTGTGGCTCATACAAAGTGCCGTCTTGGCGCGGGGCCGCGAAGAAATTTTTCCCCTGGATTTGATGAAATCTCCACTGCAAGACCACCAAAATAGGTTCAGCTAAGCATCAGTTCAGCTCTTCCTAAATACTCGAATACCCTATAGAGGAAATTTACCAAAATTAACGGATCGAGCTGGATCATACAGGTCATAGCAGTACGAAATGAACCCCCTGCGATATCTGGCCCCTCCCCGCCCCTTTGGGGACATCTCAAACTCCACCCAGGAGGAGATCGAGGGGAGAGAGTTATTTGCGAGTTGTCTCTTAAGTAATTCACACATGAGCATGTCAGATTCAGACAGAGATGCCATCCGCGCATACAGAGATGCATGCCGCCGTCTTGATATCGGGGACAGCCAGACGCGCGAAAACGACATGCAAGCTGTGAGAGAATACGAGCAATCGCTCCAAACCAACGGACCAGCGAATCTTTGTTTTGATCTGGCTACCAGGACCAAGATGGGTGAAGAACTCGATAATCTCCATGATATGTGGAGCTATGTCCGTTATGAAAAGTACCTCCCCGCCACGGTCAAGGAGGATGCGGAAAAGCATCCCTCGTCTAAAGTCTTGGACCCCTGGCACAAGGCCTTCTGGAAGCCATTCTATGGGCGCCTCGAAGCCGAGGCAGACGCGTGGGCTCAAATCATGTCGGGCAAAAACCACCTCAACGAATGCCCGACATACCTCCTGCTGGCCCTGTTGTGTGAACAGCAAACCATGGACTGGGATGAGGCCGTCGCGCTGATCAGATACTGCGCCGTGGAGGGTGTCGAACTCCCGAAAGCGGATTTTGTGGATTACTTGAAAGCCAAAGATGTGACTGGTCTCGCGAAGAGGCTGGAACTCGATATGAACACTATCGCCTTGTCTACGGAGTATGTCATGGGCGTTGGCACGATGCTCCTCGCCTACTTCAGGATGCATCTTCCTGAAGCGCTGTATGAGTGTGAAGATGATCTTGAACCGGAAAGATGGGTCCCTAAGAAGCGATTGCACGATTTGATGGCGCTCCAGGACGGACACGAGCAAGCGGTCCAGGAGTTAATCCGGGAGATCTTCTATGAGATGGTCCTCGGCGGATCTGATGATGACGACGAGGAGGGTTGGGACGATGACGATGATGATACAGATGAGGACGAAATCATGGATGAGGCTGATTGATGGTGATGTTGGCGGTCGTGCCTTGATGTCCTCCCTGCGTGGTTGTTATGGTCCTGATGGTTACATCGACAACCTACAGGGGCAATAGAGAGGCTGCGGAATATCAATGGGGTCTGTTGGACTCGGAGTGATTATGGGCGGTTCATTTTTTTCAAAAAAATTTCTTATTTTCATGATCCCATGTCGTCTTCTAAGACCCTACGCAAGATGAAGCCATGTCTGATACCCTCTGTTTAAAAAGTCTTCAGTTGCGCAGTCCCAAAACACCAATATTCTATGTGACACTTCCTGTGCATCTTCAGCTTTCAAGTTCTTCGCTGTAGGTCAAACCCGCTACCACTGAGAATCGTCTTATATTGGCGGGGAACAGATTAGGTCTGGTGCCCCGCTAAATATTTCGACCCTTTTCCTATCAATTGTCAGACTGCGATTTGAATCTACTCAAAGCAACCCCTACTCTATTCATTAGTCCTTCACAGAAGACAGTCTCTTTCTTTTATAAAATGGCTCTCCTACCTCAGCAGAGCATCCGAGTGTCTATCCCAGAACCCCTCCCACCAATAATTACCCCTAGACTGTATCTTCGGCCCCTGGCCGACTCTGATGCAGAGGGCTTATTCGCTATCCGGTCAAGACCTGAAGTTGCCAGAACAAAGTAAGTACCCACTAATCTCCTTCCATGATCAAAAATGATCAAGAGACTGACAATGATCGTAAGCGACCCCAAAATCCCTCATCGAACGGTCCAAGAAACGAGGGAATGGATGGCCACGAAGATCTTTACTGCTGGGCCTGAGAGTGTCCTCGGTCGTCACTTTACGTACGTTCTCATTGAACGCGGACTATCAGAAAATGAGACTCAGCCACCTGCCGACAAACAGGTCATTGGCTACATGAGTATCAATCAAGTATATCCCAGCCCTGAGATTGGGTATTCGATCCATCCTGATTACTGGGGCAAGGGGTATGCGACGGAAGCTTTGGATGGACTACTGAAGAAATGGTGGAACTTACCTCGTCAGCCTCAGTTGAACTCTGCAGAAGACGGGAGTGAACCGACTGAAAAAGTCTTTGCCATCTGCGAGAAGAGTAACGCGGGCTCGAGCAAGGTATTGAGCAAATGTGGATTCAGGGTGATTAAGCAGGAGGTGTATGACGAGGATGAATTGTTGCTGTGGGAGTTAGAAAGGTCGGTACTTAAGCACACGTGTCCGTGAAGTGTAGCGGTCAAGGATCTCAAATGCTCACGCTGTTAAAGCTATTCAACATAGTTTCAATGTCAGAAACATGTTATCATCACTACTCTTATATTCCCCAAAAGGCCCGCAGACCTCAAACCCCATCCCCAGATACAACCGCCGAGCGCTTTCAAACCTCCCGTCCGTCCCCGTCTCCAGACTCAACGAGTGGTACTTCCTCTCCCTCGCTTCGGCAATGATATGCTTCAAAGTAGCCTTGGCAACGCCTTTCCGCAGGTGTCCCTGCGCTGTCCGCATCGATTTGATCTCTCCATGAGTCGGACTCAGCTGCTTTAACGCGCCGCAGCCTAATAGACTGTCGCCCTCCCAGGCGGTATACAGAGTAATTGACGGGTTCCGGAAAGCGGTTAGGTCTAGCGCAAACGATGTCTCAGGGCGACCTTGGCTTCGAAGCTCAGTGAAGTGGTGCTGGAGCAGATGCTGGACCTCTGGATAGTCAAGAGTATCGGATTTGATGAGCATCGTTGTCATTTCAACCCGTGCTATGTAATCTTTAGAAGCGATATGCTGCTATGATGGATGTAGATGGTAGTCAATGGTTCTAGCTGTGGCAAATTGTCATGATCTAGAGAGGTGTGTGCAGAAATCAGGTTAAACCAGGGTGATCTATAGAATTAGCAGAGTGGACAATTTTGGAGTGTCAGGAGATACTGACATGTCTTCAATCTTTGGCCCTTTCTTCGGGTCCTTATCTATGAGTCACCAAATTGACAAATACGAGCACCCGTTGAATTCAATGATTGCTGCCCCAAAGAAGCCAAAGCTCCTGAGCTGCCTACGGGGACTAACCTGACGAAAGATTCTAGCATTCAAGACGTTCCTCGAAGAAATAGACGGATGCTGTCTGATAGCAGTTGATAAGGATCTAAGTTGAGGAAGGCATGAAGATACACTCTATGTCCATCGTCATAATCAGATATCAAGAACTCGAAAGCCTAATTCACACAATAAAATGGCCTGAGCATACGGGAGATATTCAAGGCGATCATTGGATAGTAAAGCCGCCATCAACTCTGATATCCGCGCCATTAACCATACCGCTCGAATTCTATACCTCAGTCAGCATCACGTCACTTCGAATTCCTCTTTGACAGACCTACCTGACAAAGAAAGACAGCAGCATCCGCAACCTCCTCAGGAAGCGCAAACCTGCCGGTGGGAATAGTCTTCAAAAAGGCCTCCCGCACCGAGTCCTCCCCCCAAGCCTTCTTCCCGAGAGCCGTCCACGCCACTGTGGGTGACACAGAGTTGGCGGTGATACCTCGTCGACCCCATTCCGACGCCATACTGCGAGTCAATCCTAGCAAGGCAGCCTTGGAAGCGCAATACGCCCCATGTCGCGGCAGTGCCACATGCGCAGCTTGCGATGCAATGTTGACAATTCGGCCGGGCGGGGACGGATTCGCGGATGATTCTGCAGTCTTAGAGGCGGCAAAGTAAAGTCGCGCAAAGGCCTGCGAGCACAGCATTGGCCCAAGGACATTGGTGGTCAAATGTTTCATGGTTTCCTCTGGCGGAGTCATCTCCATGTCACTAAGCGAGACATATCCGGCAGTGTTGATGAGTATGCTTGGAAAGACCACGTCGCTCTGGGTTGATGAAGACGGTCTGATAATTTCCCGCTCTAGAGTACTAAAGGCCGACTCGACTGATGATGGCGAAGTAATATCGCACTCATAGGTACGAATTGCGTCGCTGCGTCCTCCATAGCCGGATTCGAGAAGCTCCTCTCGACGGGCAGCTTCAAAAGGGGCATAGAGGATGGCGAGGTGAGCGCCCTGTTCTCTGAGCTTCTTGCCTATGGTAGAGCCTAGCCCGCCTATATGGGATATTGTGTCAATATGCATTGATTTCTGGTATCGAAGTGTCCATCGGTGTACCTAGACCTCCGGGGAGGATAGCTAATCTGCGAGCGAAAGCCATTGCGGCCAGGATGTGTTGCAAACTTGTCAATTCTGTTACGCGTTACGCGTGACCTAAAAGAATCAATTGAATTAGTTTATTAATCTTCCATCGAAGCCTTAACTCCTCCTCAGCCACGGGACTGTGACTCTTTAGGCAATGAGCACCATGATGGATCGGCGCATCCCCGATATGACGTCAGGCCGCGGGGAAGCCCTAATAGCAACTAGAATACGAGAGGAATATGTGTGCCAAAAATAAGAAGAAAAAAGCTCGAAAAGCGCGGAAGCTGGGATCGCTATCCGATAGCTTAATTGATAACCACCCCACCACCGAGGCTTTTTCTAGTTGTAGCTACTGCTGACTCACAAGCGGGGTAAAACACTAGTTATCATCTCGGGAGAAAGGCGGCCAGCGTACACTCAAGGATACTCCAGATACAAAACTTGGTATCAGTGACTACCTCAAGCTTGTGACAGGAAGTCACTAAATAGCATCTGGCAATGCCACCAAAGGCCCGCGTGCTCTTAGTTGGAGCTGGAGGAATTGGGACCATTGCCGCACTCAATCTTGAGCGCGGAGGATTAGCCGAAGTCACCTGTGTCTTGCGGTCTAACTATGAAGCCGTCAGAAGCCAGGGAATTGAAATTATCTCGTGCGAGCACGGTCATATAAAAAACTGGCGGCCGACTGCAGGTTTGCAATCTTGCTTTTACGGAATGGCATGGCGTGGCTAACGGAGCACTCCAGTTCTCAATGTGATTCCTCGCGTCCGTAAGGAGGACAGTAGCACCCTCTTCGACTATATTATCTGCACCACCAAGAACATCCCAGAAGTCACACCCTCTATATGCGAGATTATCGCCCCCGCAGTGACTCCGGGCCATACAGTGATTGTCCTCATTCAAAATGGACTAAACATCGAAAAGCCATTCCTGTCTCATTTCCCGCAGAATGTCATTCTCTCAGGTGTGAGCCGATGCGACGCTCATGAAATCGCCCACGGAGTGATCGAACAGAAAGAGGAAGATGACCTGCACATTGCCGCCTTTCGCAACCCGCTTCTCGAGCCAGATACCCAGCAAAAGACTGCAGAGCAATTTGTGCGTATCTATGGTGCAGGAGGCAAGACTAACGTGCGTCATGAGCCAAACTGGGAGCGAGATCGCTGGAGCAAGCTGGTGTATAATGCCACCTTGAATCCCATCTGCGCGCTGACAGGGGTCAATACGGGAGATTTACAGATTGCGGGGAGTGCTCTTGATCGCCTGGTTATTCCGGCTATGCAGGAGGTGGTGAAAGTATCTAAGGCTGTGGGGGTTGAACTACCTGACGATATCATTGAGACGACGATTCGTAAGAATCCTATGGAGAGGAAGATTGCTCCAAGCATGCAAAAAGACATGGAAAAGGTATGTGCACACTTATTTCTCCATAACTTTGGGGACTCACAATAGCAGGGCAATCTACTTGAGCATGAAAATCTCATTGGTGAGGTGGTTCGCGAAGCACAGAAACAAGGTGTTGCCACACCTGTCTTGTCTGTTCTGTACGAGCTCTGCTCCGCTATTCAGTGGAGGGTGGCCAAGGAGAAAGGCATTCGAATATCATAACATTCAATCTTCGTGTGCATGAGACTAGGGCAGCAGCCAAATCAAATGGAGGGGCATCAGACGGGAGTCTAGCTGCTTTAGGGTAGCACACCTAAAATGCCAAGCATGACTCATTTTGGCTCATTATGATCCTTTATGATCCATTATGATCCATGCAAGTTATGCTGTTCACAAATTAATCAAAAATGGAGAAAAGAAGGTCGAAGTATTCTATATAAATATTGTAGACTCTGCAGACTTGCATCATCATCAACCCAAATCACACCATCTCATCTCCTCTTGATCATTGAAGCTGGTTCTTCTAGTTCAACCCGTCAAAATACATCTTCTACCTAGTACACGGTCCACATCTTACCAGATCGCCATAATGGAGTCCAATTCCAAGCCTACCATCCTCTTCTATGATATCGCCTCCGCCCCACCCGTCACTTGCTATGCGCCGAACCCCTGGAAGACAAGGTTCGTCACATTCATTATCTACCAAGCACATAAGCTAAGATGCAACAGATACGCCCTCAACTTCAAACAAGCCCACTATAAAACACAATGGGTAGAACTGCCCGACGTTCCCACTGTGCGCATGAGATTTGGCATCCCAGCCAACAGAGTCCTCCCCGACGGCAGTCCCTTCTACACCCTTCCCATCATCAAAAACGAATCGACTGGCGAACTTGTGGGCGATTCGTTCGAGATTGCCCAGTACCTTGACAGACTCTACCCCGAGGGGCCGAGATTACTCCCTCCTTTGACTGTGGGCCTGATCTCCGCATTCAATTCCCAGGTCGATGCTGTCTTCACCCAGCATTGCGTGCTCTGTGTTCAGGGGATGCCTTTCAATCCTGCGACAGCGGAGGAGTCGAAAGCGGCGTTTGCCAAGCGAGCGGGCAAGGAGCGCTATGAGGATCTGATGATCACCGGAGAGGCGAGGGCTGGCATGCTCAAGAGCTTCCAGAATGCGCTGGGAGAGCTGGCAAAGGCGTACCGCCGGACGGAGGGCCCGTTTCTTGACGGTGATACGCCTACGTATGCCGATTTCATTGTAGGTAGCTGGTTGAAGTTTTACAAGAAGACGATAGAGGAGTGGGAGCAGTTGTTTGGTTGGCATGATGGGTTATGGGGAGAGTTACATCGTGCGCTGGAAAAGTATGCAGAGGTCAAATAGGTATGAAAATGTCTATATCAGATTCATCGCTTCATCATAAATTAGACGGCATTAGTGACGTCTCGGGGGAAGAGGAGGAGCTGGAAGCTCGGGATGAACTGGCGCGGGACCAACGGCCGGCTGTTGCTGTTGCTCAGGATGCTCATCATCGGGAAACCCCTGGAAAATCAATCAGAGTTAGTCAATAAAATGCATGAGGCTCGGTCAGCTCACATTCAGCAGATACTCCACGGCGCGATCGGGGTTGAACGACGCCGCTCTCATGGCTCGATCGATATCGATTCTAGCAAAGCCCATGCTCTCCATCTGCGCCACGACGGCCTCTTCGTTCTGGACGCCATCTAAGTGTACTGAACGGTCGTTGAAGGTAGCAGGAGTTTCAGTAGCCGTCTGAGCCGGGGCGGCCAATGCCCCGTGTGCCATGAGATTCGAATTTGCCAGATCCTCGGGCGCGATATCACTCGGACTCGGTCCCGTCGGTACAGCAACTCCAGAGGGAGTCTGATCAAACTGCTTGTCACCCTGGGCTGAATGGAGAGTATGCGTCAACATCCTGACAGACGCGTTCTCCGTCCGGACGTGAGCAGCCATGATCTCCTTGACAGTCACCTTGCGCCCATAAAACCGCTCATTCTCGTCATTGCGCTCAATGAGAATCGTCCCGTCAATCTGTGCCCCCGCGTAGAAGCCGCGACTCTTGACGTACGACCAAATGGGAGCCTGTCGTTTGTGCACTTCCGACTCCAGCACCCCTCCCATGCCAACCGGCCCAGCCGCGACGGAGATCTCGCTTCCCAGCGTCACTCGCACTTTGGTGAACGCCTCCAGCGCCTCGTACGTATTGATGACCATGACGCAGTCGTAGATGTCTATGCCAGCCAGGAAGCCGAGACCAGCGGTATGCAGCAATATCCCTGACGGTGCACTCCATTCCCCCGTCTCGGGCACGCGAGCGATGAGGATCCCACTCCCACCAGCGCCGCTGAACCACAGTCCCGTTCGCATGGCCGTGAAGATGGCAATCCCCTTCGCCTGGCGGATCACCTCCGCAGGAATCTTCTGCAGAACCTTGGGTTTACCCCGTGGTTTGTCAATCTTCCCGTCGGGTGTCTGTTCCCGGCTTGCCACGGTCGCATCGTCGGCAACGTATACTCCTTCCTTACAGAAACTGCGCAGGATCCGAGCGGCCTTTTCGCTTTCTTTGTCCAGCGTCATGGGCCAGAAGGCTTCGGAGCCAAGTTTGTTGCTTAGCCGGTTGACCGGGGCGCCGACTTTGTCAAGGGCGTCCCAGGCTTTGTCGAAGCCTTTTTTGCCGTAGATCCATGCTTTGTTTTGTGTTAGGGACTTTTTGGTCCCGGCGCTTGGAGGAGATGGGGATGTAGTTTTGGTATTATTTGCTGTTGAGGACATTTTGAGCTGAGTTGGTTTTTTGTATGGTGTTGATATTTCTTTGTCCGAGGAACGGACAATTATATAGAGTGATGCCGATCAGTAGCACCAGGCAGAAAGATAAAGCCATCGACATCATCAGCAGCTGCGGGACAGACATAGATTTGATAGCAGACAAGCAATAATAAGCGTGGCGAGCCAACCCACTTGCTCCAATGATGCGTGATGATTCGGTGCGCGATGCTATGGCTGTGCTGGCATCAAGGCAACGACATAAATTTCCTTGGTTGCTGATGGTTGATGCTGCGTTGGTGCTATAGATGAATAAGCTACACCTTAACTAAAAACCGACTGCTTTTGAATTAGGTTGAGCGACTTTAGTCTAAGTTATATAGAGTAGTCTTATAACTATCAGTGATAAAATGTTTTATTGCCAAAAATGAAAAGTATGGTGCTCGCACTTGGATTCGAACGAGGTCTCATCATAGATACACAAAAAGAAAAAGAAATGCTCACAAGCGGATTTGAACCGCTGACCTCATGATTACTAGTCATGCGCTCTACCAACTGAGCTATGCGAGCTCGTTGAGGAAAACAGTCAGCACTTTTGCTTTATCAACCAAAACCAGCAGAAGCCAAAGATGTTCCTGTGGGTACCATGAAGACCATGATGAGTCCATGTCGAAACATGGGGCATGCCATGATCCTCGTATTCGTATGTTTATCTGAAACGGGCTATACTCTCCGTATATCAAAAGTCAAGAACTCGGCTTTTCTCCGTACTGGCTATATATGGTATATACCGTTATACCCTCCCCAATTCTGGACTCCACCTCGTTATTCGAATATGCTAGCTATGTGTGATCGTAATGAGTGATATCCTGCCAACTCTTGTCACGGTATCGTGTGCTCGATATTCAGTGCATGACCGTTTTTCGATAAGCAGAGTATGTCCGGCAGGTCCGTCAGAAAACGCAGACTTCACCTGAGACTGTAGCGTAATAGTTCCCGCAGGAATAACTGTCCACAAGCGCTGAGAAGAAGGACCGTAAGACTGGAATACCAATCGGCATTGGTGTGACAATGAATATGAACCGAAGAATTTCCGTGTCTCACTTTGTCGTTAAACAGCCAAGTTAGCAAGCCAAGTTAGTGGTGGAGAATCTACATAGATGGCTCGTTTCAGGATAATTTGCCGGAGCATAACTCGCTCTCGCATAGATTGCGAATATGGATTCTCTGCCCCCTGAAGCAGTCGTAGAACATTTAAAGTCCAATCTCTGCACGTCAAAGGAATGCCACCAAGAACAAAATTTTCAGTGCTTAAGTTGAGTCTCTTTGTACCATCAAAATGAAGCTTGTTCTTAGTTTCCTCCTCCCTACCCTGGGCCTATCTTCCTCCGTCATCAAACGTGAAGACACCTGGGGCGGCAGCGTCTCTCTCGGTCCTACCAAATCCACCATCGTCAACGCCGTCACCACCCTCATCCCCGGCGCGGCGCCTGCAACTCAAAGCGGCGAGCTCTTCCTCTGGCCCGGGATGAGCAACGGCACCGGCGATCTCGTCCAGACGACGCTGGAGAGCTGGCCCAGCAATGACTGGTGCGGTGCGAAGACAGGCCAGTGGTGTGTAAGGGCCAGTCTGTTCGGCAGCTTTGGACAGTTGGATGGGGACGCCAGCCCGGTGAGCGGGACGGATCAGGTTCGCATCGAGTATACTTTGTTGGATGATCAGGAAACCTGGGTGCAGTATGTATATCGCACTAACGGTAAGGATGTTGGCTAATTGGGACAGGAATGTGACCAATGCGCAGACGGGCAAGGTTCTCTCGACCTTCTCGCACAAGTCTGGGCCTTATATGACTGGGTGAGTTTTCGTTCCCGAAGTTGTAGGAGTAATGCTGATCGAGTAGATATGGCACTGGAACTGAGTGTAACGGTGGCTGCACAGGCACTGTTGCAGAGCAAAAGTACCTCAATACCAAGATCACTCTGGCCTCGGCTGATACTACCTTTGGCAACACCATTGCTTCAGCTGCCGGTGCGACGTACTCTGGCTTGAGCTCGAGCGAGGGAGGAAAGGTGTGGACAATCGAGAGCATCACCATTCCCGCCATGTCGAGCTCGTAGAGTGAAGGTTATAGCTCACCTATCTCGCCTAGTGCACCTCATTCAGCACAGAATCTTTTCTTTTCCTTCCTAGATAGTATCAATATCATCAGTTATTAACTCTTCCCTTTCAGAGTAGACAGCTCCGCGCGGGCAAATGAAGGGCTATCCAGGAGCAAGATATATCAATGTATACATTCGAAAACCTATTTACCCATCGAATATCCATATACAGTCGAGACCGAACAACTCAACCACTGTAATCCACCTCCACCACCAATCTCACCGCGCCAGCACTCACACTACCCCCGATACCATCAACAGACGCCTCTGCCGCCGTGTACGCATTCACCACCTTGGCCGCATTAGTCGTGATATACGAGCAATCACCCCCTTTATGATCACAGATCCTCATTCCCTGCACCGTCAGACCCGCATTCTGCGCCTGGATAGCAGACACATCCCACCCTGACCACTGAGCGTTATCGGTATTCCCAAAATCAAACTCGCCCCAGGTACAGGCGTACCCGCCGTACTCATCCGTCGGCAGCGAATCGCCCGCAGCGGCGCCCCATCCGCCCTGCGAGTTCTCATCAAAGGCAACGTACTTGGTCTGGCCAGCCGCAAGGCTGAAATTGAGCGCCGAGTGGCCGTACCACCCGTCCAGCTTGCCGTCGGGGCCAACCTTGTTCCAGAACGAGACGAACCAGTTGTTGGTGTTGCTGCCTGTGAATTTCGCAACGTACTTGTACTGTGAGGCTGTGGAGGCGGTCACCTCGATGATGTTGCTGCCCCAGGGGCTGCCGACGTTGCCGATGTACTCGATCCCTGAGCCGGAGGAGCTGGTGCGTTGGCCAAAACCAGAGGTGGAGTACACGCCATTTGAAGGGGTGGACGTCCAGCTGACGCTGTTGCCGGAGCTGCTGGTCGCCGCAGACACTGTGGCGCTGCTGGTGCTAGTGCTAAACGTAGTCGCTGTGCTGGTAGTGGCCGAAAGAACATCCAGAAGGTTCACAGCGACGTCGAGGTTGACGCTTGCGAGAGGCTGGCTGTCAGCAGTGGAAGTCTCTGCGGCTGCCGCGGTGGTAGTTGGCTTGTGGGCGTGAGGGCGTCGCGTGATAGTGGTGTACAAGGTGACAACCTCGAGGTTGACGATAGTTTTGGTGACCGCCGGGTTGGCTTGAGCGTCAACCTCTCTGGCCTTCAATTCTGCATTATGAGCAAGATGGCGACGACGATGAGCATGCTCGTGTGCATGGTGTGCTCCAGCCATGGCCGAGCCAGCGGTGATGGCTGTCAAAAGGAACGACTCCCATTTCATGACGAATGGGCCAATCTAGCTCTGCTTATATCAAAGGAGTGACTAATAATCAATGGATTCGGGGCAAACAATGAAGGAGTGGCAGTGATGGTGATCCCGTGGAAAAGAGTGTTGAGTGCGATATATGAATGAATGACTGTCGGATGAAGACTCCTGAATCTCGTCAAGTGGGACCAGCGCCAACGAACAAAGACGTGAACGCCTATAGGCAAGACGTATGGCCAAGACAGTTATCGTCAGCGCTCGACAAAGCGGACATATTGGACAAACGCTTGTCTAGTCAATTGGTATTCATCAAGAGCCCACTCGGGTCAAGCCCTAGGATGGTTGATCCGTCGAGCGTACAGAATTACAGAATATGAAACGGACTGCCCCACCCCATCAGGAGCCTAACGGTGTCGAGACGACTAACTAGCTGAATAGATATAGTCTGCGCTGTTCTAGATCTAGGCTTTGTTGATTGTTGATAGTCATGGAACCAACATACCATCCCTACTTAAGCGGGGCCCCTCCTTGCGTCGTCAACATTCTCAGCCACTCAGAACCAGGGCATGCACAATGCCATAATGAAAAGATCTTGAATCTTCCATGTGGTTATGCAGGAGGATTGACCTGATTCGTGGCTGGTATCTGTTCAACAGCGTTACCATGTTTGTCTTGCAGTGGCATCTCCGGGCGTAACCTTATGGCAGGGCGGTGGGATTTCCAAGTCTTCAAAAATTCGACCAGTGGCCTAGATGCTATGAATTATATTAGTTTGGCACTGAGCAGAATAACAATCGATGTGTTGCCCTCGTAGTTCTCTTACTCCCTCTACTTATCACGCCCTTAATATGCTGATGCTCCCACCTCATAGCAACTTTTAACCCACACGGGTATTTTTCCACTGGACCTATACTTTTCCAAACGCACAAAGTATCGGTTGCCATGTCTTGACCATACAATAATGAGGGATGTGAAATTGTGCCGTTTCTTCAAAAAGAAAATGGGAGTGGATCCGTCACTTACGTATACAACGGCTCTAATGAACGCCCTCGACCCGCTAACAGCAGCCACTGGCTTGAGGCAAAACTTTAGATCGGGATGACGAATGCTTGGTACTATTGACTAGTCTAGCCCATGTCTAGGCAAACACGTTGTTGATGATGCGGAAAATAAATCAGTTTGAGAAGGGCTGCTCTCAAGATACGTAGGCTCAGTACGCTGGTGAATGAAGCTGATTTCGAACATAGCCATAGCGTCGCATCATGGGGTTGCTTTTATGAAGTGGCAATCCCTATGGCTAAATAAGTGGCATTTCATACCCACAGATCAATTGAATCGGCACATTAGTCCAGGAATAGCCGCTGTGAGGGTGAAGTTCCGGGCCAGTGTCCGAAGCCGCGTATCTGCATACGTAGGTCTTTCAATTGCGGATTTACTCAGACGACTAGATAACTTACTATGCTGATTTCAGTATCTCATGTTTGAGGCTTTCGTGCCCGGCACCACATGCATCAAATTCTCATACACTCCGTGCTACTAGAACGTTTAAAATAATCAAATGGCAGCATGGCGTGATTTAAGTATGGACAGTCAAGTGAATATCTCGTGCCGGATGTTTGATATTCATAAGGAAGGCCGTGCTAAGACATTTAGGATGCGTTCGTTCGGCAGACTATGTTGCTGTAGCTGACAAGGAGCAAATAACGCCATTAATGAGTCAATCTATCTGGAAGATCAGCACAACAATAACTCATAAAGCTACGAGTGCGGTACCGGAATGCCAAATTCTTGATTCTAGTCGGGAGAAGGATAAACCAGGCTAGCCATCACCCCACAGCCATATGTCAGCCGGTAGCTCCTCGTCCTCTGCCCCAGGAACCAAGCTGTTCGCGTTCAGCTCATCCGTTGCCGAGAGCATATGGTTCAAAGATAGTCCGAAATCCCGCCAGTCGAACAGAAGCTCCTCCTCTTGTACCACTGTCACTGTGGCTGCAGGAGTCGGACCGAGGCCTTCTGCATCCGGACCCAGTCCGCGGTGCTGCTCTTGAGCCACAAAACCTCTTTCGTTAGTCGTCCCAATAAGAGGAAGTCCCGGATCCTCTTCGGGGCGAGTGGTCTCTGGCCGTATAAGTGGTTGCACCAACTCTTCGAGAAGCTCAATCTCCGATCTGCGAAGTTGAGCGACTCGGTTTCCCCGGGCGATCATCTCGTCTAACAGACTGAAGGCCATATCTCGGAAGCTCTGGTCTGGTAGTGTGCCCGGCAAGACGGCGGAGATCAATGAGAGGATAAAAAAGGACGAGAAGAGGTTCTCGAGGTCGAAGGGGAGAAAACTTTCTGTCTTGCTGTTAGGCCACGGACCAGTCGGGGGCATTGAGACTAACCAAGGAGATTCTGGTCTCGCAGGGCCGTTAGTATCTTCAGTGATCTGAGTGCTGAATCGATACACGCTTGGATCAGGGTTCGAACGGGGGAGGAGAGACTTCGGAAGACGTCGCCGTCTTCGAAGCAGCTTAGTCGTTCCCAGAGCAAACTTAGGATGAGTGGACGAGCGGTGACAATGATGCACTGTTTCCATAAGCCACCTAGGCATGATTAAAGGAATAACACGCACCGAATGACATGAAAGTGTCAACCGAGTGGTCACGCCAGAAAGAGTATCCACCGAACTCGAGAATCGATGAGCAAAAACCTCCTCCAATTCCCGCGACAGTTCGGTCATCTCATGCAGTATGGAGCGTATTCCGTGAAGGAAGGCACCGCCCAACTTCCCGTTTGCGCTGTACACCGCTGTGGCAACGTCAGCCTGTTCTTACCAGCCGGCAGGTCACTTACTATTCAACACCCGCGTGATAACCTGTGTGATCCTGACATGAAGGCTCAAGGCTGCTGTCTCTTCAGAGGAGCTCTTCGGGTCCCACAGGACGGTGGTCACATCCTCATCATTCACCGAGGCCGGCGACCCGATCAATGAAGAGAACTTGCGGTCGAGAATGTATACCGTCCACCAGATCTTAGTACACCGTTGGACGCGCTTCTCTCCAAGTTGCTCGACTGGAAGAGCACGGTGCAAACCTTCCACCAGAGCCACACGCATGGCATGACCGATCTGCGCTCGTCAGTTGTCGCCTATGGATCGTGAAGTAGGCAATGCATACATAGCAATAGGCCGAGTCCCGCATGTCCACCGAGTGAAGGTACAGCGCAATTAGCGCCAGAACCTCAATTGCTAGAAGAGGATCCTGCCAGAGCGCCGTGGTATCTGGTAACAGTGACATCGCTCGGGAGAAGTACTTTGTCCATGAAGCAGTGTTTGATGCCCTTCGCACAGGCGCCAACAGTGCTTCTCCGAAGGCCAGCACGACGAGAAACTGCACGTACCACAGCCGAGATTCCTGGACTTTTGCGGATGCATTATGATAGAACTCGTCCAAATTACGGGTAAAGTCCTCCTCGTCAAAGAGCTGATACAGATGGCCGAAATGGAAACGGACCGTGTTCAGCATGTAGATTGCTTGATCGCGGGAAGGGAGTCCGCTTATATCGGGGATCTCCTCCGAGCTGGCCTGGCGCCAATGGATCTGATATGCATCGCCGTCGACGGCTAGAGGGATTGGTTTGGTGCTTATAGGGTTAAGACGGGCCTGTATCGTGCTGAGGACCCGACGACTGAACGACCATGTCGAGGTTGGACCGAGAAGTACTGATCGCCACCATTAGCAAGATACTTACATCAAGAGGTTAATAGCATACACCAAGCCCGTTGCGTGCGCCCGCTGTTCTTCACGTAGGTGGATGGTGATACCAAGGGATTGGCGGCGAATCGCTCATCATGTCGATTCAACTCCTGTTGCTCAGGCGTAGCGAGTCTGCATGACCCCGACACTGACTGTGGTGCTTCTTTTGAACAGCTAGACTCCGAATTACTGGCATGACTCTGCAAGACGCGAGGCCGCTTTGACGGGGCCGATGTAAGCGGGCCTTCTAGTTCTCTCACTTTTCTCTTGAGCGAAAGGAACAACCTCAATGTTCGTTAGAACAACAACATCTTATGGCAGTCTTCCTCGACATACTCTTCAGAAACTACAATCTTCCGATCTTCCTCAAATACACAGTCCTGCTGCCGATTGCGACACTTGTCACACGGCTGGGTTCCGGAACATTTGACCTTGCGAGCTCGACATCGCTGACACCTGTGGCAGTCAGTCGGGAACTCGGCTGGGAGCCAGGTCGACGTACGCGTTGGAAGTTCGCTTGGAACGAGCTGAGTGGTCCATCCGTTTTCATGCAGTCAGAACCATTGTACAATTGGCCTTTACTATTGCCATGGCATATTCTTGATGCTGTTGTTGGCATTTAGTCACCAACCCCGCAGATAGAGAGGGACAGACGAGATCTGATTGGCCAGTAACAGTATGCTAAGTGTCTCTTCGACTATTATCAAGTCGATCATCTTGGATATCATTGTGACGATATATAGGAGTTGAGAAGATATCGTAAGAAAATACATTGAAACGGACATAGAGGACTGCAATAGGATACAGTGTCGAGTATGAATCCTCACAGTATTATCGCAATGAGTTCCCTAGTTACTCCGCTGGTCTGACATAGAATGTCCAATTCCAGGCTGAAACAGCTGTTGCTCCATCAAGCTCACCAAGTCCCGTTCAGATCCGCCTTGGTGTATCAGGTAGTTGGCATTGCGTAGTAGCTGTTTCTCCATTATTGGTTGTAAGTGCTGCTTCGCGCTTCGTACTGACCCAGCGGTTATTGCCCAGATTGATCGGGATGGCGCGACTGACGTTACTACTTCATACTTGCCCATTTTTGAGCCTGTTTGTTCTTACTTTAGACCTGGTTAGTCACTGCAGACGAGCTGGTAAAGAGACTCTAGGTCTCAACCTCAGGAACGGTCTTTACCGTCGCATCGCTTAAGCATGGGTGTCGCATTGTCCGCCACAGTCTAAGGCATGGACGAGGTTTCTGCAGTCATCGAGGGCTAAGTATTTTTTCAAGAGTCGCTCATTTCATTGAGATGATTACTCTAGAGTAATCAGTCTCGTTACGTTCCTTGTGAGAAACTATTATTGGGACGTCCACGATGGGACGTCAATGCCAGTGTCACTGGCTTTTATCTTTACGTTTGAGCCTATTATTATCGTTATTACTACTCCCCCTCCGAGCGACCGCACTCGATCTCAACGTTACAGATCCAGGTGAGCTCTACAAAGGCACGATTCACTCCGAACGGACCTAATCGCCCGCAGAAAATATCAAAGAAGTAGCCAGTCAACTAGCCTGGGACCTCGTCAGCTTCTACACTGGCAACAACACCGGCGACGTCCCGGGTAACCTCCCTGCCCCCTACTACTGGTGGGAAGCCGGCGCTTTTTTCGGCACCCTTGTCAACTACTGGCGATATACCGGCGACGACACCTACAATAACATCACCATGCAGGCTATCTTGCACCAGGCCGGAACAGGTGACTTTATGCCTTCCAACCAGACCCACACCGAGGGCAACGATGACCAGGCCTTCTGGACCTTTACCGCACTCATGGCGGCCGAACATAATTTCCCCAACCCACCCGAGGACTCGCCGTCGTGGCTGGCCATGGCGCAAGCGGTCTTCAATGAGCAGATCGCGCGCTGGGACGATCGGACCTGTGGAGGTGGACTGAAATGGCAGATCTTTCCCTTCAACAACGGCTACACGTATCGCAACTCCATCTCCAACGGAGGGCTCTTCGATATCGCTGCCCGGCTCGCACGGTATACAGGGGATGCCACGTATGTCGACTGGGCGAACAAGGTCTGGGACTGGGTCACAGAGACTGGACTGATCGGTCCGGAATATTACGTCCTCGATGGGACGTACGAGAGCGACAATTGCTCCGAGCTCAATCGAGTCGAATGGACGTATAACAATGGTGTCTTTCTGCATGGAGCCGCCCATATGTGGAATTATGTATGTCTCCTAGTCAGTTCTCCAAGAGTGAAGAAACAGCTGACCCTGTCAGACCAAAGGGGACTCCACATGGAAAAGGCGCATCGACGGTCTCCTCAACGCGCAGAGGACCTTCCTCTCGCCGAACAAGTCATCCGAGAATGTACTTTATGAATACGCCTGCGAGACGATCAACACGTGTCGAACCGACCAGTTCTCCTTCAAAGCGTATCTGGCGCGCTGGATGGGAGATGTTGCGCAGTTGGCTCCCTGGACCCGCGATACGATTGCGACTCGACTGCGGGCTTCGGCCACGGCAGCAGCAGCGCAATGTGTCGGCGGCAAGACGGGGACGTATTGTGGAATGCGATGGACGACGGGTGAGTACGACGGCACGACGGGGGTGGGACAACAGATGTCGGCGTTGGAGGTGGTTCAGGCAAATCTGTTCGATACGGTCGCGGGGCCACTGACGAATAGCATCGGGGGAACGAGCAAGGGGAACAGTGCGGCGGGGAGGGGATCCTCGGAAGGAACTGCGGTGCCCGGTGATTCCAGTACGGTCACCATGGCTGATCGAGTAGTCGCGTGGGTCGCAACGGGGGGATTGGGGGTGCTGCTGGGGGGATATCTTTATCTTGTTGTGACATGACGCTGGCCGTCGACAACAGCGATGATAACCTAATGGATAACGAATGTCAAATGAAACGAAGCGCCTCGTGGAGTTGTCTTTTCTTCTGTCAATCTGGACAAAAGAGGAAATGATAACACTCGTGATGTGCTAACCCTTTTGGGCAAGAGATACGCCGGGTCAGAGATGGCCAATAAGAAACTGCACGTGACTCTCTGCCTGAGGGGCAAGGCATCCGCCCACCAATCATATTGTCTTTGGTCTTTGGTCCATTGCGTACAACACGAACTACGTAGGTAGATATGTCGTACAAAAGGGTATATAAAGACCCCATGACTCTGGTCAAAAACATGGCAAATTATTCTGTTCTTTTCCTCCCATTTGACAGACAATCATGACGGCCCTTCATCCCTTTGACCCCATCACTCCGGCGGAAATCCAGTTGGCTGTCAAGATTCTGGAAGCGGCTTTCCCGGGTGTCTCCCTGAGATACAAGAAAATCGACGTCAATGAACCTCTGAAAAAGGAGGTTGTACCGTACATTGAAGCTGAGAGGTTAGGGAAGCCTTTGCCAACGGCACCAACCCGGTTGTTGCAGGTTCTGTTCCATCGTCTAGACAATGGAGCATTCTACAAAGCGTTGCTCAATGCGGGGACAAGGTCTGTGGTGTATGCCAAGCAGTTGCCCAAAGAGGTTCAGGTATGTGCTCTATGTCATGGATGAACCTTCAGGAAAAGGCTCTAACTCAACCAGGGCCCAGTCGATGCAGACGAACTGATTGAAATTGAGCAACTCTGCCTGAGCCACCCCGCCGTGCAGGCAGAGATTGCCAAAATGCAACTGCCGCAGGGGGTGACTGTTTGTAACGATCCCTGGATCTATGGGACGGACGACCCCAAGGAAACCCGGCGTCTGTTCCAGTGCTACATGTACGTGGTGACCACGGACCATCCGCAAAATAACCACTATTCTGCGCCCTGTAAATTCTCGCCCGTGTTCGATGCGCTTACTCGCGAACTTGTCCGTATGGACTATCTCCCGGGTGGCGTGGACGCCCAGGTCACCGAGACTCAGCCGTGGAAGGTGGTGGAGACCATTCAGTACGCGCATGATCTGCTCACAGAACCGTTGCGGACGGATCTGAAGCCTTATATCGTGCAGCAGCCCGAGGGTCCGTCCTTCCATGTACAGGGAAACCTGGTCTCGTGGCAAAAGTGGAAGTTTCGTGTGGGTTTCAACACCCGCGAAGGGTTGGTCATCTACAACACCACTTATGACGGACGCAATGTGTTTTACCGGCTGTCAGTGTCTGAGATGACCGTACCATATGGAGGTATGCATTGGCCATCCATGATTGTGGACAAGAGAAGTCGCTAATAGGATAGATCCGCGCGCTCCGTACCACCGCAAGCAGGCGTTTGACGTTGGGGACGTTGGATTCGGCATCACTGCGAACCAGCTCTCCCTTGGCTGCGACTGTCTGGGTCACATCAAGTACTTCGACGGGTACCGTTCCGACTCCAAGGGCAACCCGGTGCAACTGAAGAACGTCATCTGTTTGCACGAGCAAGATAATGGTCTTCAGCACAAGCACACCAATTACCGCACCGGGGCTGCCACGGTGGTCCGCAACCGCCAGCTAGTGGTCCAGATGATCTGCACAGTCTCCAACTACGAGTACATCTTTGCCTTTATCTTCGACCAAGCTGCGAACATCGAGCTGGAGGTGCGCGCGACTGGCATCCTGTCTACTGTGCCGTTTGACAACGAAAAGTTCGGGACGACAGTACCCTGGGGAACGAACGTCGGGCCTGGTGTTATGGCGCCTTTCCACCAGCACATGTTCTCCTTCCGTATTGACCCTGCCCTTGATGGGTTCAAAAACACGGTCTACTACGAAGATAGCGTTCCGATGCCCGAGGACGAGAATAACCCATATCTGGTGGGTTACACCACAGAACAAACCGTCCTGCGGACCAGCGGCAGCGCCAACACCAGCGTGGAGCGCCACCGGGTGTTTAAGATCCGCAACGACGCCTGCATCAACCCTATCACTTATAAACCGGTGGCATATAAGCTGCAGACCTCGCCGAGCCAGATGCTGCTGGCTGGGAACAGGTCGTTTGGCTACAAGCGGGCCGAGTTCGCTACCAAGCCGATCTGGGTGACGAGGTATCAGGATGACGAGCTGTATGCGGCTGGCGAGTTTACCAACCAGAGCAAGCAGAGTGAGGGTGTGGAAAAGTGGGTGAAGCGCAATGATCCTGTTGAGAATGAGGATCTTGTCCTGTGGCATAGTAAGTCTGATCGACTCCTTGTTGAGACTTCACTGACAGTCCTAGCTTTTGGGCTTACGCACAATCCCCGGGTAGAGGATTTTCCTGTGATGCCGATCGAACGTGTCAGTGTCATGCTCAAGCCGGATGGCTTCTTTACCAAGAACCCGGCGCTGGATGTTCCCGCGTCGACTCAGTCATTCAACCGGTCAACGCTGCATCCGGAGCCGTCTGCTTGCTGCGCTCCTGGCAAGGTGAAGTTGTAGTTTGGTGATTGACATGAATACGCTTGATGATGTCTATCTTATTATTTACTATACGCAAAGACACCGTGTCTTCATGAATCAATCTGTTATGGATCCAACGAGCGACGAGGCCGCATGTAAGTCACCGTAACAACAATGTCCATTAACGATGAACTTAATCTGAAAAGAGGACGCTCCGAGTTTTGCTTCCATTCGCGAGTCAATCACCGGCCATCGGGGATTGAGGGCAAGATGTTTTATTTCGACCCTTAAATATCTATTACCTTCCGGTCACTAGTTATTACAGTCATTCGCCGTTCAAAATCATCCACAGTAGAAAAGAAGACGGGATCAGATATAATTATCCTCTATATCAAAAGATTTTATCCCCGAGTCCCCGAACTCGGCCGACAAGTCTATACAGAGGCACATACACAGAAAGCTATAAACAGAATGATTGCCATCACAAGCGCACGCCATTTCAATTGGCAAACTCCGAATCATGGCACCCCTCTCTAGAATCTGGTCGTACCTGAACGAGGACATCGGCGAAGACCTCCTCCTCGAATCACAACTTCTCCTCCTCTCCTTCGCAACAGGCATCCAAGACGCCGCAACATGGCCCGACTACAGCTGCTTCGCCTCGAACCAAACAGGCAACACCCTCTTCCTCGCGATCGGGGTCGCCGGCCTCGCCAACAACGCCTACAGCTTCCCCAACATCGGCATGAGCCTGGGGATGTTCATCGCGGGGGGACTACTCGTCGGCCAGCTGGGGAACCTGTTCGGGGTGCGCCGCCGGCTGTGGCTGCTGCTGAGTAGCGTTATTCAGACGGTGCTGGTCGTGGTCGGGTTGATTGTGCAGTATGCGCTGCCGGTGAAGCAGGAGGGACCGGCGGCGTTGGGGGTCATTGCGTGTTTGGCGTTCTCGTCGGGGGCGCAGGTGGCGATGAGCCGGTCGTTGAAGATCACGGAGATCACGACGGCCATGGCGACGGCGGCGTATGTGGATGTAGTGGTGGATCCGGGGCTGCTGAGGGTGCAGAACCGGCCGCGCAATCGACGGGTGCTGTTCCTGGTGATGCTGACGGCGGGATGTTTTGTCGGGGCGTTTGCGCAGCGGGCGGTTAATTCATCCTTTGCGCTATTGTGGTGTGCGGTTGGGAAGGCTGTGGTGACGGTATCGTTGCTGTGGAATAAACGGCTGGAGAAGAGATGTTCATGACTCCATGTATTTAGGAAAATAGAGTCGGAATGGCTGCATAATATTCGCTTGGCTTGTTGCTTATTGTACTGGATAGAGTGATGTAAATATCACCCCAGATCTAATCCTCAAGGTCCTCAGATCAGCATGGCAAGCTTTACTTTATTTTAACCTCTTCTCTATCATATAGTTATCTTCTATATCGCATCCAAGTCAATCTATAGAACTGATTACCACTTGTCGCAATAGAAATGCACAGAATGCGGTATCGGGGTCTCGGGAACCATCAATCGGCGAACTCGCTCTGTTCTCTTCTGGCTCTTTCTGTCTCTCTAAAATGATTCGATTATGACTAATGTCACCCACTTATGCCGAGTGGAGAGTAAAGTATTTAATATTGGAATTGTGCCCCTCCACGCGTCGACATCCACCAGAGTTACCAGACCTCGATCTAAACACGTCAGCCACTCTATACCTCCTCTAGAAAATGTGCATGCCATCCAAGTGCAACAACTGCCGTACGTCGCCATTGCAACTATCACACACTCTTACTAACAAAAACAGAGAAAAAAACCTGGTGGGGTTGCGGAAGCCATATCCCCTCCGTCATGGACCAGGTGCCCGAATCCGATCGCTGCACCTGCACTCCCAAGGTCAACGCCGACGGCAAGGAGTATCCTCCCAAGGGGGCCGGTCCTGCCTGACTAGCCGGTGCAAAGTGCGTGCTACAGTAGGAAAGAGATTAAGGGGTTATGAATGATGAATGATATTGTTATATGGATGTTTTGTTTGTATCTACATCATAGAGCATGTGACATTCCCTTTTTTAGGGTCTGCTTCAAAAGGACTACTGCTCAACCCGGTCCTTGTAGCATCCTGTTCCACCGGTGTGCGTGTGAGGAGTGCTCTTCTTGGCTTGCTCCAGCTGCGATCGCTTGACCACGGTGGACATATTGCGCGACGGGATCGAGTCGAGGCTGTTGGCGTACGTCGCCACTGCAAAGGCCGTCGCCTTGGAATTGATCAGGAAGGCCTCGCGGTTGAGGTTGGTCATGTTGTCGCCCTTGGCGTGGTAGTTGGCGTCCAGAGCCACGCCTGCCTGGCCGCCAAACAGCTTGGCCTGTTCCTCTGTCTTGATCGCCTCCGCGCCGGTGAAGATGCCTCCCGCGGGGATGCCGTTGAGAATAAAGGCCTCGTAGTCGGAGCGGCCGTTGAACTCGGTGGGCACGAACGGCTTGCGGATCGACTTGTAGTAGTCCTCGAACAGACGCTCGATCTGCGCCGAGCCGGCAGGCCCGGTCAGGTTGAAGGCAGATCCGTCGCCGTCATAGATCATCAGGGCGTAGTTGGGGGAGGCGATCATGTCGAAGTTGAGATACAGACGGATCTTGGCCTTCTCGGTGGCATTGAGGCTGTTGACGTAGTAGCTGCTGCCCAGCAGGCCGAACTCCTCGGCCGTCCAGAAGCAGAAGCGCACCGCGTTCTTGACCGAGAAGCGGGTCAGCGCCTTGGCGACGACGAGGTTGCTGATGATGCCGGAGCCGTCGTCGTTGATGCCGGGCCCGGCCTCGACCGAGTCCGTGTGGCCGCCCAGCGCGACGACGTTGTTGGGATCGCCGCCCTTGGTCTGCGCGATCACGTTGTAGGTGGTCCGGTTCTCGACCTTGCTGTCGATCCACAGGTTGGCTGTGACCGTACCCGCCTGGATCATCTGGATCAGCGCCTGTCCGTCCGCGAGGCTGATGCCGGCGATGGGAGCGTAGGGACCCAGCTCGCTGGTCGGGCCGCCCAGAGTTCCCGCCATAGAGCCCTCGATATTGTTGTACACGAGCGCAGCCGCCGCACCGGCCTTGGCGCTCAATACGGATTTGGTCGCAAAGGGGCACTCGCCCCGTGAGACCAGAGCAATCTTGCCCTTCAGATCGGCGGGATAGTCAGACTCAACGCAGCCCAGGTTGTTCACCACTGCCAGCGGAGCAGTGACGTTCACGCTGGGGCTGTAAGTCATGGTGGTGGCGACATAGGACTTGCCGTCAACGGTGAGGGCCTGGTCGGCTCTGGTCCATTGGTGAACCTGAGGCTGCTTGTATACGTCGTAGTAGCCGGTTTTCTTCAACTCGCGGTAGAGGTAGTTGACGGTGTCCTCATGGGCCGGTCCGCCAAAGACACGGTTGCGCTCGGGGTAGGCATAGGCGAAGTCTTCCAGCTTTTGAGCGCCATGCATAAGATCCCACAAATGGATCATTTGAGGCAGGACTTTCTATAATAGACAGGATGCTTTAGCATTCAGCAGGAAGACAGGCGAGAGGAACACTAACCGGATGGACTGGGGGCTTCCAGTCCCATCCTGGACCATTGGCCACGGCCAGAGAGGCAAACGATGTGAGGTAGAGCAGCTTCATGGTGACGCTGTAAGAATAATCGCCGACTATCTCTCAGCTCGGAGCTGTAAGAGATTAAAATGCTACAGCTGGAGAGAAAAGTGATAATGATCAACATTCCGATCGTCACCTGCCTTTTATACATTCCCAGCATACCATCGCTACTGCCCTCACTACTGCCAATCAGGGCTGTAATCCCGCCATTGTCAATGATTCCCCGCATCGCCATCGCAGCAATTATTCACGGAATGGCACCTCATCCCGCCTGGAGTTGCATTCAAGCAGGAAAAGACGTCTTGGCACAAGGACTGAGTCGAGGGCCAAGAGGATAGTATGCCTTGGCAGAGATAAGAGTCGGGGTAAGCGAACGGAGGAATAGCACACTTTGGCAACTGCGGCTTCAGTCCGATGATAAACGGCATTATCCAGGCTTGATCTGTTTGTGACTGCAATTGCCAAGAGGAGGATGAGGCCATATATTGCATTCCTCGTGTTAATCAATCAAGGCCATGTGCTGTCTTACCTGCATAGACCACATTCTAGAGCCCAACAGTACTTTAGGACTGTATACCTAACCAGCGCTATTCCAGAATCTGCTTAGATGCATATACTACGCCCATTTTACTCCGTCTGCAGAGTCCACCACCCCAGCCAGCCGGCGCTCTCCGTTGGAATTCCGGTTCCCAAGACCTGGAAGCTTGGCATATTCTACAATCCTACTGAAGAGTCAGAAGGAGCTGGAGAATATGTGTATTCATACTTCTTGCTCCTTCATCGCGTTGCCAGGCTGCCCTCCACGTCAGTCCAGTAGGCATAGATGATATTTACATAGCCACGATAACTGAACTGATTTAATCTATATATTCTGCCACATTAGTAAATTACTGACAATCCTCTACTCTATCGCCAACAGGGCTATCTACCGGGGTTTCTCAGGAATATTGTATATGTCTTGACGATACCTCGCACTAAACCGCAATATTACATAAGAGATTCTGTCAGCCGCGTACTATGCTAGAAATGGTCGTCCAGAGTGCGTAGTGGATCTGATGGCTGACAGATTCCGACAAGGAATGAGAGTCTACTATGATTTATGTAAAACCTTTGACCCTGCTTGCATTACTTGCATTACCTTGAAATAGCAAAACCCAATGAGATACAGTGAAACTGTGGACGAGGGAAGAATAGCCGAGGCTGCGGTGAGTGGCAGAAGCTGAAGATATTAGGCATTTAGGCATCCCCGGCGAATTGCTGATTGTGACTGCTCAACGCCAGGAACAAGAGTCATAATCAATGTTGTGTCATCGCTGCTGTGTTGACCCTACTGTGCTATCATCCCTACTAGCTAGAGATGGTTTTCTGGACACCTTTTTGGCTGACTGGGAGATGTATGGCAATTAATCTTCCTCAGTGACATGCACAGTCCGAATGCGACCCTTCATATACTTTTCCATCTGCAACGCAGGAACTTCGGAGATCTGCTTGCCAGACGTCAGATTCCAGCTCTTCTCATCGTGACGTCCCTTGAGCGCGGCGCATGGCCACTTGGCGAGATTGCGATCCCGGACAGATTCATGAATGAATTCGTTCGTGATATCGGACTCCTGACCCGCCGGGTTATACCCCATCGGCTTGCGAGTTGATCTTCCTCCCAGCTTACCCTGTAAGGTTCGTACTATACTGCTGTGGTCGAGTTTCCCCAGGCTCGTCGCCCAAGGAGACATCTCGCTTTCCTCTGGTTGCGGGGGATCGTCGAACAGATACTCTTCGATGTCAAAGCTCAGCTGCCTATGCTTCATGCACTGCGCAATCATCCATGCCAGAGTGATGTTCGACAGCCGGGGATTCTCGTCTCCACCGCCGACATCCGTATGCACACCGGAAAACCACACCTGGAGCATCTCCTGTCCCTCGTTCTTGTGCGGGATATGCCACACGATCGGCTGAAACGCCGTGCGCTCCTCGTCCAGTGACAGCGCATGGTACGCACAGCGCACATTATCCTGCAGTATTGTATTCCGCAGCTCCAGCTTCTCGCCCGAGTCCCGGCCCAGCCACGCCTTCTGGAACCCAACCGTATCCCACACCCCGATGATCTCGACTGTGAACCGCGGCAAAGGGTCGCGGAACCCCATCCGTTTGCGTTGCTCCGCATTGTATCCCTCGACTTTGTGGTTGTAGAAATCATCATACACAAGCGCAAAGTTATCCATGCCGCGCGGGGTCAGCAGACCCCATTGGCAGACGAGCCCGGCGACGGCACGGGCAGTGTACGCGCCGCGCGAAAAGCCAAAAAAATAGATCTTGTCGCCGTCGTTGTAGTTGTCGGCCAGGAAGCCGTACGCAGCTCGCACGTTGGCGCTGACGCCCAGCCCGGCCACGCCTGGTCAGGTCAGTAGCAATTCACCTGTAGGGGGAGGCTGCGGACCGCCCCAGTATTTGTCTCCGAGACTAGTTCCCACGCCCTTCTGGTAGTAGACGATCTGAGGGATCTCGTGTTGTTGGCCGTCCTCGCCATCGACAATGGCGAGGCGGCTCAACGCTCTGCTGAAGCGAGTGAGGTTTGACGGCGGTTGGGCCTCGTCGGCGAGCGAATCCTGCCAGGTGCCTGGTCGGTTAGCATGCGTGTTAAGAGGAGAATTTGGAGATATCTACCATCACAGCAGACAATGAGTCGTTTTGGAGGGTAGCGCTTGACACCAGACATGGTAGGGATGGATGTGTTACAATGAATTAGTGGAAGAGGTCATAGACCGAAATATAACAAAACAGCGATAGATCATTCATTGCTATTACTGCAGCAGAGCTTATATCATAATTCAACCGGTGGAAGCAGCGCATTGCCATCTTTGTCGGAGTCTGCTGAGCCATCAGCTGAAGACGTCATCCAATGGCAATGACAGAAGGATGTCGTTTGCGGCATAGACTTTGTGATTCCTCCGATTTGACTCCAGATCATCACCTCAGACTGGCTAAACAGGAGGCCAATGCTGGGGCTGACGTCTGGCGAGGACAATCTGACAGAATCATTGGGTGTGGTTTTGCTTTTTTCTTGGGGAATGCGCTATTGACATTGGTCTGGTGAATGATTGGAGGAAGCAGCAGACACGCTGAAATAGTTTGGATCATTGCAGCGTTCGCGATGGGCCCAGAGCCGTTCGTCTCGCCAGTTCAATCAGCCTCGTCATGTTCGTTTCAGCTGTGAGCAGTTTGCCGAAGACGCAGTCAGCATTTAGCGATTATATTCAGCGGGGAGAACATCTTCAGCTTCCGCCACTCAACGTCAGCCTCGGCTATTCTTCGTCCAAAGCCTCACAGGAATATCTTGAGTTGAATCTATTTCAAAGTAATGCAGGTAATGCAAGCAGTATCAATCGTTCAATGTGAATTATGATAAACTATCATTGTCGGAACCTCTCTTATTTAATATTGCCGTTTAATGGTGGAGGTTGTCATAAACATACATAGACATCTCTCTGTATATATACTCCCGTAATGATCATGACAAACCCGTGTAGATAGCCCTGTTGGCGATAGAACAGAGGATATTCACAGAATTGTACTACTGTAGTAGAATATATAGATTAAATCAAGTTGAGTTATCATGGTTCAGTCAACATCGTCTATGGCTACTGAGTCTGCCCTCTATTTCGGTACTGGATGGCTTCTAGTGTCTTGTGGACAGCTTATAATGTTATATAATGGTCGATAATGACATGCTTGATAGTTGTCCCTTGCAGAAATCTCACAGAAGTAGTATGCGCATTCCGTTGATGTCGCAAATCTGACCAGCCGACTCTTCATCCCTTGCATACTATTCCTGCCAGAGCACGGAACAAAAGGATAACAAAACGCGACACCCGTGCTCTGGACCTGCATCTTCCAGCGTATAACAAAACCTATCACGCTCAGTGAGAGAAAACTCATTTTTACCTTACAAAATGGACTACACGCGCCTCAGAAAAGACGATGACGAGGAGTTCGTCTACTCCAAAACAACACCACCAACCCAACCACCACAAGGCCGTCCCTATCGCTCCAACGCGACCCTTCTCTCCAGCCTGGCCCTCACTATCTCCATAATAACCGGCATCTTCACGTTGATAGCGTACATAAACGGTCCACGCAATCTCAAACCCCAATCACCAGACTCCCTCTTCCGCTGCGGCACATCCGCCGCCCAAGCCAAAGCAGCAGGATGCCATTTCGACCTAATGTCCTTCTCCTGGTTGCCGTCCGCCTGCTACAACGAAGACCTGACAAACGACTTCCTCAACTACACGGACTGGAAATGGTCGCTCGACATCGAGGGGCGCCACCTCGTCCCAAAGGAGTATGTCCAGCAGGGGGACTTTGAGTACCTCTTCACGAGCTACGAGTATCATGTTGTGCACTGCGTGTTTATGTGGAAGAAGACGCACCAGGCGATTCTGGATGGCAGCTTTGATCACCTTGATGGGTATATCGCCGGACTGGGACATACAGGGCATTGCGGGGAGATGTTGCTCGATCGGGGAACCGACTTGAAGACCTGGGGGACACCGGGGTGGACGAAGTTCCCGGCTTGTGGGAGGGGAGTGCTTAACTTGGAACAGGGGTGGTATCGCATGCATAATGGGGAGAAGGCGTGGGGGATGCCGGGTGCTGGGGGGCATCATCATAACTGATCTTAGACAATAGTTGGGAAAATATGATTGCTTAGGATAGTCAGGGATATGTAAGTAAGGGTGGTTATGTCTGCAATAAAACGAGGAGAGAAGACTATGCAAAACCATTCGTAGTAGGCTCAGGCATGGTGACAACCACCTTTAGCGCGCCATGTTTGGAGGATGCCTCGAACGCGTCGTAGGCGTCGTGAATATCATCAAACGTGAATTCTGGGACGGTGATTAGTGGGATCAAGGTAACGGAAGGCCAAACGTACTGTGCGAGACCAGGAAATGAGGATCGATGCCACCGGCCTCCACCATTTTCAGTACATCAGGGGTACTGACAGCGTCAACCAGCCGAGTCCTCAAGCCTAGGAGAAAGTCAGCGATGATCGTCGCAGGTTGGGCGTATGAGCATACAAATATTGCGATGCCACAACTTCTCCAGGTGAAGCTCGCACGACTCCCCAAAAACACCCAGACTGGCGATGGTCCCTCCAGCGCCGACCAGCGCCTGCGCAATCGCGAACGATTCAACCGTCCCCACTGCTTCAATCACCACATCGAACCCTCGCTCCTTGGTCACCGCTAGAGCCGAAGAAATCACCTCTTCCTGCCCGCCGAGAACACTCAGCGTATGATCCGCACCCATGGCCTTGGCTGTCTCGAGCCGGGGCTGGCCCCTCCCCACGACGACCGTCATCGCCGGACCGAACAGATTCTTCGCCATCTGCAGAATCATCAGTCCGATCGGGCCGGTTCCGATGACGGCGACGGTAGCCCCGGGCTGGATATCCCCGTTCAGAATCCCACATTCATACGAAGTCGGGACCGTATCCGACAGCGTAACCGCGACTTTGGGGTCGATGCTCTCGGGCAGCGCATGCAACGAAAACGACGCATGAGGGATGCGCACGTACTCGGCTTGAGTGCCATCGATCTTGTTCCCGAGAATCCACCCGCCGGATTCGCATTGAGATGGCATCTTCCTGTGGCAGTAATGGCAGGTCCCGCAGGAGGTAATGCAGGAGATGAGCACGGTCTGCCCGGCCTTGAAGTTTGTGACGGCGGCGCCGAGAGAGTCAATCACCCCGACGCCTTCGTGGCCGAGAATGCGGCCTGGAGTGCATGTCGCGACGTGCCCTTGGAGGATGTGTAGGTCGGTTCCGCAAATAGTGGTGTGGAGGATCTTGACGATCGCGTCGGTGGGTTCTTGGATGGTTGGTTTCGGGCGGTCTTCGACCGAGAACTTGTTGTCGCCAGTGTAGATAACTGCTTTCATCTTGCGGGCTGAGTAGCTGGACCAGAACGCCTAGGAGATGTTGAGGAATTAGATACTGGATAGAGTTCAGCACCTCACTGGCCCTTTTATAGACGCTTCGCAGCCAGAAAAACAAAGCACTGTGAACTCGACCATGAAAGCTCCGCGGGGTACAGCAGCTGAGCAGACTGTATAGCATACTAGTCTTTGCTTCTGCTGGCGCTGCAACCATATGCAAACGAACATGGGTTGGATGTAATGTTGCAGGGATATTGATTGGTGGAGTATAGTACCATGCATGAAGCCCCAGACATGCAGATATAGCGCTTATCGAGTCAGAAAAACGGCAGCGATAGCCGACGGAATCTATGGATAACATTACGAGATTTTGCCATATAGGAAACTGAGTGGTCGAACGGTGATTGTACATTGCCATTCAGGTTGCCATTTAATCACAGCATCGCCGAAGGAAGTGTTGTTCGATAAACGTAATATTCATAAGATATCTTAGTGTATTGAAAATTGATACCGATTCTGACCCTCGTGCTAGTACGTCAAGTCTGCCAAACAGCATGGACCTGAGGCGCCACAGGACATCCCGTAGGAACTGTATACACCCTGTTCTTCCCCCCCTCAAAAGTCACGGAGTTATCCGGCTCGATCTTGTAGAACTTGTACTCAATGGTAACACCCGGCTCGAATCCCTTGACAGTTGCGAACCAAAGATTCTCATTCGAGGTGTAGAGACCGGCGTTCAGACTGTAGCCAGCGCTCGCGTTCCAGTCGCCGAGAGCGCTGACATTACCGGTCATGTACACATTCTCGCCATAGTAGGTGTCCTCGATCAACCAAAAGGTAACAGGAACGGTCACAGCGGCAACGCAATGAGCGGTGGAGGTCGGAAAGGGAGGCGCCACAGCGCTGTATGTGCCCATCATGGTGGTCGTGCTGCAGGTAGTGGGAACAGTATTCGCAGACGAGAAGCCCCAGGAGCCAGGCATGATGTTGAGGCGGCGCTGAAGGGTGGAGAGGAAGGCTGCATAGGACCAGGTGAGATCGTTGGCCGACAGAGGGACGCCGGTGTTGCGGTCATACTGCTCAGCTAAGGAGCCGTTGCTTGGGGTGTATTGCTCAACAAGGAAGAAGAAGTTATCAGCGTAGGTGCGGATATACTCAGTCAGGGATTTGTAGGTTGGGGTATTCGACTTGTAAGTTCCTGGCTCGACGGTGGATGAGAAGTCACGGAAGAAGGCGAGCGAGGTTTGCGTGATGGTCAGATAACCTTGCTTTTTCCACTGATAGAGGGCATCATACAACTGCTCTGCTGCCGCAAGGGTTGCAAGGTACCTTTAATCCGTCAGAAGTCTGACAGGTAATAAGTGAGAAGAGTGGTTTGACCTACCATGGGTTTCCTCCCTGGTAAACATCCTCAGGGTAACGGCCTACATTTGCAGCCTTTCCAGGACCAAGACCAGCGTTGATACCGTAGATAGAACGGAAAGAATCGACATAGACCTTATGATTTGCCAAAGCTTTAGACGAACAGGGTTGGAAGGTCGAATCATCGCAACCAGCCGCAGGGTCAAAGGTATGAATGCTGGTCAGGACTGAGTTGAGATCGATGCCCGACCGGCCATTATTGACATTAATGTTCGAGACAATGGCGCTTCCGTTCCAGTAGCTCTGCAGGAAACAAAGGATCTCTGGAGCAACCGCGTCGTACGCAGCATGGGGCTTCCCAAGAGCTTTAGCTATCACACTGCCTTCAACCATCGCTCGGTGCTGAACGGCAGTCGTAAAGAAGGAAGAGCCATCGACTTCTTCCCAGAGATCGAATCCGGTGTGATTCCAGTACTGAGCGACATAGGTGAGATCGTTGGCAACAACGGGCCAGATCAGGTTGGAAGCCACAGACTGCTTTCCTTGCTGGATTAGGTGGCGCATATAGGTCAACATGGCAATGGCGCGAAGAGCAGGACCATCGCGCTGGGGACGGCCCCATCCGCCGGAGTATGGGTTGAAATTGACCTCGAATTTGGGCTCGCCGAGTCCAGACCCGTCAGAAAGTCTGCCAGATGGGTTGGACACGTTCTGCAAAACTGCCTGGGAAGAGATGTAGTCCTGGATGTGGGTTTCAAGGGCGTCGAAATTGACACCGATGAATGTGTTGCCCGCAATGAAGATATCGACAAGTCCCTTGAAAGTCAATGCCGCATCACGAGTCCACGTAAAAAAGTCTAGAGAACGGAGTAGATCGAGTCAGCTTGATCCTCCTAACGGGGCTTTTTTCCACCTACAATCAGGGTTCTGTGTAGTAGGGCTTGCAATGAGTAATCCGGCCGCTGTGCCAGGAGCATTGCTGCCAGTGTTCCCAAGAGCTGCGAGAATGCTCTCGTAGGCGAACAGTCCCTCTTTGACCAGGTAGGAATTCGCTGCTGCAGGGGAGCGTGCGGCAAGTTCTTTGGCAGGCGAAGGAGTGGCCAGGTGTCCCAGGACACTGGCTATGCCTACAACAATGCTGGCAAATCGCATGGTGCTTGATGTGCGAGATGGGTAGCACAGTAAATTTCTCGTGAAATAAGAGAACTGTGCAGGGAGGTTCCCTTTTATTTTATGGGGGTGATTTAAAATTCTAGCGCCATCGCTAGGTCCAAATGTCGATCTCAGTGAATTACTCAATAAAAAGTGGATGATCGCCTTGTCTGGATATACACTAAAAGAAGGCTGGTGTTCTAACCACACAATGGATTCACTTTGCACCAAGAAATTAAAGACGGTGGCTAGAAGAGTTATTAGTCGTCAGGGGGATGCCTGTATGCTAGCCATACAGAATGAGATTTGATACTGCGCACTGACAATACGCGGAGAAGCTGGAGTTTATTCAACTACATTCTGTGGGGAACTGGAGAACCTATTCTCTTGACAGCTGATTTGTCTGTATGGCCGAGGTTCTGCTACTAGTACAGGGGCCGGAGATTTATCACTGATTATACTCACCTACTGTGAGTCTGTGATGTTATTTGTTAAGACTTAAGAGCCTTGTCGGGCCTCTCTTCAGAGGTTTGCTCCTTGCCTGATTAGATATAGCGGCAGTATGTACCCCACTATATAGATACGTATCTTTACTCCTTCTATTCCTCCTTTTGTAGATAGTTATCTAATATAATTATTCCTTCAAATATAGCACTATAGTAAGCGACTAAGCGTAAGAGGTTATAAGCCCTTATTCTACTAAATAGGCACAAAGAGCATGCCCAATGTGATCAGGACTATTGCCTAAAACTCAGCATTCACAGCTGCCAGTCATTAAGCTCAGAAGCAAGGGCATTAATGCAAGACACTCAAAGGGCCAGTCACATTCAGACTGTATAAATTATCATACAGTCTTCCGCGGAGGCTAGTAAAACCAATCCAGCCAGGCATCTGATTATAGACCAGAGAGACCACTTTCAGTTTATGAGCCGTCGCGGCACTGTGATATCCTGGCCACTTGTGATGCTGCTGCATAACCCAAGAAGAGTCTGGCTCATAAATGATCACCCAGCCTCCATATGTCAGATTCTCATTAGTAATCTCCCGTAAATAGCTCAGTGAGGAAGGCAGCCCATTACTGAGTATAGTGCAGATTTTATTGTGAAGTTCAAACAAAACGGTAGGTATGCTGCTCCCTGCCTTCTAGCATGATTCCGTGGAATGGCATATCCTTATTTTTGGAAATATTCGGAATTGCATCACAAGGAATTTCGCGGTGCTGGACGAACGTCCAGTAAAACCAGGGAACAAAAATAGAGAGTGTCAGTGAAATAGCTGTAACCCAGTAAGTATACAGTGGCGCCCCAGCAAAATGAGGAAGGGCAAATAGGGTCTATAAACACTAGTAATTAGTATACACAGTATTGTTAAATTGCAATGTATTAACGGAAGGAAGCTTACAGCTATGTATGTTGGGGGGAAAAATAGAAATGCAAGTATGTTGAGTGACTTCAATGCAGAGCTGTCACGCTTTGCCCCTTCGGCAATTTCTTGTGATCGTCTAGCAACCGATAAAGCCAGCATGCCATCCTTTTGAAATAAAAGGGTGTGAATCTATGACAGATGATCAGGAGCAAAGCGACTCCACCTTGTCTTTGCATAACTTACCACAGTTATCTGATTCTCGGCCCGCCGCTCATAGTAGGCCAGATCAGCTTCGCGCTGCGCCAGTAACAACACGATATTATGAAGCCATTGCTCGTACTGGTTGATAGAGCGGGCAGCCTGGGTGAAAGAGCTGCTGATTGTATGTCCCAATTGGTCATGTGTCTCCTGAATGGATTTGAGGTAGCACTGAAGGAAACTCAGGCGACGAAGGGAAATTGACACTTGTTGTTTCGTCGCGTGTGCCATTTTTGAAAGCTCGTTATTGAGTGTAAGGGCTTCTGTTCCAGGAATCTCTAGCCATCCATGGTACCCTGTTGCTCTTTCAATCGTTCCCAATTCGCGGCGAACCTTTTCAACGTAGCGTCGGTTCGCAGCTAGGCTTGCTTCGAGTAAGACAGTAGGAACGAAAAGAGGTTGTCCGATCATATCTTTGTAAGACTCCTGGACCTTCTGAATAATGTCTCGATCGCCAGGACTAGTTCGCAATCCGAGGATCGAAGTAGTCTTGCTGTTGAATTCATGGTTGATGGCGAAAACAGAGGCGAAGCTAGTTGAGAGTCGAATAGAAACGATTAAAGCTGCAAGTATAGACAAGGTGTGGATCTGAGCACTAGCTTTTACGTTCTTGGAGTATTTAACTCACTGATGAATTTGACTTCTCCAGTAGCTTCATCATATTCGATGTGACGTGTCTCAAATCCAGCCGAGGCGCGATATTCCCAGGCATCTATCACGCCAGCAAACCTATAGCGTTGTTTAAGTATGGTGAAGATTTCCTCGCTGATGGCGAGTTCTAGTACTTCATCCGAAGACAGAAGATTACCATGGGTATCGGGAGCGGTTGAAATTGTACTCGCGAAGCTAGAGTGGTTGGTGTTATTAAGTGCTGAATGAGCTGGTATGTGAGGTTCTGGATAATTGGGTCATACATCCACCTCACTGTACCCATGACGTCTGGCAGACGCGCACGGTCACCCTGCTCAAGCGAGGGCGAAGGCAAATTAGAATGAGACGCATATTAGTGGCAATAAAAAACATACCCTTTGGTCAATCCAACTGTTGACAAGTTCTTCACCCGTGATAGTGCCTTCATGAAATTCGCTCCGTCCGGACTGTGAACCGTCTTTTAACGAAAATTGAGAATAATACCTTGATTGGATTATTAACATACCTGGAAACGTCGAAGCTCTGTAAATGTACAAGGCATTGGATCGTAGCGAATACTTTGCAGTGGGCCGGACTGGACCGTCGACTCCATTTCCGTGGGATGTTAATCAGTGGAGGTGGGAAAAGTCCACAAGTGTTGTCATCAGCTAGAACCTATACCTATGATCTTCTCCACTGGACTCTTCCTTGAAGCGAGTATCCCTGTCCTTATACCTGCATCCGGCAGAAATGGGCTCCGGGCCAATCAATAAGTGACGCGTCCTCCTGGCAAGGCTGAGATAAAGCCAAGACGAAGAGAGCAACATTTGGCATGGGCTTGCAGTTATTGTCCAGTAAGATTGGTCCGGGGTAGTCGGATTCGACAAAAGGCCAGATACTACCAGTAAGACACCAGGCAAGAAAAAGCAAAAGTATATACACATGACAAACTATTACTTTTCTAAGCCATTCAAATCTTTGAGAAGGCGCCAAAGGTTGCCTTGCTTAGGATACGGACTGACGAAAAGCATATCAGCAAAATCCAAAATGGCGGTTGGATATCAAGCTTGGATGAAACGAAGAAAAGCGGAAGAGAAATCACACGACTATGTCTGCATCTTGTCACTAATTGGTAGGGAAAGCTTTGTCTTATGGAAGGCAAGCCAATCCACATGCAAAAGACCCTCTGAGCGTGGGAGACAACCTGTACGGCCGACTATTTGTATGAAAGAAACTCTTGGATTTTTCTTACTGTTCAATGTATTACCTATTGCCACTACCTCCATGAATCTCCTACCTAAGTATAGTAAACCATAGTTGCTATGGCTGCACTAGTTAGATGATATTTAATTTCCCTACTAGTCAGCATCTGATATCGATACTAGATGATATTCGATACAGAAGATGTAGAAAAAGTAAAAATCTGCGGTCGCGTTGGCGCTGTCCCTGGACAATATCAACTAATGAAGTGCGAGAAATAGACCACTGCGCATACTGCGGGAGAATCTGAAAACGGGACCTGAAGTATATATAGTTAGGCTCCCTCAAAGACAGCTCATTGAGAGAATATACGGTAGGGTTACGCACCCTTGAGATACCGTGGGAGACTATACCAGCCTTCTTACAGCAGTTTAGAGGCTGTGCACTCAACTGTGGTGGCTGTGCATGCATGGTCAGCCTGATGCGCATTGGACATCTCTCAACTCTTCTTCCTACCAAGTGCAGATAAGGCTCCTCTGAAAATCCTTGCGATAATTGCCTTTTTGATAGACAAGTTTCTAGCATCCAGCAACATCTACTCATACCGTGTTTACCCGCCGAATGAAATCGTGCCTGTTAATCATACCCCGACGAAAATCTCGCCGAGATGGATGAGAGCAGTGTTTGGAATGAAGACGATACTGAGACAAGATTGTATCAACCTCCAAAGCGCCAAAAGACTGCCCACTACGACAGGTCATCCATCCAACGGCACGATAGTTATACCATCGCCTGGATCTGTGCGCTGCACATAGAGATGGCAGCAGCTCGGGCCATGCTGGATGAGGTCCATGAAGCTCTACCCAGGCATGTAGAGGACAGCAACGCCTATGTACTGGGAAGCATCAAGCAGCACAATGTCGTCATTGCGTGCTTGCCAGCAGCCCAATATGGAACGAACAACGCGGCGAACATCATGACGAATATGAAGCGAACCTTCTCCGCTATCCGCGTGGGCTTTCTGGTCGGGATTGGTGGCGGCGTGCCGAGCAAGGCCGATGTGCGCTTAGGGGATGTTGTTGTTGGAACAAGGGTGATGCAATATGATCTTGGGAAAGTCGTTGGAAATGGAGAGCTCCGACAAACGGCAATCCCTAGGATTCCTCACCATTTGCTTGGGACAGCTGTGTCCGCCCTCCGTTCGAGACATGAGCTGAACCCCAGTCGAGTCCCATCCATCCTACAGCTGAAGCTTGAAGGACACCCTGAATACGGTCACCCAAGCTCACCGGACCGACTGTTCCACGCGACGTATGAGCATGAATCTACAACGGCCAGCTGCGATGGGTGCGACCAGTTGAAGCTGGTTCCTCAAAGCAGACGGATGTCGGACAATATAATGATTCATTATGGCGCAATCGCCTCAGGGAACCAAGTCATGAGAAGCGGCACTACCCAGGACAACATTGCTCGAGAATTGGATGTCATATGTTTTGAGATGGAGGCTGCTGGTCTGATGGACATTCTCCCTTGCCCCCCAATTCAGGGAATATGTGATTACTCAGATTCTCACAAGAGCAACGAATGGCAGAGGTATGCTGCAGCAACCGCGGCAGCATACGCTAGGGAATTACTCGAGGACCTACCCGTGGCCAAAGGGCATGCAAAGGTTACCTGTATGCCAAATCCTCGTAAGTTAACTTAGGTAGATCTGCAAAGAGTCATTGCTGCTCACATCTGACGTGCAGACGAATGTTCATTGCACGAACACCGGCAGCGCTTGCTGGATTCCCTCAGGTTCGAGCAAATGGATTCTCGGAAATCAACTATCAGAACCGCCCTCACCAAAACATGCTGATGGTTTCTCAGCCACCCTGACTACCAAGCATGGCTTAATCCTGAAAACCTAACGCAACATCATGGCTTTTTATGGATCAGTGGCAAGCCTGGCGCGGGCAAGTCGACAATCATGAAGTTCGCGTACTCAAGTATGAAGAGCAAATCCCACAACAAGCATGCTATCACTGCTTCCTTTTTCTTCAACGCTCGAGGCGAACGTCTGGAAAAGTCGATCTCAGGGATGTACCGATCATTGCTGCTCCAGCTGCTTAAAGGGTACCCTGATCTCCAGGCGGTTTTAGATGACCCTGACATTAATTCTCAGAGTCAGGATGGATGCCCTTCCTTGGACATTCTTAAAGACCTCTTTCGCAGCGCAGTTTCTGCCCTCGGTCAACGTTCCTTTACGTGCTTCGTCGATGCTCTTGATGAGTGTGACGAACAACAAGTTGTGGACATGGTTCAATACTTTGAAGAGCTGGCAGAACAATGCACCAATAAAGGTGTCCCACTCCGGATCTGTCTCTCCAGTCGACATTATCCCTACATAGTTATTCAACGGGGAGTCCGACTTACACTGGAGGACCAGTCAGGTCATGGCGAAGACCTGGCAACCTACGTCGCTAGCCGCCTCCAAATCGAAGACCCTGGACTTCTCGAAGACCTGCAAACTCAACTTCTCAGGAAAGCTGCGGGTGTTTTCATGTGGGTTGTGCTAGTCGTTAGTATCCTGAACAAGGAATATCGGCATAATGGGCTGGCTTTGAGAAAGAGACTCGCAGAAATACCTAGTGATTTGAGCGAGCTGTTCAAGGACATTCTGAGACGCGACAAGGAGAATATGGCGGGTCTCCGTCTTTGCATCCTTTGGATTCTCCTTGCAAAGCGGCCATTGCAGCCGCAGGAGTTCTACCATGCTCTCTGGTCTGGATTGGCACTAGAAGATCAGGCTGATGAGCAAATTCCTGATGTCGGCGTCCCAGGTGCTTCAGACAGCCTTAACAGATTTAACAGATGTGTTATCAGCAACTCAAAAGGTCTTGCTGAGGTCACAAAATCTAAGCAGCCAACAGTTCAATTCATCCATGAATCCGTCCGAGACTTCCTCATCAAAGAAAGGGGTCTACATGAATTGTGGCCTGACCTTGGATTTGATTGGGAGAGCTCAAGCCATGAGACACTCAAAAAATGTTGCGACTCATACTTGAATCATACCTCAGTGCGTGCGTCTGTGAGTAGGGTGCTGTCACACAGACATGAGCCGCAATCGGGCATTTCAAATAAGTACCCATTTTTGGAGTATGCAAGTCAGCATGTTCTCTATCACGCCAACGCTGCGGCCAGAGCAGTTCCTCAAGACAAGTTCTTATCTTCTTTTCCCATATCCCACTGGATCAATGTCAACAATCTTTTCGAAAAGTTCAAAATTCGTGGATACAGCTCAGGCGCGAGTCTCTTCTACATTCTCGCAGACAAAGGATTCCCGGAGCTCATCCGCACAAGACTCAAAAAGGATCCGCATATTCATGTTCCCGGAGAGAGATACGGATACCCGCTGTTTGCCGCTTTGGCCAGCGGCAACAAAGACGTTGTTGCTGCTGTTCTGAAATCGCCGTCAAGTGCGTGCAGTGAAGTTGATACAGATGGGCTGAACTACAGGAAAGACTTGAAAGAATACGCGAAACGAACACCACTATCCTGGGCTGCGCAGGAGGGTCGAATAAACATTATCAAGCTGCTTCTCCAGACGGAGACATCCGTTGATGAGATGGATGCGAAGGGCAAAACACCACTTGAACGGGCCTCAGAGAACGGGCATGCGGCGGTGGCAGAGCTACTTATCAGCAAGGGAGCAGATGTCAATGCTAGCATTGATAGAAGGACCCCACTCTTAATCGCCGTAGAGAAGGGACATGAGGAGGTGGCAGAGCTACTTATCAGCAAGGGAGCAGATGTCAATGCTAGCATTGATAGAAGGACCCCACTCTTAATCGCCGTAGAGAAGGGCCATGAGGAGGAGGCAAAGCTGTTCGTTAACAAGGGAGCAGATGTTGATGATGGCAAATATATTAGTTGGACTCGGCTCTACTGCGCCATACGGAAGGGTTATCGGAACATAGCAAAGCTACTTATTAACATGGGAGCAGATATCAATGTCCGTGATAATAATGGACGGACTCCACTCTTACAAGCCTCAATGTATGGCCACACGGAGGTAGCAAAGCTGCTTATTGACAAGGGAGCAGATATCAATGTCTGTGATAATGATGGAATGACTCCACTCTTACAAGCCTCAATACGTGGCCATGAGGAGGTGGCAAAGCAGCTTATTGCTAAAGGTGCAGATGTTAATTGCAACAACAATAATGGATTGACTGGGATGCTTTCCTTAACAGCTCCGGGAGTACAAAAACGTCGTCGATCTGAAACTCCTAATGGGATCAGCTCTGAGGCGGAAGCAGACCCAGAGGATAATGTCAGAAAGCGAACTCGTTAAGAGTGATTACGTTCCAAGTTTCCCCTCTGTGGGCTCGAACAGTTGAGCTCGGAACTTTCAGAGCTCCTTAAATTAGGTGGGTGACAAAGCACTGAGCATATATCCTTGTAGCGGATTATTTATGCATTAAATACGCAGCAGTCGACCTCGTCAGGCGTCCCTTGCCAAGTTCAGCCCTCTGAGCATTGCACAGCCAGGCCGGTACCGAGTTCGAGTGATGTCTGTGCTGCCTCACACAGCGGAGTCACCACAAAGGAGTATGTCGACTCGGGGGCCTTCCATGCCCATGCAGAAGCGAAAGCCGTTCAGCGTCCAAGTACGTATTACCCCAGTATTTGCATCGCAACAGCGCTTGGATATCGTGACCACGGACTGACCGATTCTAGCTCCTTTGCGGGTATCTAAGCTCCAGGCTATGACAGGGGAAAATATGATATAACGCCGGATGATATCGCCGCGTGGCAGAGACCATCTCTCGAGCCTCACTCAATAGTGGGACTTGTTTCACATCACTCTTCATAGATTTGGCGTTATCACAATTAAAGGACCGGACGCTTCTAGCCACAAACCTCATAGGGACTTATTATTGTCTATGGGTCATGAAGCACAGCTGGAGAATTGGAGTTCTGTGTTGTTCGGCTCCGGTGTTCTGCGTTTTGATTTTGCAATCAATTTCCCTTCTGAGTCGATACTAATAAGGTGTTTACTGGGCCTAAAAAGCCGTGCGTTCATTGCCAACGGTTAATGTCTACAAGTGACAACTATCCAACTCGTTCACTCTTGGGTATGCCTATTTGACAGATTTACAAATCTGAAGACTTGGGCCATTTTTCATGACATGTAAAACCAGACTTGGGATTCTTCTCTAATTTAATTACACTAGACATGTCCGGTGACAGATACGTCCAGTAGTAGAGCCCAATTCAGCTCGTATAGTTGCTATAGTTTAGTTTGTACATGCAGGGCCAAGTCTTCATGAGGAATATCCAAGTAATCCCACATGTAGTGAAACCGATAACTGCCGAAAAAGGGCTCCGCATTGCCTTTGCCATCATAGACCCAGAACTAAGGACGTCCATACGCGCCTAAATCTTTGGCCACCTTCTCTGTGACCCTAGTTAGGGTCTCTTTGATCTTCGGATCATTAGCCCCTTTTATTATCTCTTGAACTTCTGCCTCATTAAAGGCTTTGCTAAGGGCGATCGAAAGTTTGTCCGGTCTGGGATGTCAGTCTGTTCCTTCCACATCGCCTCGAAACGTCGCAGAAATGTCTTTTCAAAGGTCTCGTTGTCATAGCGTTGCTTGACGAAGGCTAGAGCCCGTTGTGGTTAAGGAAACGGTTGGTTTTTGGTTCTACTCTTCATCGAGAGGGTAATGGAGTGAAGTACCAAAAGTGAGAGTATTGGAACGAAGGATGGGATTAGTGATTCACTTTCAGTCTCACGCAGGTGTGTCACGAATGACAAACGAACCGCAGTCGATGGAGAATTCGATTTTCTTTTTCCCGTCCATATCATAAAGGTTGGAGCTAGAGTAAGCAGTTCGGGATAGAAAAAGGAGACCAATCCTCAGTGCGAGCTTGTCCTGCATCATATGTATTCTCCAGCAAGAGTTGTAATCGGGCACGTACGAGGCGAGCCTAAACTGAGGGTATCTGGGAATGGCATCCCCCGAATCTGGGTCAGCTCCATCTGCATTGACTTCTACTCTGCGAAATATGTTTTCTCCCAGCTGATGTGACCAGAGATGCATCATTTGGGAATTGCCATCACACTAAACGCGAATGTCTTCCCTGCTCGATGGCGTGAAAAGAATAAACTTGAGCTGTTCAGGACTTCCCGCCATGCATTGGCTGTCTAACCCAGAACCGTGGCATATCAGAACAGTGTGACCCGGTTCTATCAGGGAACCTAGATCCTTGGTGAACCTTTTCTTCATGTAATATTCCAGCATTGTCCTGCAGTATCCTCGACCGTACGCCATTTGAAAAACATTCAACTGGTGGATGTTGCCCACCCAGCGGATAGTAGATCATTGATTTTTAATACGCCTCTACAAGTAAGGAGCTGTATATAGCTTTATTGAACTTCAAGGATAATCGTAGTTCTCAAGCATTCGCTAACATATCGACCTTGAAAATACCATTATATATAAAGAGAATATGAACTATGAGTCTACAGGGGAGATTTCCAGTGATTTCAGTGTGCTGGGGCGGCATGGACGACGATCATCAGAGCCAGAAACCACGCAAGCAGGATAGTAGAGGAAATTACAAAGTACATGACCGCTTGGCTCATGGGTGATCTGGATCCACCAGAGGATCGGATCACATGTGGAAGCCACCTTCTAGACCCGTAAATCTAAGCCGAACTCGGCTCGGCTACAACGTCGTGGCAGACCGCAAGCTTGATATGGAGCATGCAACGCGCTGAGGAGCCTAACGGTCTTCGGCAAACCGTATAACCTATCACCATGGTTAACACATACCCTTGGCTTTGGTCCTTTCCCTTGCCATACTTTTTGTTACCGTACTCAAGTGAAAGGCATCTTTCCAAAACTCAACATCTATCGTCCTATCTCTCACTCGATGCACGGCGAGACGCACCAAGTCATGATGGGCTTGTTTGATACCTCCCTCCGCGAAATTCTAGCGTCAATCAATTTATGGAAAGTCGCGACTATCGTTTTGCTGGCGATGAATGTGAAATGCCTGCCTTTCGTGTGGCATGTAGGTCGCCTTCCCTAGGACACTGAGAATCGCAGCTATTGACTGCGGACTAGTATCGCATCTTTAACCCCCTGTTGAGAGCCGCGTGGCGAAGATTTCGCTCTGGCCCTCAGTCAACGGTGATCTCTGACTCCAAGACGCCGACCGTGTTCCTGCCTTCTATCACAAGCACCTACGCTCCCTTATTTGAATGCGACTACAACCTGCACAAGTCAAACAGTACATACTTCACTGATTTAGATGCAAGCCGCTCATATCTTCTCTCCGCCCTCTGTTATGACGGGTTGGTCACGGTTGACCGCGAACTAGCCGCCGAGGGAAAGAAGGGCATTTTGGCTGCTATTATCGGGTCAGTCACCACTAGCTTCAAGAAAGAGATCCGGATTTTCCAGGAGTACGAGGTGTGGTCCAGGATTCTTACGTGGGATCGAAAATGGCTCTATATTGTGACCCATTTCGTCCAGAAAGGCTCAGCGAAACCGGCAGGTTATCTAACCGGGAAATCCACGCGCCTTGACTCGAGGAGTTCGACCGAAGAATCCAAATGCCACTCTAGCCAACCGGTTATTTTTGCTACATCGATTTCCAAATATGTGTTTAAAAAAGGGAGGCTCACTATCCCTCCGGCACGGCTTTTGAGAGCTTCCGGCCTTCTGGGACAGGATAAGAAGGGAGAAGAGAAACACGGGGCTCGACCTACCGAAGTTCAAGAACACACAAGCGACTCGGGCGTTCCTGAAGATATAGAGTCGGAACGCCTCAAGGGTATGAAATACGCTGAATCCTGGAACCAATTGGACTCCCTCCACGAAGAACTACTCAAGCGAGATGAGTTAATCAATGGCGTGCTAGCTATAAATCATGTTGGAGACATCACGCTCCCATGGAAACGATTTCCAACTGCCTAGGAGTAAGGGTCTTAAAGAAGTTATGATTACCAATGTCTGCCAACTATGCGGATGCCGCCAGCTTTGTGTGTTGCATGACGAGGATAAGGTCTTGACGGGGATTTCATGAAACATTTTCCGTCTTAGTATGCGGAATAGAAGCAAATACAATCCATAAACTAATGCTTCGTATTATTTGGCAGCGACAAAGAAGAATGAACCGACGGTCAGGCTCGCCACTCAAAGTTGGAACTGAGGAGATATCGGTGCAGTATCCACGCTTGTGGGGCTCAGCCCGTGTGTTGAAAAGTATAAGACCCTAGACTGATAGGACTATGTAATGTCCGGACACCTTTTTAGCCTAGTGGTATTAAATTTCGATACCGTGTCTCTCAATCATTTCCGCCGCCCCCCCATCGTACAAAAGGTGGTGATCATCACTGCTCATTGTAGAACGTTTGATCCCCGTTTATCATAACCAAGTAACCCAACTACCAGTAACTGCATGGCGGCTAGCGATGTTCCTCCTCAGCTTGGCGAGGGTCCAGTCGACCACACTGATGGTTCTTCCGAGGGCATCCATGGCCTATCATTACGAGTAGGTAGTTAGCTGTATGCGAGCAATACTGCGGAATGGTTATAGAGGGATGATAGTTACCTTTGCTTTGGCCTCGCAAGCTTCCGCCTCTTCAGCAGGCGTCGTGACGACATGACCGTTTTCGACTGCGTTGTTGATGAGATGATTAACTGCATCAACAGCAGTGATGGCGTTGTCGAGGGAATGCGTCCCGATGAATATGAGCAAGGCTGTCTGGTGATACAGGTGAAGAATAAGAAGGCACGATTTGGGTTTCTGGCTCCAGCAAAACCTGCTCTTGTGATCGTGTCTGTACACCATTTGCTCTGGGAGCTTGCACTGGCCTGTAACGAGCTGGAGACTTCTTGCTCCTCTTTGTCGCTTCTGTATTCCTTGAATGACCATGCTGTCTGCGTGTTCGAAATCTGTGGCGAGCTGAAAAGTGCGAATGCGCTGCTTGTCGCCTCTCTCTGCTCGCTTCAGGATACCTCGAGATGAAAGATATCTGGCCTGGGGAACGACTATCTCAGTCGATTGTGACAAGTCTTGTGTCTTCACTGCACATGGCACCCAAACCTTGGGAAAGTGGCAAGGTCGGAACAGGCCCATAGCCTCATACAAAACGTTCCAATCAACAGAAACGAAGAGGCGTTGTCAAAGTACCGCAGTCCACATCGTGTCGGCTATCAAAGCCAGTTTTATTCTGAGTAATAGAATTATCTCTGATCTAGACCAAGCCAGGGACCCACATTCTTCAGCCGTTCAGCTATCAGATTAGGAATTGTCGCAAGTATGATATTGGGAATAGCCGGCAAAGAGAGTATGAATCTCAGTCGTGCGAATGCATGATTCTGATATATGACACGGGGGGTTCAAAGCAGAGAACAGGACGTCACCCATTCCAGAATTGATATCAAATTCAAGAAATAATTTGGCTTCTCAGCTGAGCTTTCCACCCAGGTAATCTGAGACCGGAGCCGTCCAATTTTCAAGAGGACGACAGGTCGGCACGCAAGTCGGTCAAGTATTCTTTAATTTCAGGTCCACTTGTTCTTCTTCCTTTTCATAAAATTGTCTAGGAAGACATGGGAGAGCAGCTCAGTGTAGTCGAGCGGATAGATTCCTGTTCGAAAAGGAGAATACCTCACACATTTCGACTTAAGTTGTAGAGTAGCATCCAGGCTTAGATTAAACAGTAGCCTTGCATCAAACAACATCTAACGGAATATGCTGGGGAGGGTTGTCAATAATCAGCCTCATTCCAGGCTGCACAACTCCTCCCTTCTTCACTGTAGCCATAACACCCGCCAACCGCCTGACAATGTGACGCTCTTCATCACGAACCAAGAACCGGTCTTTCAATCCAGCCTGGAACTTGTCAATCTGAGGACAGGGATTTCTCAACCCTGTAAGGGCAATAACAGCCTCCTCGCCCGCAGCCTCGCCATCTCCAACGAAACGAATCTCCGTCCCGGTACCGAGACTCAAGAGATCGACTCCCTCGGTGGTGATATTCTGTCCCAGAACACCAGGCGCCAGTAGCTGTGTCTTCATCTCATCGGTTGGCAACGTTGCGCATATACCCCGCAGAACTTCCATCGGCATAAGGTGCACTTGGCGAAGGTTTGCTGGCGGAGGCTTAATGTGCAGGCGTGAACGATGCTGAACAGTCTCCCCGGCATGACAGTCGCCTTCCACGCCGAGATTGGCGATGAGTTTGATGGAAGGGACGGCGTTTTTGGAGAAGTTATGCGAGGCCGAGGTCGTCACTGAGAGAACGCGGGGTGGCCTGGATTGAGGGGCTGCCATCATTGAGGTATGGAAAGCCGACGAGGTGCTCGGAACAGACCTTCTGAAGCCACTTGATCGTTCGTTGATTGTGAATTTCAATCCTCTGGCATGAAACTATCTTCCTCAGATCTTTCATGAAGCGAGGAAGAGAGTAGATAAGGGCGGCACGATGGCATGACTCACATGAGAACACGGAATGATGGCTCTTGCTATTGGCTGGCCGCCTCGTGTTTCCGCTGTTTGTGCTTATATACCTTCAACAGCCATGAGGATATGGTTCCTCGACCGTTTCACAAAATTCCGACTTTTTTCATGGTTTTGATACTGATGACCCGGTGTGCTGAACCATGGTTGACCTGGATAATTGCCAAATGCTTAAATAGTAGCGTTGTCGCAGGGTCCTGGTGATCCCGGTCGAGGATAAGGTACCTGTAGCAATGGGCTCCGATGCTTGGATTTCTGGCTTGATTGCATTCGTCACATAGCTCGCGTTCCTTTACTGTACGGAGATGTTTTCTTTCGGTGCTACTTCAGTGCATCGCCCGTGCGACCTCTCCTACGAAGATGATGTAGGAGTTGCTCCAATTGCCACCGGCTTGTTACCGTTGGGGTTCTAATATGAAGTTGACTGATCGTCTTGTGCCTTGTGCCAATCGGCTTTCCTAAATAAGTAGCGACGGCTCATAGCCTGAAGCTGTGTCTATCTGGACGACTAATGCTATTGCCAGGTGGTTCAACCACGTTCGATTAGGTAAATTCGATTTGGCATTTCACCAACTCACGTTCCAGGCGTGAAGAGATGCGAGCGTAAGGCTTTCTGCGAACCGGCCTTGGACAAACTCAAACATGACTGTTCCCGGGGGAAAGAGACTCTAGAGCCCTAACTCTCCATGAACAGAAGAATCGATCGGCTTCTTGTCGTCTGGTTGTCGCCACCGGATCTCCGCCCCGGAGCTGATTACGTCGGTTGAAGACTCCAACGATGCGGACTCTTGTCGGTCATGCTCTCTCTAAAACCATAGATTGCTTGTCGAATAAGATTCAGATGTACTGTGAGTGACTCTCGTCTGGCAGGACCTCGCGCCGGGGCATGTAAACGGAGACCGCGAGGGAGTACTCACTCTTCAGGAGGACCATGTCGGGCCCGCATCAGCTGCTTCTTGCTATTGCAGCTGGGGATATGACACCTGACTCGCCAGTATCGATATACCCATTATCCGCATACCAACCTGCAGGGATATTAACCAAGATAGATCAGATATGGTGCGGATTAACTCAAACCCATTCCAGAACCAGTCTATGTCCAACTTAGCGGTTTCACTCTGGTTACGGTTTGTCGAGCAATAGTCGACGATGCTATCCATATCATTCCGGTCTTAATGTCTATGTTTAGTCCTGAAGCATTTCAAATACTGATTCGGGCTTGGATCATCATTCACAAACCCCTCCGGATTATAATTAGATAGACAGCATAATTGGACACCTGAACAAGCCATCGACTAAGACTCGCAGGAGCCTAGCTAGTTTGCATTGGATTGGCGACGCAGCCATGAGCTCCATTGATCTGGTATTTGGGAGGCCTGAAAGAGGTCCGACATCCAACCATAGCAAAAAGATTTCGGTTCGCCGCATACTTTGTACTGATCAAGTAGGCTGAACTCCCTGAGTCGTATTCAACCATTGCTTTGAAAATCAATCAAGAAGTATAAAAGCACGTTAATCTCCAGAGTTGAACACCATTATTATCAAATGACGCAACGCAACAGTTTATCAACCGATCCTTTCTCACTTTACAAACCCTTTCTTATCATACGAAATGAAAGTCTCGACCATCTGCTCTCTTCTCTTGGCTGCTGGCTCTACTATAGCTGCCCCGGCCAAACGGACAGAGCAAGCCATTAGCATCAGCGGCCTCTCTGCCTCTCAGACCGACCAGCAGGGATATATCGCCTTCACCTTGAAAGATCCCAACTACGACGACTCCACCGGTGCGAATGTGATCTGGTATAGTTATTTCCCTTTTTTATCCAATACGTGATCTAACAGACATGACAGGCATCGTCCCGGAAGCCCCGTTTCTGGCGCTCGCACTAGCGACGGTGCCTACTATGTCAATTTCCCGGGGGGTGTGAACGACATTGCGGTCTTTACCTTGGAGGTCCAGCGAGTCAAAAGCACCGAGACAGTCTCTGTTACTCTCAACGGCAATGGAAACGGCAGTGCTTCAGGCACTAAGTGGTCGTGCACCTCGGCCAATGACTCTGTTGGGGGGCCAGTGGAGAAGTGTGCCTATGATGGCGACATCACCTTGACCCCTTTCAATTCCTAGGGTTCACTGGCTTGTGATAGAGTCTTTCATTCTGTTTGCGTAGTATAAGTGCAATAGACATTGCCATATACAATGTTAATTTCCTTTGGATTTAGAAATTTCTGTTATTCATGAGAGGGGTCCTTTATCTCTATGCTATTAGACTGCAGGGGCGATTACTATAGCTCCCTTCTATTATTAGGTTTTCTTTTCTCCAGGCGTCCCGTCAATTTCTTCCAAACTATTCCGTAATGTCCTTTACTCAGGCCCGTGTTCATCTTAAGCTTTCTGTAGCAATTGGCCCAATTACCTTCAAGATCAGGCGTGCCACTGAACCGATCTTCGCAGGACGACCCAGTGAAAGTCCACTAACTAGCAAATTATTTATAGGGTAACTCCGCCAAAATCAGATTTGATGACTGGGTCATGAACTAGGCATCAGAGCTTGGGCACATAGTCCATGTGGGAGAAATAGACGGAGAGCAAGCATGAATACAAGCATCGCCCCCAGCTTTGAAGCACATTTTAAAGGTCTTTCATAGAAAGCACTTGGCTCTTTATTCTCATGATGAAGTCTTTAAGGCTTTACTCTGCTTTCTTTGTTTACTCTTCTCAGTTCGTCTTATGGACTACCTTCCCATACGACACGCTCTATGGTAAATGACTGGGCGTCTGTGAGCAACCTGCCACTGCATGCACTACTGGGATTGTTCAACTCATGCGGAATCTAGATTGAACCATCTCAGTATCTTCAGTGAACTCCTTGCTTTGACAACTTCACATGCGTGCCTTGGATTACAGGATCCATCACAGGGAACCACTGCGATTGCCTTTATTAGGCTCGCAGCTACAAATGTGACACAAAACACAGAGAATCTGCTAACTAACCAGGGCCGTCCTGGAGGGCCTGGCGTCGATATCGTACTCCAGGGAGGATCCAGTCTGGCTGAGGCTCTGGGATGGCAGCATAACATTGTCGGCTTCGATCCTGAAGGAGTCGGGCAAAGCGGTCGAATCACCGGAGAAACGCGCCCAGTTTGAGAACCTCTTCTACCCGGAAGTCTCTCATGCTTCATCTACGGCCCTGGGTACTCGGTATTACGCCGCTGAATTTTGCAAGGCTTGAACGGAAAATGTGGGAGGGCCCGATGGAAATGCCTCGTTCATCAGCACCCCTGCCGTTGCTCATGACCTGTCCACTTACATCAATGCAGAGCAGGCGTTATCTGGAAAGCCGTTGAACGAGTACAAGATCTCGTACCTTGCCGTGAGCTAGGGCGCCGTGTTGAGTGCCACATTTGCGTCTCTCTCTTCCCTAATCATGTAGGCAAGATGGTTCTCGATGGGTGGCTGACGCAGCGGACTACTATAATCTAGGCTGGAGAACCGATCTCTACAACGCGGATAAAGCCCACGACTCGTTCAGCAAATACTGCTTCCAGGGCGGTGCTACGAATTGTTCGTTCTGGGGTCCATCTGTTTGAAACATTACCAGCCGCTTGCACGGGCTACTGGCCGAGCTGAAATACCATCCCGTGCCTATTCCGAGCTCAGAGGCTTGCGATATCCCTTTGATAGCAATTTATTCGGGTTTGAAAGAGTACATCCTTATCGCGATGTATACTCTGCTATCGACTATTGCAGTCCTAGCCGACGTCCTTTCAGGTTTGGAGCGAGGCAATACTTCGGCATATGTCAGCGCAGTGACGGATGGCTCCATACCTGCAAAGCCGTGCAATAACGGCAGTGGAAGGACCGAGACAACTCATGTAAACACGCTGATCAGATGCGTGGACGGTTATGCTGGGCACAAGTTCGAGAATCTGACTGATTATCGAAACAATGTCCGCACATTAATCTCGCAATGCCGTTTCTTCGGCGAGGTGTGGCCCAACAATGCGAATGGGGTCCTATGCAGATCTGTTGATGCAAATCCGCTGAAGTCAGGACGGCTTCCAGGTATGTGAGCTGCGAGAGATTTGGAGTATGGGGTCGGTTCTAACCTCGACTAGGCTCTATTTTGGAAACCCGAAAGACCTCGTTTCCCGTCTTATTCGTCACAGCCGAGACTGATCCCGTCGCTCTAAAGAGAGGGTGAGTATCTAGCTATTAGATCGTCCAGTAGCCGAAGCTGATCATGTTACAGCGCGTACAAAATGACGTCGGTCTTTCCTGGATCTGTTCTTTTGACACAAGCATCAGTTGGCGTAAGTGAATCCGAATCGATTAGTCAAGCAGGGCCAGGACACTAATGAAGTCTTAACCAGCATACCGCCATTGCCAGTCTCTCTCCGTGCTATCCGAACCATGTTCGGATGTACCTTAGTGGCCAGCTTCTTGCAGCGAAGACAACCTGTTGACCGGATGTGATGCCATTTCGAAGTTCAGCTTCATTGTCTTTTGAAAGATAAACTTGTACTTTAGCTAAGCCAAATTTAAATTGAGGATTCTTGCAAAACCACGTTCTTCCCTTTTCCCCTTTTGCGCCCACTTCTTATTCTTCCAGCGGCGGCGTATCTGAGCAGAGAGTCGCCATCACCCTATACGACTAGTCAGCACTCTCTGGAGTCAAGAATAGGAAGAGAGGAATAATTACTTACGCAGCAGGGTACCGGGTGCCTTCAATCTCTACCTTCTCCGCCAGAGTCCTAATCTCCTGCACTTCTTGGTCGCTCAACTGCAGCAGTGCAGCCGCGGCATTTTCGTCCATCCTGGCAGCCGACTTCGTACCAGGAATAGGGACGATATCCGGTTCGGTCGCCAGCAGCCACGCAAGGGCAACCTGTGCTGGGGTGCTCCCATGACCATTAGCCACATCTTTCAATTTGTCCACCAGTTTCAGAATTTCCGGGAAGTTTTCCTCCGCGTACTTGGGGTACATGCGGCGCAAGTCACCCTCGGGAATATCTGCGCGAGATTGGAATTGGCCTGTCAGTATACCCCGTCCAATCGGGCTAAAAGCAACGATAGCCACGCCGAGTTCGCGGCAGGTCTTGAGGATCTCTGATGCTGGTGATTCGATGTCTAGTGTAAACAGGCTATATTCCACCTGTAAGGCGGTAATAGGGTGCACGGCATGCGCGCGCCGTAATGTGGTTGCTGAGACGTCCGATAGACCCAAATAGCGAATTTTGCCTTGGCTATATAATGGAACAGTTAAACTTCGGTTGCTCTATATTAGGTGAAGGTTCAGGCTGGATGACCTACTTCTTCAGCTCCACCATGGCTCTAATCGTCTTTTCAATCGGCGTGACTCCGTCCACCCTATGACAGTAGTAGAGATCGATGGTGTCGACCCCGAGTCTCTGAAGACTTCGTCCACATGCAGCCTTGACATACTCGGGATCGGACCGGAAAGTATGGCTTCCATTAGGGTGTCGCTGGAGCCCGAACTTGGTGGCCAGGAAGACGTCGTTGCGCTTGCCGGATTGTTTGATCCATTCCCTCACAACGTCCTCGCTGTCCCCGTAGATGTCGGCCATGTCCCAAAAGCGCAATCCGGCGGCATGTGCGTGCTCCAAAAGGGCCACTCTCTCGTCAAGGGTACCAGCTGGTCCGTAGAATCCGCCAATGCTCCCAAAACCAAGACCGATGGCAGAGACGGAGGGCCCATCTCGGCCCAGCGTACGTAGGGGAAGAGACATTTGGAGGTTAAAGAGGCTTGGAAAGGAGATGAGGGGAGGATAGACCTGTCAAGTCCAAAGCAATTCCTGAGTGATTCCTTCCTGATTATCATATCTTTGGTAGTCCTTCACGAGCCTTACCCGTTTGGGTTCCCGACTCTCCTTAATTGACACAGCAGTCCACCGCGGGGGGCCGGAGTATATGTAATAAGGCGACGAGCGTGATGATATTTGAGATTCTGCGCATCCCACTAGTAGCTATTGAATGACTCCAATTTAATAGTAGTAGAAGTAGTAGAAGTAGTAGAAGTAGTAGAAGTAGTAGAAGTAGTAGAAGTAGTAGAAGTAGTAGAAGTAGTAGAAGTAGTAGAAGTAGTAGAAGTAGTAGAAGTAGTAGAAGTAGTAGTAGTAGTAGTATTTAGTAATGTCCGGAACAGGGGCACTTTGTGCTCTGGCCTCCCATGGGGGATAGGGACGGGCTAATCTATGGAATTACATAAAGTGTGAGACGACTAGAAAGCAATCAAGAAGTTACAGGTTACAGGTCAGGTGGACCTTGAAAAAGATGAGGTGGACGCCCCACCTGTCTTGGCACTCCCAACCTCCCAGGTCAACATTTAAATACTGTAATGGATACCATGAAATTCGTTTTCAATTTCTCCTCTGCAATTATCTGCACATTGATTTAAACTCAAAACCACTTATTAACTGATTAGTTACTGCGTCTGTATTGATAATATGGATTCAGAGGCTCTCTCAATGAACTGTGGTGAAATAGATGATGTCTCCTTGAACGAAGAGGAGAATGAAGAGGTAAGAATCAGAACTGCTTTTCAAGTACTTACTAACTGATTTTTGACAACCTAGGCCCAGCCAAGCTGCTTTACTCAGTTAACAGACACAAAAACTCATCCACTTCAAACACTGTATATTGAATACACAAATGATTTGCCAGAGTATCCAAGGACAGATCCAAATGGATATACCTATGTTATTCCAGTGAATAACTACTCTCAAGAAGAAGCAGAGCAATTAGTCAAAGATGTAAGTACTTATCAAGTGCTTGCGAATCTCTCTTACTAACCAATTCAAAGATTCAATATTCTCGAGCGAGTGTCCAAGGTGCAAGAAAGAATATTAAATCATCCTTTTTGAACTGCCCAGTTAAGAAATGGATATGGAAATGTTCTGGAGCTCTAGTATGTGAATATCTGAAACCAGATCTACGCCTGCTGCACCATACTTTTTTAGATAAGGCAACATGGCAGGAAATCAAAGATATATGAGAGAATATCGACCCAATTGAACAAGATATTCGCAAGCGGAATGCGTATAGGTAAGCACTTATTGAGTACTTACTAGCTACTTACTAACTTTCTAAAACCTATAGTCTGTATCGTTCAAAAAAAATTTTCTTCGAGAGACAAAAGGCATGCCTTGAACAACTTCCAACCTGCGTCACCCGACGGTGGATAGTGCCAAAGTTACGAATGAACGATTCGTTGACCATTAAAACCGAACTACCGAGCAAAATCCTGGCTGACGTGTTGGAGGCATTGATCGGGGCTTCATTTGTGAATGGCGGATATCCATCTGCATGGACAACCATGCATCAATTTCTGAAACCGATTCCAACTGCGATGCCGTCTTTTTCAGGACGCCCGACGTCAAAGGCTGGGTTGGTTATTCCACCTGAATTAGACAAGAAAATAGGCGTTCTGGTAGGCCACAACTTTAGCGACCGTTATGTTATATGGGAAGCCCTCACGCATCCTTCATGGAGGAGAGACACAAGCACAGGCTCCTACCAAAGGCTAGAGTTTCTCGGAGACGCAATTCTCGACATGATCATAGCAAGACGGCTATACCAGAACAAACCGCAGCTGACTGAAAGTCAGATGACGCAGATCAAGGCTGCCATGGTCAATGGAAATTTTCTTGCATTCCTTTGTCGCAACCTTGGGCTTGAAGAGGAAATTGTACAGATCTACGAACCACGCACGGGGGTCTTTGACCGAGTCCTGCAGAAAGATCGCCTGGAGCTTTGGAGATTCATGCGACATGACAGTCCGGACGTCCCCGCGGCCCAACAATCCTGCGTGAGGAGGTATATTCGACTACGCGAGCAAATTCGACATCATCTCTCCTGGAATGACCCTCTTCCAAGAGATGCAGCAAAAGCGCCGAGCCTGGACCCGTACTATTGAAAAAGTCAAAGCGTCACACTGGAAACAGTTCCTAGACAGAGCTGGGGAAGGAACACTATGGAAAGCTGCTACCTATATGAAACCGCGAGAGACCTGGGGTTGCGTCTCGGCCTTGCACGTTGGTTCTAACGAACTGGTGGAGAACGAGGACAAAGCACAAGCGTTTCTGGACACTTTCTTCCCCAAAATGGACCAACCCCTCGAAGACCCACCAATCCAGGCCCCGTTGGAGCTGCCCTGGCCACCAATCACGGAACTAGAAGTCCAGCGATCTCTTAAAGCAGCCAAAAGCTCCACGGCACCGGGCGAAGACGGTCTACCGACGCTTGTGTGGAAATGCCTGTGGAAGTATGTAGGAAAGTCATCACCAAAATTTTCACAACATTAATCGAACTAGGGCACCACCCGAAACGATGGCGGAGAGCAAAGATCGTGGTGTTGCGGAAACCTGGGAAGCCGGACTACTCGATCCCTGGGGCCTATCGCCCGATCTCACTCCTCAACACACTCGGTAAACTTCTTGAGGCAGTGATGGCTCGACGACTATCGTACCTTGCCGAGCAGCACGGCTTACTACCCGACACACAATTTGGAGGGCGACCGGGCAGGACCACTGAACAAGCCCTGCTAGTCCTTTCTAACGCAATCGACCAAGCTTGGTATAAACATGCAGTAATGACACTCGTCGCGTTCGATCTGAAAGGGGCCTTTAACGATGTCAACAAAATCAGCCTTGACGCCCGCCTCCGAGCAAAGGGAATCCCAGCCATCGCTAGAAAGTGGATTGCAAGCTTTATGAGCGACCGCTTCGCTAATATAGGATTTGATGACTTCCGTACCGAGGTCGCCCCGCTAGTCAATGCAGGACTAGCGCAGGGCTTACCCCTCTCACCCATTCTGTTCACATTCTTCAACTCCGACCTGGTCGACCAACCTGTCACGTTTCATGGTGGCGCATCAGCCTTCATTGATGACTACTTCCGCTGGCGAGTAGGCCGCTCAGCCGAAGAGAACTAAGCCAAAATCCAGTCAGAGGATATCCCTCGCATCGAAGCGTGGGCGCAACAGATTGGCTCCTGCTTCGCAGCTGAGAAGACCGAGCTTATCCATATCACCAGGAAAAGAAGTGAGCAACTACAAGGGCAAATAGTCATAAACGGGAAAACTATCGAACCATCACCCACGGCGAAGCTACTGGGTGTGATCTTCGACCATGAGCCGAGGTGGAAAGAGCACGTCCAGCAAGCCATCAAACGGGCCACCAAGGTGACCATCGCTCTGGCTGGACTACGACATCTACGCCTAGAACAGATGCGACAAATTTACCAAGCGTGCGTCACACCAGTGGTAGACTATGCGTTCGGTCTGGCATGACCCTCTACGTGACAAAACCCACCTACGCCACCTAAAAACAGTACAAAGGGCCCCTCTGATCCGTCTCCTGTCGGCGTTCAAGACAGTAGCGTCCACCACTCTAGAAGTGGAAGCATATGTTCTTCCAACACACCTCCGCCTCCGCCGCTGAGCACAATATACTATCACGAGACTCCACACTCTACCTCGCAATCACCCTATCTGGAGTGCGCTCCTCCGAGCTCAGAGACGAAGGAACAACATTGGAAACTACGCTCGGTTCCCACTGGCGGAAGCTCTAAAGTCTATGGACCTACAAAGATTGGATGAACTAGAAACGATCGACCCAAGTCCCCTGCCACCGTGGCGAGTTGAACCCTTCGCGGAGATTGAGGTCGGGTCAGACCGAGAGACAGCCGTGGAGCGCGCTGAAACCACGCGGTTCACATCGGACATTGTCGTCTACTCAGATGTCTCGGGACGCGAGGGTCACCTAGGCGCTGCCGTTGTGGCACTCAACAGCAACTTGGAGACCGTTGAATCTCAGCAAATTCAAGTGGGACCAATGGACCGCTGGTCTGTTCATGTAGCGGAGCTTATTGGTATATTCTACGCTATCAGCATGGTGTTTAAAGTTGCCCATCAGCTCTCGAGAGGCTTAGAAAGGGGACGGAAAACAGCGACAATACTGTGTGACAGCCGATCAGCCTTGCAGGCAACTCAAAATCCGAGGAACAAATCTGGACAGCAGATCATCCACGCGATCCTCCAAGCTGCCACAGAAGTCCAAACAGAGGGAATCTCGCTGCACCTTCAATGGGTGCCAGGGCACTGTGATAACCCTGGAAACGACGCTGCGGATCGACTGGCCAAGGATGCCGCGCGCCCAGGCAAAACACAACCATTCTGCCCACTACCTTCGATGGAAAGCGCGCGCCTCCGCGGCAATATCCTCAATCAGTGGGAACAGGAATGGAGGTCATCCAACAAAGGTGGTCACCTACGAAAGATCGACAGCACCCTGCCAGCAACCTACACAAGGAGGCTATATGGGAGCCTGCCCAGGAACCGACTGTACCTGTTAACACAGCTACGCACAGGCCACAATTGGTTATCCACCTACGCTAAAGCCTTTCGCTTCCGCGACGACGACCTGTGCGTGTGCGGCGCACAAGAGACTGTCACCCATGTGATAGTGGACTGCCCGGATCTGAGGGACATTCGAAGGGAGTTACGGAGGGAAGTAGGGGACGCGTTCAGTAGCGTCTCGAGTCTGCTGGGAGGCTCGACCGAAGGTAAGAAAGGTAAACCGGACACCGTCTCAAGGGCGAAGACGGTCAAGGCCGTTTTTGGACTTCGCCGAGGCGTCACAGCGGTTTTGGAGTCGCGCGCCACGAGGGCAGCCTAACAATGGGAACGGCAGTTAGGCCACGGCAGGCCTTGACGAGGCTCTAAGTTCGTTTCAGGAAGTGGTACGCTCTACATGTACGTACGCATATATAGTTGTGGTAGGCTGCATATCGCTTTCATGGCGAGGGGTCAGGTAAATGACATCAACCAACCAACCAACCAACCAACCACTGTAATATGTATAATCAGTTTACTAGTAGTTCCATCACAAGTTGATTTCGAGCTCCCCTATTTATTTCAACAAGCACATTCTGCACCTCACTGAATCACCAGGATTGACCTGCTCCCTGAAGTATGACTCTCTATGTGTCAACCGCAATAACAGGGGCAACCCTTGCCTTTTAGATCCTAGTTGCAGCCACCGACAGCTTTTGTGGTCTATCGGGCCAGGACTCCATTGTGTGAGCGACCCTCGCACCACGAGACTTGGTGTCTGGGCTGCTTCTGATCTTAGCCCTTCTCCACTATTTTGAGTTTATCTAGAATGGCTTCTTCCATCTTGCGCTGGACCCTGCTGCACACTCTAGATATCATGGGAGCGGTTCCACATCTTGAGTTCCTAATCGAGACGGACTGGAGGCAGATCGAGAAGCCGACGAGGATAGCGCAGATATGGTGGAGGAGGACTCCTAACAAGGTTTGTATCACAGTTTTAGACTAGATGAGGGTCTTGCATGCTGACTTGTAGGTGTTTAGGAGCTGACCGACCATGAAGTCATTCCTAATATGAGCCTGTTCATTGTTCTGTGTATGAGGGCTTGGGTTTCCCTGTGAACCTCTGCTGCAAACCTGCCACAACACAAGGTCATGATAAGTAGGGCAAGCGTAGGTGAAGCAGCAGCTCAATCTTTCGCCTGGTTTCTAACTGTCATAACATAGAGCTTGATCATGTTTGCTATACATAATGTCGTCCTCCGCTTCTATATCGACAATTGGAAGATTGCCAGGCCAACCATGAGGAAGGTAGACCGGCTCATGATTATAATCAAAATCGACTGTATCCTTGATCTCGCAAGCGACAACGCGACAGAACTCTGCCGTTACTGAAGCCGGCATTCCTGTAATTATCTGCACTACCGTGGTTTGAGAGAGTAGGTGTCGGAAAGACAAACGGCTATATAAACCAGGGTACTTCGTTTGTCGATTTTCGTGAACGCTGAGAAATGGAGAGAAATCTAGTCTTCTTGGTGCCCTAATTACACAACCACTGCACCTCCCAAACATGGCAGAGAGAAAGCTTCTGTCTAGACAAATAGCCTCAGAATACACAGCCAGCCTCATATAGGGGCCACTTTGTGGTAGCATCTACAAAGGATCGCTCCGCAAATTCCGTCGTCCAGGAACGGCTGAGGCTCATCGTCAATCACGTTTCACTACGTTGTACCCTGGTTGGTTGCCTCTCATCAAAACACTATCGGTCTGTCGCCGCTGCCAATGTGCGGGCAAATTTATCTGTACGCGTGCAGCCAGATAGAGTCTGATTTACACACTACAACGTTGTGACCCCGCCACATTTGCGATCCGTCACAGCTTCATTCTGTTACCCGGCTGCACTAGGGATATACTACACACTAGTCCATGCCGCGGCACAGGTTGGTCTGCTGTTTAAGGGATTCCAACTGCGGAAAAAGTCGTAACATGGAGGTAGACAACGTGGTCGCTCCGCTTTGAGAATTTTGCTGGTACAGCTGGTTGCAATACCGGTGCAAATGTTTATACTTCTGGGCTCTTTCCTGAAACCTCATTCAAAACAGAGCTAAACCGTAAATAGCAAGCCCATGGAATATCTATCTTCCGTGTATTTTAACGGTAAAAAAAAGGTGTAATCTGATATAATGACATACGGACATACGTATGGATCCCGTACGGGCGATCCATGGGGGATTGACTTCGCGAGCAGAAGAACAACCTCCCTCTTGATAGGGTATCACTCCTAATCGGTGATCCCTACGACGGAGGAGCACGACAAAAGGGCGAAGATGATCATTTCAGAGGTGGGAGAAAAACTTTTTAAAAACAATTTTTTGCTTCTTCTTCGTGCGCAAGGTTTCAGTGAATGAACAATTTTGATCCCAGTCGACTGTCGGGAAGTTGAATAAGCTATGCTCCCAAAGCGACCAACTTTGCATGATTTGCAAGAGATCCACGATAAATTTCCGCGGGATAAAACAGAACTCAGTGCGCTGTGTAATATCAGCAGATTTGGTACTGTTACTACAAGCCTATAATGAACGGCTTATCTGCATGCCCGAGTTTAACACATTGTAATTTCTTCACTTCATTTAACCTGACGGATAGCCCCTCCAGAAGCGGCACCGAGGGAGAGAAAAGTTTCTGCCTCAGGCCTGTCTCACCGTACCGTCCATCTCTCCTTCGTTCGTCCTAGCAATAAACTGCCGTAATATCTGTTTGTTCCGCCCACTGGGTCCACCGAATAGCTCCATGGCTGTCCGCTCCGTATTTGCTCAGCCCATAGCGTAGCATCTGGTCCAACTCTCTCCATGCCATGACCTTCCGAGCCACATGCCCCAGTCATAGTAAAGGGCGGTCCAAATCATGTTCCCCAGTCTTTCTCGACAACTGCCCAATACGTCATCAATCGTCTGCTTCAACATCAAGGTCATGGTTGCCTGCCCACATGATTTCGCAACTCCCGCGAATACGTTGGAGTTGGCGTGGAAGACATGAGCAGAGGTTTTTTTCAGGCTTGCTGAGGCAAGAAATGTTGTAAGGGTCGGTGCTTTCAATTCAGTGATGGCAAGCTCAGTTGCGAAAGAATACAGGCGCTTGCAGGTTCGGCTTCCACATTTCTGCACTTTAGTCCGTAGTAACTTTGGGCAATTCTTCTCATATTTTACGGAGCGTACTAGGTGATATAGTACCGTAAAGAATCCCTGGAGCTTGGTCTTGGCGAAGTCAATGCCTGTGGGAAAAGAGTAAATCCAGGTCCGATTCGTCGATGGGAGACCACGTCAAGTGGAACAGGATCAGTCCCTATGTTCCGATATTAGCTGCTGGTCACGTGCTTGTCAAGAGGGGCCGTAGCAAGTTTACGTTAGTGCCTCAGTCGTTGGGCGGCGGTCGGAACTTTCAGTTCCGGGTCACTAAGTCAGGTGACTAAATTGCCCAGCTAACCCGAAAGGGCTAAGCACAGGAACGGAGAAGCCTGGGTTCCGAGGTGAGTGGCAAGTCACGGAAAGGTCTTCTGCACGAATCCTCTCCCCCTGCCTGCAAGTGTTCCGCATTTTCCAGCTCAGGGAACCCGACCTTGAATTACCCCGCGCCACCTATTCCCGGAAACTGAGTGATATTCCTGCCTCCATTCAATTTACTCTCACTAGATTGAGTAAAGAAAGATCTTTGCCACAAAAGCATCCATCACTTGGGTACCAACGTGCTCATTACACAGCTTGCAATCTAGAATCTGCTGGAGGCTTCGTGCGGGAATATAGTGAAGTATAAAGGGAATACTTTCCCCAGGCCATTCTTCTACAAAGAGACTAAGGAGAGTAGGTAAGAGGGAAGATAGGGACAAAGCACCAACTATAATTGTGGTAATTACAAAAACGTTTACCATGTTAGGTCAACCAGAGGAATGTCAAGGCACCTGATCGATGGCCAAGGATCACTGTTTTCTCTCTGGTAAGCACACATGTCGCCCGATACTGTGGTGGAAGCCAAATCAAGTGCTGCCCGTTGCGGCTTATCCATCTCTCATGCACGATTATCATGTTGCCGAAAGAATTGGAGGCTTTATAATTCAAGGAGAGCGAACTACGATCAGAGTTCAGACAACGGCCATCCGCCGAGAATGAGAGGGTTTTCACTATTGTATCAGAATGATATATCTGCCTCGCACTACCCGTGGCTGCGTCCCAGAGCCGGATGGTCTTATCAGCAGCAGCGGACGCGATTGTCTGCCCATCAGGTGAGAAGGCCACTGCCGTGACAGAGTCCGTGTGGCCCTGCAGGGTCTTCCTTACAGCACCTGTTGCTGCGTCCCAGAGCCAGATGGTCTTATCAACAGCAGTGGACGCGATTGTCTGCCCATCAGATGAGAAGGCCACTGCCGTGACAGAGTCCGTGTGGCCCTGCAGGGTCTTCCTCACAGCACCTGTGGCTGCGTCCCAGAGCCAGATGGTCTTATCATCAGCAGCAGACGCGATTGTCTGCCCGTCAGGTGAGAAGGCTACTGCCTCAACTGAGGCTGTGTGGCCCTGCAGGGTCTGCCTCACACTACCTGTGGCTGTGTCCCAGAGCCGGATGGTCCTATCATAGGAAGCAGACGCGATTGTCTGCCCTTCAGGTGAGAAGGCGACTGCTGTGACCCAGCCTGTGTGGCCCTGCAGGGTCTGCCTCGCACTGCCCGTGGCTGCATCCCAGAGTCGGATGGTCTTATCATCAGCAGCAGACGCGATTTTCTGCCCGTCAGGTGAGAAGGCCACTGCGATGACTGAGTCTGTATGGCCCTGCAGGGGCTGTCCCACACTACCCGAGGCTGCATCCCAGAGCCGGATGGTCTTATCATCGGCAGCAGACGCGATTGTCTGCCCGTTAGGTGAGAAGGCCACTGCCATGGCTGAGTCTGTGTGGCCCTGCAGGGTCTGCCTCACAGCACCTGTGGCTGCATCCCAGAGCCAAATGGTCCCATCTTTAGCAGCAGACGCGATTATCTGCCCGTCAGGTGAGAAGGCTACTGCCTCAACTGAGGCTGTATGGCCCTGCAGGGTCTGCCTCGTACTACCCGTGGCTGCGTCCCAGAGCCGGATGGTCCCATCTTTGGCTGCGGACGCGATTATCTGCCCGTCAGGTGAGAAGGCCACTGCTGTGACCCAGTCCATGTGGCCATGCAAAGTCTGCCTTGCACTACACATGGCTGTGTCCCAGAGCTGGATGGTCCCATCTGTGGCAGCAGACGCGATTATCTGCCCGTCAGGCGAGAAGGCCACTGCTGTGACCCAGCCTGTGTGGCCCTGCAGGGTCTGCCTCACAGCACCTGTGGCTGCATCCCAGAGCCAGATGGTCCCATCTGTGGCAGCAGACGCGATTGTCTGCCCGCCAGGTGAGAAGGCTACTGCCTCAACTGAGGTTATGTGGCCCTGCAGGGTCTGCCTTGCAGTACCTGTGGCTGCATCCCAGAGCCGGATTGTCCCATCTTTGGCAGCAGACGCGATTATTTGCCCGTCAGGTGAGAAGGCCACTGCGATGACCCAGCCTGTGTGGCCCTGCAGGGTCTGCCTCGCACTGCCCGTGGCTGCATCCCAGAGCCGGATGGTCTCATCAGCGGCGGCAGACACGATTGTCTGCCCCCCAGGTGAGAAGGCCACTGCTGTGACCCAGCCCGTGTGGCCCTCCAGAACTTGCATACATGGATCCCAGGATTCCTGCGTTACATATGCCCGCTCTATAAACTCGAACCGCTCATCCCAATAGAGTTTCTTGCTCAAACTATTTTGAGGACAGAAGACAAGTGTGGCACTATAGGTTTGTAGAGGTGCCTCTTGTATTATTATAGCATTGCCACTCGCAAACCTCTCGGCTTCCTTGAAGATAGCCTGATGCTGGGTATGACAAGCGGAAAGCTTTTTGAGACTTAATATCCCATGCCGGAGCTCGCCAATGAGGCCAAGGCTTTCTAACCAGTGGAGGAGATGCTGTTTGAAAAATTCGGATATTTGACCTTCTGATGATTCAACCTTCGTCAGGGACCCAGAATCAATGAAATGGTCCAACCAGTACGTGCAACTATATCGCAGGTCGAACAGCGGGTCAGGATGTGGTCGGAGAGCCGCTATCTCAGATACTAGAAGACCTGGATTATCAAGATTATAGAGGTTGCGTCGCAGCTTAATCGAGAGAATCTCTATGGATCGGCTCCACAATATGTGATGGGTCACTGACTTTTCTTGTAGGATGGCAGTATCGGCATAAATTTTGTCAAGATGGTCCTTGGCTGATTGGTGGATGAGATAGACATATTCATCGCGGATTGTAAGGAATGATCCACACAGCCCGACTGTCCTCTCTATCTCCCCTTTTTTCTGCTTCGCGGTTAGGTGGCGCATCTCAGATAAGTGCAGCGGGCGATAGGCAAGAACCGCCATGGACAAGACCTTTATACAGACGTCACGACGCCGACCCTTGAGTTGATCTATCTGCTCTATCATTTGATTATAGAGTCCGAAGAGATCTGTTGGAATGTTCTCAAGGGCGTCAAGGACTTCTTCTTCAAGCTCGCATTTGCGAAGTTCTTCAATCACCAGTGCCACCCATAAGAACGTCCCATCGGCCTTTTTGCTGAGTTGATCTCTGACATGTCCCTGGAGTTCTTGATCACTCTCAAGGATTCTGAGGCGCAGAACTTTGTAGTTGATATATGTCTCAATTGCATGAGAAATGCAACCCGTGTTGAGCTCAAGGCTGAGCTTATTGGCTTCATGATCAGGGTTTAGGATCTTCTCAATATAGCCCATATTGCGACTGGAGACAATCCATTTGACCCGGACGGATGACATGGACATTGTTTTCGCAATCAGTTTAAGCAAGTTTTCCAAGTCCACTTTACACTCATCAAGGGCGTCAATAAGTAGGTGTACCGGGGCTTGCTGTAGATGTTCAATCATGTTTTCAAAAACAGTGGACAGGCTGTAAAAAGCATTTGAACCCTCAAACAGTCTTTGACCTTCTGTGTCGTATCTTTGTCGCAGGCGTGAAATCAAGTGCGGCTGCTTGGTAATCAGCATATAAATCAAGCCTCGCAAGACAGCGGTAGCATTGTTCAGATTGCGATCTGTTCCTTGGCATAAGAAATAGGCAAGCAATTTAGATGATTTTGGTTTCAACAGCTCCTTGATGATCCCAATCATAAGCATGGTCTTACCCTTCCCAGCATCTCCCTTAATCCAAAGAAGTTGGCTCTCTGAGCTGTTCCACCATGCCTGATATTCGGAACTAGCCAAGATCCATCGGAATGAGTCGTCCAGCAATCCACCCTTAGTGCCTTCAATGCGTCTTCGATCATCATCTGGATGGCTCAAGAGCAAGTCTTGCAGGCAGCGTTGGTCTTCACTACTATAACCTTGAAACAACTTAGCACATTTCACGGCCCATCATATGAGCGAGGATAGTTAGCTTGTACTAACGTTGTCTTGACCGTGCAGCCGTGGCAGCTTCAACGGGCACGATCGATAACAATAATTTTGCATAGGCTGCTGCTGCCAAGGCTGCATACCCCTGCCACTGTTTCTGCTTGTGGGAATCGCAGTAGTCGCATATCCCTCGGATCACAAGAGTTGGAAGCTTGTCCATAAGACCTGCTGCCTCCATCTCAAAACAAAGTATCCCATGTTCTTGAGCTAGACGATCTCGTGTTTTTGCGTCCTTCATCACCTGGTCTGCGGACGCGATCAATCCATAGTGAATGTGAGGCGCTTTGGTATCACGCGGTTGTCGTTCGACTAATTGCTGTTTGTCGCACTTTCCGCAGTCATTGTCTCTGCTGGCATGGTGATAGGAGGGTTGGAAAAGATAGTCAGTGTCATATCCTGGGGGGCAGAAGCTCTTTTTCATGTTGGGATATCGTTCTAGTACTTGCTGCACTATTTGTGAAACATCCTCACCGCCAGTCATGTGTTTCGCCTGAAGTTGATTCATATGCGTCAGAAGGATCTGTGGCGGTTTATTCAACGTCCCCGTTTGTTCGAACTGCCCACTTTGAACTGCCTTACCATAGGCATACTGCATTACCCCACTATGCTTTACACCGGGCTTGCTGACTACCACGTCCCCTAATCGCATGTTATTTTGTTTTCCGGGGACCCCGCCTCCAATTCCCACCATTAATCCAAACCGAAGCCCAGGAAAGGTCGAGAGCATATCTGATACGACGGTCGCGGCAGCCACTGTTCCATACACTCCCGCTGGTAGGAGAACGATGACGATATAATGGCCGTTTAGTTCGCCAAGTTCGTAGGCGTTGGGATCAGTAGACCATTGAGGTGGGGTGTGGATCTTGTCGAGCATGGCGCGAGCCGCTGCCGCTTCTAGCGGTAAGGCACAGATCCACGCGATCGTATAATCATCAGGCGTGAAGGAAGGCATCGTCGGCACAGCACAAATCAAAAGAAAATGATACAAGGTTGCTCTGATTCCCACGACTCCAGGTATATAGTGATTTGGTACGGGCCGTGATTGAAGAAATCGAGTTTGGGAAGTACGAGGGGTAATCAGCTACGTGGCCTGCGTGGCGGAGGGCTTAACCATAATTGGTGTGAGTCTCCGGAGGCGTCCGCCCTTATTTAAGGGTGCCTTGACACTCCCAAAAAGGCTCATGTTGATGACATGCCTAGTGATAGTACTTGGATGGCAGCCAGCCGCTTCGGCAATCTGGGAGTGAGTAAGTTCATTTCTCAAAATCATATCACGGATAAACTCCAGAGTCGATGGAGCTAGATTGGGGGCCATCGTTTGCCTTACGAGGATGATCGACGTGATCTTTCGGGAGGGATCCTTGGTAGGTTCATTGGGGAAACATCCACGTGGCCTGACGGATACGTGGCGAATACAGATTATGTAAAGTATTATGCGTCACAGAACGGCCAGTACCATGCAATACAAGAACCTGTAACGAAGGCTTTCGGAAGGGTTTACAAAAGTGGCTTAGCGCGTTTCATATGAGGGTACCAGAAAGTATACAAGAGTATAAACATTTGCACCGGTATTGCATCCAGCTGTACCCGGTGCAGGTGCCTCCTCGAAATCTGCACATGTCGTGACCTGGTGATCACCCTTTCTAGTATTAGACCTTGTCTGGAGCGCACGTAATGTATGCTTGAGAATTGGATTGCAACGGAAATTATCTAGTCAGTTTGTTTGGTCATATTTTTGAGTAGAAGGGGACGCGGTCGCTCCCCACACTCAAGTATACTAAGGGTCGCCTTGTTGACAAATATTTACCTTTCATACTTGAGAATGGTAATCGATACAAATCATTGCCCCAGAGATAAGATGGCACCGTTAGGAGCGTCTCAGGTTGATTCGATGCAGAAAGTCCCTTAATTAGATTTTTATTTCGTCTCTTTGATTGTATGCCAAACCAGGATTTTGAGGTCAATTGCGTCGAATTCCCACAATGCACCGAGTCCCGAGAATAACGTTGAGGTGAGCCCTTGGACAACTTCCTGAAACAGGGTAGTCACGGCGCCTAGCCCATACATAGCAGCTGGGTCAGTTGGCCAAAGTCAGACATTTAAATATGAGGGGGTTTATCTTAACCTCTCGCCACTCCTCAGGCTCTAAGCAATCGACCAAATCGGTCAATCTTGCAGACCAACGTTGCTTTTACAGCCACATCAGACATCTCCACAAATGTTTTGCATGGTGGATAAATCTACAGTAATTTGAGACCGTCGCCATTTTCCAGTATTATTCTGACTGGTTGATTGGTCTTCAGTTTCACATGGCTTTCTACCTTTCAGCTCCCCGTCTTTAGATTAAATACAACCGTGGGGTATATCTTTCGCAATACTTTTGTATAGTAGTCTATCAAACAGAGGATCTTTGTTTTCACCTGTCCCTCCAGGGAAACAGTGGATGGTGGGGTTGATAATTCACTCGGTCAGAGTGTGGATTGTTTCCCGAGTGACTTTAGCTCTGGCAACCATGTACATCGGATTCGTCCTTGCTTCCCCCCTGGTCGACCAATCGATCAGCGCTTGGTCAAAATACAGCGCAGTTCATAAGGTCTATACCCCTGCGAAAGATCTGTGGAGCTTTGAGGTCTGAATATGACAGGGTGATATTCAGTGTTTCCGGGGGCTATTTTGGGCAGGTTCGGGTCATTTTGCTATCCCATTTGCTCTACTCGAACCTGGCTAAACACGGTCCATGATACATTTTGACCCAGTCAACTGGACAGAAAATACGGATCCACAGTTTGTTGACTCCCTACGACACAAATACCCACCTTCCTTGACGAACCCCACATATCCACTCCCTACGAAACCGCATACACTCATTACTGAATACACTCGACAAGGTGGTCAAAGAAAACCAACGCAGGATCCGATTTGGCCAGTCATCACCGCTCTGGAGAAAGAGTAAAAGACCTGGGATTTTGTTATTGGTCGCGCTGGTGAGCACCCAACAAAGGAATCAGAAAAAGTCTGCATGACCGGCGTGACCAGGCCTTGACTATACTTGCCTCTCTCCTGTTTTATGGCGGCCCAGCCACACAGCATCCTGCATTTGGAATTGGCCAAGAAATTAAAAGATTTTTTCTTGCTTTACTCCTGGTTAACAAGCCAAACGACCAGGTGCTAAGTCTGCTCAGTACGGTTCATACTCATGGCGGACCCGTGGGAAAGGGGAGCATGTGGCAGGTTAATATTAGCTATTCCAGAGTGCTCAAATTTTGGGGATTTTTCTTTGGCTCCCTTGCCCAGGTTATACTTTAGATGCTCATTTCACCAACTCGTCGGGCATCTCGACCCGGTCAACTAGGAAATGGATCACTGAAGTGTACTTGTTGGTTATGGACGAACAATCATCCGACCACCCCTTGACCAACGTTAACTTACTTGCGAACTTTATTACCCTTCTAACAGTGAGTCGACTTTGACACTGGTCAAAGAACATCCACGCCATATCGTGGTGGCCAGGCAGTCGGCGCTCCGACAGAACCGGAGAGGCTTGACCGTTACTGATCACTCTGGTGAATGGACCTTATACCGAAAGCTCCTAGCGGAGGAAAGAGTATAGTCTACACGACCGGTTCGGCCACACCTGGACATCACCTGGTTATTTCTGGTCATTTCACACTGACTAACGGGAGCGTCATGTCCCTCCACTCTGGATGGATTTCCAGTTCCTAGCTGCACTGGATGGTACCTGACTTACAATCCGTTGCCCAGCATTCGTCTCCCTCAGACCTGTTGTCAACCAGCAGCTCGCAGATCGCCTCATTTGCAACAGTTTTTGGGTAATCTTCAGTTTTTCCGCCCGTTTTCGTGTTCTACACCGCCTTCACCAGCTTTCAATGGCAGAATGCCCTCAGTTTCTGTTCACATTTTCATTCGATTGATCCCGTTTTATCAACAATCGTGTAATATGGGTAAATGATATTAATCCCACATCTCTTTCCTGCAGTGTTCCTCACCAGACCCGCAATTTTTACATCACTGCTCGAGTACGTCAAGATATGGAATATAACTCTGGCACGTCTCGGGTTATTATGGTGATATATTGAAGAGTCTATAAGAGGGGCCTCTGACCCGAGCCTGTCTAAGATCGGAATGGAATGTGGGCGCATCTTCGGAGACGATAGAGACTCTCGCCAAACAGAGGAGCATGTTAAGCCCTCTGCCACTAGAAATCACCGGCGCCATGGCTGACTTGGTGTAATCTTTTTAAGTCTAAATGATTTGTATTCCACACCAATTGCTACTGTACACCATAGCTTCCAGTCCTTGGCTCTTGTTTCTGCCGCACACTGTGCAGCTCTTTCGCTTCGACTCATTGTACCATAACCTTCCCTGATAGCGTGTGTGGGCTTTGTACATCCTCCATATTGGTCGGTTACCCGGGACCACTCCGGTCCCAACACTGCAGAAGTCCTGAACCACACCAGACATGCGTCAGTCAAGGCGCCGATGCATTGTTATGCTTAACCGTTGCGTGTACCGCAGCAATTCCTCCTCGCCAGTGATGCCGGGGAGCGCGATGAGCGAGTTCACCGCAGAGGCGGTACAAGCCAACGGACCGCCAGGTTTTCCAAACGACATCTGTCCACCCACACGGATCGGACTTTTACGCACGTTTGGACTGGCACTTTCCGCTTTGTAGTATGTGTTGAAGTCGTTGCCGCGAGAATTGAAGCTAATCTGTCGCATATTGCACGCAAGGAATCTGCATTCATGCGGAAATCCTGGGTGCAGACGGCACCTGCTCCTGCGCCGGTCATCGACTAGTGGGCATATGGCGTATGACACCGCTCGGTGAAATGGAGTAGAAGGCATGCAGCATCCGTGGGAGGTTTACGCATCACAAAAATTCATTCAACAGATCTCACTGCCGCTCACTGTTTTCTGTTTGATACGGATGCTGTAGATCCCTAACGGCGGCGCGTTCTCGATTCCGAGCTCTGTCGGTCATCAGCAGTATCAATCAACCGCAAGCGGGCAGAGTGAGCCCCCTTGGATCTCGGTTGATTAGGAGAAAGTCGGAATAGAAAGCATCGAGAACCTGACTTCAATTAGCTTCCAAGACACGGAGAAAATCACATCGACGGCTTCCCTACAGACGAGCCGTTTAAACGGTGGATAATTGTGTCCACAATACGAAGCGTGACCATCAGCAAACTTGAACGGCCGGGGAGCGGTAACCCTGGGAATAGAACGCAAAGGCCAGTGGCAACGGTCGTCACAAACAAGAACTCAGAACGTGCCGGTGATAGGGCTCCGGTGGAATGTCACCAATATGGCACTGTCAATCAGAAGCCAGTGACCGCATGGCGATATTGGAGGGCTTCGCAACAGGAACCGGCTCAGTGGAGGTTAGCTGTAGAGATAGACTGTCTACCTGCTATCCAAAAATCAGCTTGTCTGTCTAGATGAAGAGACCTAATGGACCGGGTCCACGCCATCCTTTTATTACCTCCTTGTGTCGTCCGCTCGGGAGAGCCGGTAGAAGTTTCGCACTGCGCATGAGCTTGTAGTCCGTCCTGATCGATTAGGTTGGTTGGGCTTTCTGAGTGTGATCTGGCCCATTTTCAAGTTGCTCGAGAGCCTCAGACATTTCCCCCAAAATTAACAGTCCATCATTGTTCATGCCAATGACTGCATTTTGGACCGGAGAAGAACATATCAGCCATTACACGAGATCCGAAATACCACAGGAAGAGGGAATACTGACTTTGAGATGCCACCTTATTCGAGAATGCTAGCTCCTGCTCTACCAGTTCCATCGTTTCCCTCTCAGCCAGCACATCACTCTCGTACGTGCGTGGGTTGAGTAGCTGTTGTGGAATGCCCGTCTTGATCAAGCCGTGGTCGGATGTTGACATCTTGATCAACCCTTTACGCCACCAAGGCGCAAATGTAACGATCCATCTTCCTGAGGTGTCGGCTGGTAAGTAGGCGCAAGGAGAACGTCGACCCAGCGGATATCATTGTCGAGCTCCCCATTTTCGTTTTTCAATATGCGAAGTTCGCCGAATAAATTCTCAACTCTCTCTGCAATTGAGTCACTGGCAAATGGAACACGGAAATGCCGCGCAAGGCTTTACCCGCCTTTGAGAACTTGTGCACGTGACGACTCAAGTGCCCACAGTAACCATTGACCCGCGGGGGTAAAATAGGCACGAATACCTTTTTCGCAAGTCCGCACTGCCGAACTGAAGCTGCTCTCCAAGGCCCCTGGGCCTTGGAAGTTGGTATCGATTTCTCGGGGGCACATGTCCAAGCATGATCTCAGATTAGTCCAAATGCGAGAATTTAAAGTCGACCCACAAACTTGCTTTTAGCTTGAACGCCAGCGCCTAGGAGAGCATGCGGAGTGAGCAAGGTTCGTTCAATCGCACATCTTTGAGTGTCAAAGGCAAACATGTGCAGCACCTTTGGCATTACCCGCTCCTCCTTTTTCACCGGGACCACAGCTAGATAGATTGCAGAGAGCAAGGCCCCTATAGTCGTTGATATGAGGATATACCGAAATACCCATTCCTCATTGGCTTCCAGTAAGAGAACTGAAATGGATGTCGCCCAGATATGCGCTATTATTCCGGCGTGGTCTAATCGAAATAAGAGGTTCGGTCGTCTCTTCTCGGAATCGAGCATTGAGTGGCACAATGCGGATATCATAAAACAAATCAAGTTGAAGTCCAAGGCAAAGATAGCAGTGTGAACTTGACCCCTGACCGAGTCATATTGCCAAAGATCGAGGATAATAACTAAAAGCATTCCATTTCCAGGAGGGAAGTAGGGGACGCGTTTAGTAGCGTCTCGAGTCTGTTGGGAGGCTCGACCGAAGGTAAGAAAGGTAAACCAGACACCGTCTCAAGGACGAAGACGGTCAAGGCCGTTTTTGGACTTCGCCGAGGCGTCACAGCGGTTTTGGAGTCGCGCGCCACGAGGGCAGCCTAACAACGGGAACGGCAGTTAGGCCACGGCAGGCCTTGACGAGGCTCTAAGTTCGTTTTCAGGAAGTGGTACGCTCTACATGTACGTACGCATATATAGTTGTGGTAGGCTGCATATCGCTTTCATGGCGAGGGGTCAGCGTAAATGACATCAACCAACCAACCAACCAACCAACCAACCAACCAACCAACCACTGTAATATGTATAATCAGTTTACTAGTAGTTCCATCACAAGTTGATTTCGAGCTCCCCTATTTATTTCAACAAGCACATTCTGCACCTCACTGAATCACCAGGCTTGACCTGCTCCCTGAAGTATGACACTCTATGTGTCAACTGCAATAACAGGGGCAACCCTTGCCTTTTAGATCCTAGTTGCAGCCACCGACAGCTTTTGTGGTCTATCGGGCCAGGACTCTATTGTGTGAGCGATCGTCGCACCACTAGACTTGGTGTCTGGGCTGCTTCTGATCTTAGCCCTTCTCCACTATTTTGAGTTTATCTAGAATGGCTTCTTCCATCTTCTGCGCTGGACCCTGCTGCACACTCTAGATATCATGGGAGCGGTTCCGCATCTTGAGCTCCTAATCCGGACGGACTGGAGGCAGATCGAGAAGCCGACGAGGATAGCGAAGATATGGTGGAGGAGGACTCCTAACAAGGTTTGTATCACAGTTTTAGACTAGATGAGGGTCTTGCATGCTGACTTGTAGGTGTTTAGGAGCTGACCGACCATGAGGCCATTCCTAATATGAGCCTGTTCATTGTTCTGTGTATGAGGGCTTGGGTTTCCCTGTGAACCTCTGCTGCAAACCTGCCACAGCACAAGGTCATGATGAGTAGGGTAAGCGTAGGTGAAGCAGCAGCTCAATATTTCGCCTGGTTTCTAACTGTCATAACATAGAGCTTGATCATGTTTGCTATACATAATGTCGTCCTTCGCTTCTATATCGACAACTGGAAAATCCATTTCCCTCTTGCTTTTGCAGGCCTCGGGCGCCTTCTGCTCACAATCTTCCAAGCCTCAAGCATCTTTACCTACTCGTGCCACTACAAGGGCGTCTGCACCTAGGCCTTGCCGCCATTCTTCCGCTCAGATCTTGTTCCAAGCCTGGACATGGGACCAGGCGAGACAAGATGCGTTCGCGGCATCAGTCTGCACAAGCCTCTGTTGCTGGGACTATCCCACCATAGCCTTCCACCGCCTAGTGGAGTTTCTATGGAGCCCTATTATCTCATATATTGTCCCATGCCATCTCCCTAGCGCCCCGATGTACTCGATGTTCCGCAGCCCGCCGGAAGAAGAATTCGCGATGAGCGGCCGTCTCGAAGTCAGGATCTCAGAGCGGACATCTAGCTCCGGCTGGGATGTGTTCAACATCCGATTTATTAATGTGCTGGAGGCCATTATACTACTCCTCCAGAGGCCGCTGATTCCTTCTTATGAGGAGAAGATCCTGTTTGGCGGCTTGACTGCCTTGCCTGCTCTTGTGGGGATCGCGGAGCCCGTGCTTGTTGGGGTGGTGGAGGTGAGTGCTGTTCCCAAGGCCTTATACCTGCTGGAGCAGGCTGTTGTTGCGCTGTTCTGGTATTACGATTTCTGTGGTAGTTCAATCAATACCGAAATTGGACCTAGTGTGCTGGTGCTGGGACAGCAGGGGCCGGATCCCGAGGTTGGGAGCCCAGGGCCTAGTACTAATCTGCAGGCGTTAGGGCATCTGATTGATGGAGAGGAGAACGAACAGGACCTAGGTGTCCGTGAGGTGGAGTAGGCATGAGACAAAATGCATCTTGCTACTCAGTTTCTCAGACTATCAGCCTAACCATGTTTTTATTTTTTTTTGGGCTCTGGAAACAAATGTTTCGAAGCCAGCGCCAAGGTGTCTCTATCAGGGTACACGAGAGGCTGACCAATACACTTTCTTTCTTTTCTTTCTTTTCTTTCTACTATATCTTATACACCGCTCTTGCTGAGTTCTATCAAATAAAGTCACCATGCAGTACTTAGGAATCATCAGGTATATCCATACCACACGCTTGTTTTATATTTTAGAGAACCCTTCCATGCATCTCTATATGTGCCTATCTACAGATCCAATCCGGAATGTTGGAGCGAAGCCGTCTAATTGTACGCTTATTGCAGCCAGCTGCCTCTGCCATCTGTGGGATAGCAAGTTCATTGCTGACAATCATATCATAGAAATCCTAAGGTCGATGCGGCAAGGTTAGGCGCCATCTCCGTCGCCACACAAGGATGATCGACCGGGTTCTGCGGGAAGGCTTGGGAAGTAGGTTGGAGATACATTGCCCTGAAATGAACGTAGTCAGAGGAAGGGAAAAAGTAAACCCGCCTGCGACAGGTGTACCCACAACAGAGAGGGATTTCTATGTTGAAAGGTATTTCCACGCGCGTTTCTCCTTCATCTGTGCCCCATCTGCTTTCGTCTCTTGTACCTTGGCATTTAGTTGCTGCAGTTTCTATGCAGGACTCTCATCCTTCATTAGGGCCTGGCCCACGAGAGCTCCACCTTCTTATTGCAATCACCCCATATACAATTGCCTTTCAACCAGATCCATGCAATCACGTATAAGAACGTGCCATTGAGATAAACCATGCATGGAAGATTCGACTGTGAAGGGAATTTCCTGCTATACCACTATAAGTTTTCTAACATATTAGATGTTGCTCATCATCATCTGACTACTTCAACCCAGAAGTGCTTTCTCAGATGGCTTCCTGTCATTTCTCTTTATACTAAATATAACTCGCCTGTTCCCAATAGTGTAATCACTTCCGGACACCAGCCAAGTAAGATCCTTTTTAATTGTAGGTCCTCCAACCTTGTCTTCTTCATCCAAATTCCCTTTATTCCACAGAGTTCAGTGATTTTGAGTTGGGAGCCATGTTTTGCCGTTTCCAAGTGCCAGAGGACCGTCTGACCATCAACCTGTTTTATAGGAACAAGAGCAGTTGAATATCCCATGAGCACCAGACCATGGCGAACCATTACCGGATACTCTACTGCTGCAAGTTGGAGCATCAAATGGAACTCTGTATCCAAAAGCACTTCTGGGCTGGTTTGAATGCGAGGATCCATTGCAATTACCGCAGTCTCAAAGAGACTGGACCAACAGTACGTGTTTCCTGGTTTTGGTACTGAGGCTAATGCTTGTAGGGTCGCTTTCTCTCCGTTAATCATGCAGGTCGATAGACTGACTTTTCCTAGCTCTGATCGATGGAATGTCAGGCAAAGCCACAGCAACAGGTCCCAAAGGTGGCTAAGTGACAAGGATAATGACACATGGAGCATCTGAGTTTGCGCCTTGATAATCATGCCATCGTCCTCTACACCTCTGTCAGAACTGATAATGACGTGTTCTATTAAGCTGTTACTTACCGTGTTTTCCATCCTCTTGCTCTAGGGCTCGTATAATGCCTCTAAGAAGGCCAATGCCTGCATTTCCATACGTTTCTCAAATATATTGCTCACAGGTCGATACTCTGATGGTGTTCTCAGACCTTGTTAAGGTGAGCGTATCCAGCAGAAGCTTCTCTCTGTCGAGTGCACCAGCAACAATCAATGGGAGTTCCTAGTTTAATTCAAAAACTCTTCGGTCCTGATTCTGTTTGTTCTCTATTTCTTGATGTAAGCTACTCTGTTATGGTTTATAGCCATCACCATGGAAGGCTTACCTTGATTATCTGGATTCGCTCGCAGTATGTGCTGTCCGAGATTAGCCTTCCTGTTAACTGACTTGCCGCATCCAGTTGCACCAAACAGGTGACAAGTCCTGATATGCCGTGTCAGGTCGGCTTTTCGGTTAAAACCATCCCTGCGCATACAGCCTTTCCTTCCACACACAGAAGAACAGGCCAAATTCCTTATCTGCTTGCCCCAAAGCTCTTTTTTGGGTGGCTATGGTGGTACCAGTTTCTCCATGGTGTGTTTTCGATTTTTTGGAAACAAAAGGCTCTGGGAAAGGCTCTGGACAATGCTGTCTGTTGGTGCACGTTAGTTTTCACCGTCATGGGATGGGTGAAATTAAGAGAAGCCCGAGAGAATTCACCGTTGAAGAGGTCCTGCCGCGATTGAAGGTGGCTCCAAGGTAAGGCCCAACAGATCATTTGTGGCATGGGGCTGCCATGCTGCAACTGGAGAAGAGACAGCAATTGTATTTTGCGACGCTGTGGAGGAACTCGCAGCCCAAGAACTCTCAGTCAAAGAACTAATAAATGGACCGACTCTACCTTGCACCAGAGGACTGGGAACAGGAAGTCCGGGGATAAGCTCGTCTTGTCTTGAAGACACAACTCCAGGGTCACTGGGAGGCCCGAATACGAGTCGGGTGGGTTCCATTTCACAGTTAAGGATATCCGAACAGAGAGGACCTCTAGTCGCCGAACCGTCGAGCAAGCCAGGCTGAGTTATAACCTCACAGAATAGATGTATGATGGTGTTGAAAGGGTTGGGTGATTCTGTAGGCTGCTGGCAAGGCTCAGCTTTATACTGGTGGTGACGGACATCGTGTTGAAGGTACTCAGGGCTATGGCAGGGACAAGGCAACTTGTGGTTGAAAGGAGTACACATGCGGTTCTTAAGAGCACCTGGGTAGTGTCTAGGGAACCAACTGTTTCTAAGAGAAGAGGCCCGGTTCTCAGGAGAGGGACCTTCCCTCCTAGGGGCGGCCCCGTCGCTCTCAAGCGCTTAGTCCTTCCTATGAACCAGCTAGGCACTCGCAGGAACTCGGCATCGGCTCACTGGAGACCCTGTACCCTGGAAGAGTAATGACCGTTCTTCGCCAATTCCAGTGTCACAATGTTTCATACAATGGGAGCCGTCGGGAAATGACAGATATAACAGCTGTCGGTGCCAGGGACTGCCGACACAACTCAACATCGGCTCAACTATGAAGTCTTCAGCCCACAGAGATCGTCTCCCAAAGAATCAGAGGATCAAAGGTAAATACTACATCCAGTATACACGGATTTTCTTACGTTTATGGGCTAACCATCCGTAGATGAACCTACTGGCTCTTCCCAGCGAGTTGCTCTTGTACATCGCCGCGAGCCTACCCCGCGCGAAAGACATCTTGTCGTTCGTCCTGGTCAGCCGGACTACGTCTGCCCTATTGCTTTCGTCTCTCTACAAATTCAATATTCAGCGTCAAAACAGCTCGGCATTGCACTGGGCCGCACGGTATGGTAAACTACATGTCGCGGAGGTGATGCTCCACCACCACCGGCACCACCGGCCTGATGTCAACGCTGTCTATCATACCTATACGCCTCTTGTGTACGCGGCAATCCACGGATCAGAGTCGATTGTTAAGATCCTTCTCACCATGCCTCAGATCTCAGTCAACTTCCAAAACGAACAAGGGCGATGCGCCTTGTGGTGCGCAGCACTGCAGGGATTCACAAAAATCGTTAAGGACCTGTTGCAGCATCCCGACATCCAAGTAGACCTCCCTGAGAGAGAATATGGCCTCACCCCACTGGCCGCAGCCGTGGTGAAGGGGCATGCACCCATCGTCGAGCGGCTTATCCACATTGGCCGAGCAAATGTCAACGCACCAGACCGATGGCGCCGCACACCGATTTTCCACGCCATCCGCCGCCAGGATTCGGCCATCCTCGAAGTCTTACTTGCCGATGACAGACTCGACCTGTCCTGGCGGGATGGCCTTGGCCGCACACCCCTCATCTACAGCGTGTTGAAGGGTCAGACAGTCCTGACCAAGATGCTCTTGGGCCACCCACAGCCCTGTGTGGACATTCGAGATCCAGACAATCGGACGGCACTGTGGCACGCCGTGCACCAAGGCGACGAAGAGCTCGTCCAATTGCTCCTCGACAGCGGCTCGGATATCAACGCCAGGGATATAGAGGGCGCGACCCCGCTCCACTTATCAATTAGGCAGGAAAACATGTCCCTGGTGCAGAAGATGTTGAGCCATTTACGTCGCGATCATTCGACAGCAACGCCCGGCGTGAACCATGGCGTCAGCAGCGAGCCACCGCCATTGTGCCTGGCCACGAGTCAGGGGAGTGAGGATATCGTGCGGCTGTTGCTCGACCATGACTGGAACGTGAACGAAGTGGATGCAGAAGGCCGAACACCATTGCACTTGGCGGCCGAGAATGGCGATCGGCCAGTCGTTCGAGCTCTTTTGAATCACACAGATGTCGATTTGCACGCCCGGGACCAGTGGGAATCCACGGCCTTGCACGAAGCCGCCAAGCGAGGGCACTTGGCTGTAGTCAAGCTACTTCTGGCCGAGCCGAGCATCGACGTCAACGCCAAGGACAGAAATGGCGCGACTCCGCTCTGGTGGGCCACTCGGCGCAACCACAACAGTGTGGCCGCGCGGCTGCTGGCCAAACCGAATGTGGACATCAACGCCGTTGGCCAGTTCGAAAGACCCCTCGCGGATCGATCCACGTCCCTTCATCATGCTGTCGAAGGGCGAGCAACTTTAGTCATCCGGCTGCTTTTGCTGGAGAAGAGCCTCGATCCCAATATCCTCGACCATCAGGGCCGGACTCCGCTGGGCTGGGCAGCCTGCCAGGGCGATGTCGAGACGGTGGGATGGCTGCTCACCCGGCGGGATATCCAAGTGAATGCAGCCAATCAAAACGAACAACCACCGCTGTGGTTAGCTGCGTGGCACGGCCATATCCAAGTCGTTCGACTCCTGCTACAGTGCCGAGATATTGACATTAACCAAGGTTGGGGAGGGTATGTGCCACCACTTCTGGCAGCCATCATTGCAGGCCACCCGGATGTGGCAATGACACTACTTGCGTGCGGGGAGCGACTGGAAATCAACGCGCAAACCTACCAAAGGGAATGTGCACTGTCTCTGGCGGCCCGCTACGGGCACCTGCAGGTGGTCGACACCATCCTGCAAGACCATCGGGCAGACCGCAATAGCGTTGACGACGAAGGGCGCACCGCTCTGTGGTGGGCGGCTCATGAAGGGCACATAATTGTTGTGATACGGTTGCTCGAAGATGTTGATGTTCGAGTAGATATCAAGGATCACCAGGGGGCGGATGCTCTTAAGGCCGCGCGGAGGCAAGATCATTTTGGTGTCATAGATCTCCTACGGGCTCACCAAGTGGGTCATCGCCGCGACGACAATCTCCAAAAATGACCTGTCTAGCCAATGGTCTTCGTACGGATCTGGGCTCTCAAGCTACTTTTATTGGAAACGTTGAGTTCTTCGGGACTACCGTCAGAATCAAGATAAGACCAGCTCCCGAGATGGATAGTTTTGCGTTAGCCGTCAAGCGTTGGGAATCATGAAGCATATGATGCAGGAGAGTATTTTCAGAACAGGCAGTGCGAACAATATGCTATCGCTTTGGCATAGGGATACTGTATGACACGCGCTAACGTGGCGTGAAAGGCCGCCCCTGATGAGGACAAGGTTTTCCCCCTAGTTCACGCGAGGAAGGAACAATAATCAGCTAGACTTGGATCACCGTGTTCTGTTTTGGTGAGTAAGAAATCGTGTCTTCTAGTCTGGGCGTGGAAGTCACGAATGTTTGACATTCGACGATTTTTCCGTGGGCCGAAATCTCTGACTGTAGGCATGCGGAGCGCCGGCGTTACTTTTAGAAAGCGGATACGACCCTGATCGCGGCGGTGAACTAATTGTCATGAACATAAGCAAGCATCAAGAAGCTGCATATATCCAATGCCCGTCAAGCGAAGACAAGCATACCCACCATTCCGTTTCTCCGAACTTGATCTGACGACAATACTGGCCTAGCCCAGTGGTGCCTCAATCGCAGTTTCGTTTTGCGAGCACTACTCAACCTCCCATAATCTTCCAGACCGAGATCCTCATCGTGAATGTCCGCTGAATCTTTGTACCGGCTCCGACGAACAAGGTCCACGGTCGACACGTCCGTGCTTTTCCCAGCGTCGAGGCCCTATGAACCTTGGAGTCCGCCTGCCGTCTTGCCGCAGCAGTATTCCGCTCCGTTTCCATATATTCTAGCTTTCCTAGTAGGCGGAGACGGGAGTTTCAGATCCGTCAAATTTGTCTCGAAGTTGAGGTAGGAGGATTTATCGCCATCGGTGTGTTCAGGAGACGTTGATACAAGTAGCAGCAGGAGCTGGCACTGGCATTCTCGCCGATGACGCGTGGTTAAATATATCGGCAGGCCGCACGGGGTAGAATCCAGGGATAGTAAAAGAAATCTCAGAGCCTGATATTCAGCTCAGCACAGCGAGCGATAGTGATAAAGTCGAGCACTTGGAGACATAGTTATTGACAAAATTTGACAAATGTGGATAGACGAAAGGCACGCACGGCTGGTCTTAGGCCATGTTGGTCGGGTACTGGCCAGAGATCAGCCGGTGCGACGCTAAGGCCGCAATTTTCCGCACCCTTATGGAATTGTACGATGAAGCGGAGGCTGAGCCCTCAGGACCAGCCCTGATGAAAGCAGATATGACAAGGCAGCCTCAAGCAGAAATAATGACTTGTACGGCGCCTTGACGAAGAGTACGGGAGTCTGGTGGAGGAGAGTTGTTGAAAGGCTACTATTTTCCGCATCAGCTGCTGCCCAAAACACGGCGAGATACCAAACCCCTATTCTCGTGAGGTTCATGAGGTTCACTGTGGGGAGGTGGCCTTCCTGTTGACGTTGCAGGGCTGATTTTTAATTCCATCTGTGCTTAGCGATAAGATATTTTTACTGGGACTCTTAATGGTAGTAGAAGGACCTTGTTGCCCAAACCATTGGCAGTGCCATATTGGTGATGCTCCAACGGAGCCATATCACCGGCCAGTTCTGGTTTCTTGTTTGTGACGTCGCGATGCGTGGAACCTCCCACAGATTCTGGATGCCTACCGCTTCAGTTCACCGAGCCGTGCCGTACGCGATATGCCCATAAGTCGATGACCGGGTGTGAGAGCAGGTGCCGGCTGCAGCCAACCAGAGGCGCCGGAGCTTTTTCCGGCTCCGAACAAAACGCCGACGGCATCCAGGATCCCCGCATAAGTGCAGGTTCCTTCAAATCCTCGCAGCACGACTTCAACACCCACTCAAAAAGCGGAAAATGCCTGTCTCAGGGTGCGCAAAGTCTGATCCGTTCGGATGAACAGACGTCGTTCAGGAAAAGCCTGACGGTCCGTTAGCTTGTACTGCCCGCTGTGAATTCCCTCATCGCGCTCCCTTGCATGGCCAGCCAGGAGGAGTCGCTACGGTACAAGCAACGGTTAAGCCTAAGAATGCACATCGGGGCCTCGACTGTCACGTGTTAGGCGTGCTTGAGGATTTCTGCAGCACGGGGATCAAGAGGCATTTCTATCCTGTAAGTAATATGCAACTACTTAGTAACTAATTCAAAATTCTTTTCTAACTACTTCAAATAGGATGTGAACAATGAATACCATCCGTACATTGGATGTGTAAATGAATCACCAAACTTTCTTTCAAAGCATTATCATAGCTCTGTTAAAGGTCATACTACTATTGATCTTGACTTTCTGGAACGATTATTTAATGATTCAATTCTACCATCTCGAGAGGATTGTGGTGTGATTGAGCCACTAACATCAAGACGAAAGTATTGCGGTAAGTGATTCTAAACTGATTGTTTACTGGTTAATAACCAGTTACTAACTAGTTATAGATTATGATCATATACAAGGCCCTGGTAAACTACAACATCTAAAGTGCGGTGTTATTTTTACTGCACTAGTGCCAGTTAATATCCAGGCAGCTCCTTATATTTTATTTACTTCGCATGGTATTCATCAACATCCTCCACCTCCACCTCATAAGCCACCAGAGCTTATACTACGAGGCATTCAAGACATAATCAGGAGAATGAGAAACCCAAGCTTGACACTGGGTAAGACTAAACTGATTCTAAGCCAATTATCAATCGCTTTGAAAATGCTTTCTAACTGATGTTAAGCTCAATTTCTTCGCAGTCCTGAGCTAGAAGCCTTTTGTCAAGAATATAGTGTACTCACACCAGCTGAAGTACATTCAGCTTTCACAAATACAGACCGCATTTCTGCAATTATTCAAAAGCAGCGTCTTCTTTCATATCCAGCAGGACAAAACTTCAACGGGGTTATTTACTTATATAATACCCATCCTTTCATAAAGGTAAGTGGTTTCGAACCACTTGGCAACTACTTATTAACTGGTTCTAGGACTACATCCAGGAAAAGTATCATGATCCTCATGGGATAATGATTCTGTGTGCTTTCAAAGAGCAGATACAGGTCTTGAGGAAGTTGACTTCTTTTGAAGTTGACATGTCGTACAAGCGGATTCGAGAAAAAGGAATGAATGAAGTTGTCTTTGCAACATATCTTCATTCACATGGGAAGAGTAAGTCTTCATAATTTCCCATGTACTTTACAGGTAGTTATAAAATATTTATTAAGTACTCGCTAACTGGTTTGTAACTGATCCTAGTTATCTCACTCCTTCGAGTTTTTACCAACCAAGAAACGACAGAAGGTTATTACCTTCTATTTAAAAGAGCCTTTACTCTAATTCAGAAGGTAACTGGTCAGTCTGTTGAATTCCATTCTCTTCATTCCTCTGGGATCTATGGGATTGTTGTTGATATAGATTCAAAACAATATACTGGTAGGTGATTATTCATTAACTGCTTGAGAAGTACTTCATAACTAACTAGTTAAGGTCTTGGGACAGTACCTTCAAGAGATCGACCCTCAACATCGTCCAATACTATGGCAACTCAAAGGGATTATTGTATTCTGCCGAGTTCACTTTTTCCGGACAATTACTGAAGCTGTTGGGAGTGTTGCTCGAGGTACAGGAGTTTGGAGCCGTATGGCTAATTTAATTGATTGCAGGTCTGAAGAGGACTATGACCAACTATGCAATCTTCTAGCTGGTAAGTGGTTGATAACTGGTTTTAAAATACTTTCTAACTAGTTGTTAGAACATGAAGACTCAAAAGTCAAGGCCTGGGCTGATCACAAAAAGCAACCGATCATTAAAGCTAGGCTAAATAAAAATTGCTCTAACATTCCGGCTTTCATTTATGATTCTATTCAAAATAATACTAATTCTGCTGAACAATCTCACCATAAAGCAAATGCCACAGGGAAACGCCTGACACTGACTGGAGCAATCCAAAAGTAAGTGCTTACTGGTCTTTTAACTGGTTAACAAGCAATTGAAAACCAGTTGATCCAAAACAAGTCCTAACCACCTTATAGTTCTGCGAAACTTGATAAGCAGGATATCAGTCAATACATTAATCATATTGATTTCGGTATTCACCATTCATATCGCACAGCTAATATGGAGACCAATTACTTGAGGCATATGTCTCGTGAAGGTATATATCTCTATATGTACATTCCCTGATTATATATAAGTAGTTACTAACCACTTATAAACCGAGCAGAATCTCGAAAACGCCGCTGCTCATCCTCAACACGCTTATCTTCACCTCAGTTAGAAGTTCCTCAACAATCTCAATCACAGTCTCGCCAGTATGTGCACTCGTAATCACTTTATAACTGATTACTGACTACTTAGCTCTGTTTCTTCTTCCCAAAGCCTGCATCGTGTTGCGTCAAGGAATGCGCTATCTTTTGAGCAACAACGGCAAGCTCTCGAAATAAGGGAGATTGAACTTCGGCTCAAAAGAGAAGAGAATGAGCTTAAAAAGGTAGAAATCGAAATTAAAAAAGGTGAGGAAGAAGTCCGGGATATGCAGCTAAAGAATGAAGAGAAGGAGTTAGAACTTATGGAAAGACGGGAAAGACTCCGGCAAATGACAAGTGAGATATAGGAATTGCTTCTTAACTACTCTATAACTGCTTATAGCCCTTGCTGTTGTATGTCTTATTCTTGTATAATATAAACTGGTTAAGAACTGGTTTAAAATCGATTGCGGGTATATTATAAGTGTATGGAGTATGAAAGGAAATTTTGGTTCGTAATAAAAACAGGTGTGGTATGGGTAAGGTATGCTGTTACTTTGATACATGGTTAGTTACAGTCCACCTTGGCAACGGGACGCGTCCAGGTGACCTGTGTACTCCGTAATCAGCCTACGCAGTTAACTAACAAATTGAAGGCTGATTACGGCAGCCAGGCGGCAAAAAAGAAAAAGAAAAAGAAATGGGGTGAGCCGGGATTGAACCGGCGACCTTACGATTAAATGACTGAGTAACTTCAGTCGCACGCTCTCCCAACTGAGCTATCACCCCATTTGATGATTAAATTAGATCAAATTTTATAATAGGAGGGACGATTATGCGGCGACCCCATTAATCCAAGTCGATGACAATCTCCCCCTCTCCAACCGGCCGTTCAAATCCATTAATGTACCGTTCCAACAAATCTTCTGTTAGGTAGAATGCCGAGTCTCCATCTTTCTCGATCAGTGCGTTCCTAGCTGCTACTCTTCGCCGAATCTCTGTTGGATCCGCGTTCAGATAAACCAGCACCCAGCGCCCACCCGATTCCGAGATGAGCGCTTTCCACACCTCACGGTCTTCACGGAATGCGAAAGAGAAGTCAAGGACGACGTTTGCATTGTCATGTTGGAGAATATGGACAAGTTGCTGTCTCAGAGCTGCTTCCGCCTCTTCTTGATACTTCTCGTAGTGTTCCTTGGGGTAGTCCACGTTCCAAAGGCCATGATGAGAGTAGACATACGCGTCAATGGAGAGACGAGTGAAAGATGGATAGGCGGAGCAGATTGATTTGGCGAAAGTGGTCTTCCCAGATCCTATTAAGTCAGCAGATGCATCTATGATGATGGATTGACATAGTTACCTGCCACTGCGCAGGTCATCAAGACAACCGGGCGAGGATCCGAGGAAGTGCGCTGAATGGTAGGACCAAGGCGAGCTATAGCATCCAACAGACGACTCATAATGCGAATGTGTATTTGGCAGGGAACCCTGTAGAAGATGCTTGATAAATAGTTGGAGATCAGTACATGTTTAAAAAGTTCAGTGTATGACTCATTTATACGACGGAACCAGTAAGACCATTTCATATCCACATCCATGCATGTAGATCACATCGACCAAATAGCTTGGGCTTATCAAAAAGAAAAGCAAAATACTAAACTATCTGCTTTTATTTAGGACATCGGCAAACTTATTTTGCAGATGGTTCTCCAACATCCGTTTATGCCCATCAGAAATCTTCCTGGCGTCCGTCAACGTTTTCGCGTACTTGTCAATCAGCTCGTTCAGACTCTCTTCCTCTCCCCAATCCTCCTGTGCTGCTTCTTTGGCCGCGATGGCCTCCTTCCACAGTGATTCCATCTCCTCAGTCCAACCAAGGGCATCCACTAGTTTGCGCACCCCATCGTCGCATTCACCCAAGATGGACACATCTTCCGCCCGCTTTCCAAAGTCTCCTACCTTCTCGCGATTGACAAGCACCCGGGGAACGCCTTCGCGAGCCAAAGGCGGCAGTCTCGAGCATGGAGCAACCTTTAGACTCGTCCCCATCACGAGCATCATATCCGCCTCGGATACTTCCTTCTCCTTTTCATCAAATTCCGCTGGGAGAGACTGTCCGAAGAACACAACATCAGGCTTTACTGCTCCCCCACAGTCAGGGACTTGACAATAAGGGACAGTGCCTGTGCTGATTGCTTGCTTCATCAAGTCATCAGGATACAGAGTCTCGCACTTCCAGCAGCGCTGGGTCCGCCAGCTGCCGTGCGCATTAAGGATCTTATCCTCTGGAATACCGACATCCCGCTCTAAGCCGTCTATGTTCTGAGTAAACACAAAATGGAGAAGGTTCTTCTTCTCTAGAAGAGCGAGAAAAGCGTGGGTGATAGTCGGTTTGACGGTGCGAGGATGCCTGGCACGCGCGATGGCGTAGAAGGGCTCGGGGGTATGGCGGAAGTAGTTAATGTGGAAGATGGCTTCTGGATAGGGCAGTTTTAGGGGTTTGAGTCGGTCATAAATGCCTGTCTCGGGCGATCTGAAGTCGGGGATGCCGGCCGCGGTGGAGATGCCTGCGCCGACAAGTACAACGATCTTGTGCACCTGGCCGCTTTTGATCAGGTTGGCGATGTTTTCGATATCAGTCATTTTGTCACTGTGAAATGCCTTAGCATATTGATGATGGTTGTTATTCAACGTTGGCGGGGGGCTGCGTTTTTATGCTTTGAAACGCAGACAGCTGTCAGCCTTGCATGATAATAAATCACCACGGCAACCCTGTCTAGGCATCTGACAATCCGACATTATCCAACAGATCATCATCCCTAGCGGGCTACAGGAGGGGTTTGACCTTCTTATAACGTCATCATACGTCTCATATCTCATATGATTGACTGGTCGATGAAGATTCATTGCAGAAGGCTCTGTAGCCACCCAGCGTCAAGATCTTGTAACAGCCTCTTCCACCCCATTGCCCGGCGCCTATTTCAACCCTTATACCGAGATACTACTATAGACCGCCCTAACTGATTGGAGGGTCTACTTAACAATGAACATTGATACAAGGAAACCAAATTCTTCCCATGAAACTCTGCCGTCCCATCCAGATATAACTCTGTCTCCAGGAAGCGTTACACTTTGTTCTCCTTAACGACTGTTTATAGTTTGCCAATTTTAGATACTAAAAGCCGTTTAAGCGCTGGTGCTATCACTGCAATATACACCTCATAGCTAAAGGTCCGGTAGTTAGTACAGCCAGTGATAACGCAGCATTCCTATTCGGAACATAACAGCTTATGTTCCTATCATTATAGGGAGATAAGTGCTTGAATATATGGCTCAACGCAGTGCTACATCTGATATATTACTTTAAAGCATCGCATGCCCTACGCATAATCTAGCCTGCCATTTTCAAGATGCTACTACCCCCAACTATCTCGACAGAAAGTCCTCCTTAGCCTCATAACCCAAAAGGCACTCCTTCCGCTTGTCATCGCAACACAGTGCTACTTTACAGACAGCAGTCCCGGCTTAGCAGAGCTATAACCCTGCTTTCGAGAAACCGGCCTTTGCTCTGCCATCAATAAATCAAACGGAGACCTAATGATATCTGCCTGGCTAACGGGCTTTGCCTGGCCCAGGTCTCACCGTATACAGCTCTCATCCGGTTAAATAGGTGCACGGATCCGACACGGGAAGATAATAGTTGTCAAGCATCTGTCCTAAATGTGCGCAGTTCAAAGGTCTCTCGATATCCTGTCTGGGGACGGACTGCTAAACCAATTTCTTACCAACACCAATCCAAGGCAGTTACGGGATACACGTCCTCCCGTGTCCTGAGATGAGCAATGACCACTGGTGCTGCAGTGCCAATGGCTCGAACTGCTGTGACATGCATTCAGTTGCAAATGGGCAAGCTGATGCTCTCGAATATCGTCGACTGTCCCTACTCATACCGGTGCTGCAAACACCGCCACCACTACCACATGCTTTATGACAGAACATGCAACCGCCAAGGCAGATGCTTCAAGTGATTCAGGGTGCACAAATTCCGAATCAACGATCGTTGGCGTTAGCGTTGCTGTTGGGTTAAGTGCGTGTCTCGTGACGTTACTGGGAGCCGTGTGGTCCCAAAGACGGAGGTACCGGCGGGACTACATGAGAATCAACAATTCGCAGTAAACTGCATCTCAAACGATCAAGTATATGCTGCTCCGGCTGATGCTGTTGTACCTGTGGCAGAGCCTCCCTTGACCAAAGCTCCGAGAGTGTTTGATGGGGCAGGAGGTTGATCTTAATCTCTCCACATCAAGAAGCATATCCAACAGGCTTTCTGTATATTAAACCATAGGAGATATTACCTAGATGTATCCGTATTAGCCAAGCTAACGTAAACTCAGTATAGTTAAGTGACTCCTGAGCGTGTCCTCGCTGGAGCATTCGTCCAACTTGGATGTACCAGGTCGGAGGATCTGAAGCACTGCCATCCTAGATGATACCAAGGCTGGTCATTGGGACTGCGTCAATGTTCTGGTAGTCTAAGCGTGCAGATTGATATGCTGATCGTTCCTTTACTGCTCCCCGCCGGCATTGACCATGTGAGTCTTCCTGCCTTCCTGTTACCCAGACCTTCGCTTTGAAGATCGGCGAGATGCCTGTGCCAACGAACGAGAGGGGAACGAGGTGAATGATATCGCCAAGCAGTTTATCATACGTCCACGCTGCAGGTAAGACCCACATCTCCCTTCCGCAGGGCATCTCTAGCGAACTCGTCTAGTCACAAGAGACAGAGGATCTGCAGGGATAGCCATCCACTAGAAAAGGTTAGAGCTGTGAGACATAAAGTGCAACCCCACGAAGGCGGACGGCTGATCCTCAAACCATCGTATCAGCGAATTATCCACCAGTCCTGGTCTCACATTTCCATTGTCTCGGATGCCGACGGTGTCATGCGATCCTCTGCAATTCGCAGAGATCCTTATCGACGCCGCAATCAAGGGGTAAATGAGACTATTGAGCCTGTTCCATCCGGTTCTTGGATACTAGCCTACTCCCTACATGGCATTTTATCCGTAAGCCTAATCCAAAAGTGGAAAACGATGTTTTATCTGAAGAGTATCACGGACTCGCTTTCGGTTTCAAGTGGATTCCGTTCCATTAAATGTGGAGTCCCGACCTGGCTGGCTAAGATATTCAAGCTTTACCCCACAGGAGCCTGATTCTGTTTCTCCATAGAGCCATTTCTTCAGACGGCGGTCTCGGGAAATCGGGGCACCGTCCGTGACAAGTCCAGCGGGATCTACGGGTTCTACACATATATAAGAATCTATAACTCCCTCTTTCTTTCATAGATGAACAGGACAACAAGTCAACGGCAGAATGACTCTCCTTCTTCTGGCTGGCCTGTTTGTTGCAGCTAACGCCCTGACGGCCACCGTCAACACAGGGCAAACCTTCCAGACCATGGATGGGTTCGGCTTCTCACAGGCCTTTGGCCGCGCCAACGACCTGATCAACCTCGATGCAGACCAGCGCCAGTACGCCCTGGATCTTCTCTGTAGCCCTACTAAGGGAGCAGGCATGACCATCCTGCGCAACCGCATCGGCTCTGGTAGCGGCCACAGCATCTTGCCAACTTCGCCTGGCTCTCCGAATGCCACGCCGCAGTATAAGGATCTCGGCACAGACTCGAACCAGGTGTGAGTGACGCAACAGGCCGTCAAATACGGGGTGAAGACAATCTACGCCGATGCGTGGAGTGCCCCGGGGTTCATGAAGACCAACAACGACCAGGCAAACGGGGCAATCTGTGTAGTGTCACTGGAGCGAAGTGCGCGAGCGGTGACTGGAGACAGGCATAGGCAAATTATCTGGTCAAGTATATCCAGGACTATGCGGCGTTGGGACGGCAAATCACGTACGTTGGCTTCTTGAATGAGCCAGATCTCAAGTATGTCTCTCTTGCCCTTGCTCAGCAGCGGTGTCAATACTGACGATATGTAGGACTGCATACTCCTCCATGCTCTCTGACGGTATCCAGGTCGCAGACTTTATCAAGGTGCTGCAGCCCACCATAAAAAAAGCGGGCCTGAGCCACGTGGGCATCAACTGCTGCGACGCGATGGGCTGGAAAGCGCAACAAACTCGCACGGCACAGCTCTCTCGGCCGGGGTCGAGAAGCTTCTCTCGCGGATCACCTCGCACTCGTACTCGTCTGATCCAACCAGCACCATGGGCGCCTCCATCCCCGTCTAGCAGACCGAGAACGCAGACCTCTCCGATAAGGGCACGTGGGAGACAACCTGGTACTCCAACGGGGGGCAAGGTGAGGGTTTCACCTGGGCGCAGAAGATCTACACGGCCATCACGCAGGGCGGGGTGAGTGCATACCTGTACTGGGAGGGCTTCGAGAAAGATACCACTAACTTGTGCCTGGTGATTACTGATGGAAAGAATATCATCCCATCCGGGCGGTTGTGGGCGTTTGCGCAGTGGAGTCGATTTGTGCGACCTGGGGCGGTGCGCGTGGCAGTCTCCGGGTCCACGTCGACGCTCAAGATGACTGCGTTCAAGAATAGGGATGGCACTGTTACGGTGCAGATGGACTTGTCTTCAACGACACCGGTCAGCGTCAAGGGGTTCTCGGCTCGCTCGGCCAAGGCATACCTCACGAATAACAGCCACAATGACGTTAGCGGAACCACCGTGTCACTCAGTGGAGGAGCGGCTACTGTCAATATTCCCGGACATGCAATGGTGACTGTGGTTCTCTCATAGGCGACACCTCCACCACAAGACAAGGACTACGACTGCTGCTTCGACTACCGTTGCGGCGCATTGTGCTCAAAGTAGAGGATTAAGGACGGACGAACATACCCGGCAGGCGCAGAACGTGCGATATTCTGAGTGTCTATGATCACTTTAGCTATTTCCAACGATTTGCTTTTCAGACGGCTATGTGGTAAATTAGATCTAAAAAGAGTACAGACACTGATGTGACATATCGCAACCGTACTTTGATCCTTGCAGTGAGACATATCAGGTAGACCCTCGCTTAATCTTGGAGGTCTCACAGCAGTCTATGGAAGGTTTAAACTGCTGAAGATCAGTTTTGATTCATTTTGAATGTGTCTATTCTACAACGTAATGATTGAACAATAAAACAGAAATCCACCGTCTAGGTACACCTCCTATACCCGTAAAGCATTTCATTCTAATCGAGCAAGTCCAGCTTACTCTTCTCTATCCCCTACTTGATGAACACTTTCCATCGAAGAAATGAACGTCACCAATACAGACCAGCACGCAAGATTCCATCAGCCCAACGTAACCGTAATTCCCGCAGTAGCCGAGCAACTCTGCGTCGCAACATCATCCCACTCTTGATACACCTCGCTGCAGTCACTGTCCCCAGCCGCACAGGTCACAGATGAGCAACTTGAGTCACTAGGTGTAGCCGAGAATCCCGCCGTGATGAACTCCGAGTCCGAATCCATGTCAATTGCGGACAAGTCCCAGTAGAGCGCGTCGCTGGCCTTGGTATATTCGAACTGGAGGACGCTGGCCTGACTCTCGGTGGTGGCCATCTTGATGGAGATTCCGCCGCCGTTGGAGTTGGTCTGATAGGTCTCGGTGTACGTCTCACCGGAGGCGATGGTTTGCATAGCGCTGGAGGTATCGGAGGTCGACCACAGGTAGACGGTGGTGTCGAGGTTGTTTACGATCTGGACGCTGCCGCTGCTGCTGGTTGTGGCACTGGGGCTGGCACTGGTGCTGGCGAAAGTGGAGGTAGTGCTGATGCTTGTGCTGGAGGTGGTAGTTGCATCATGCCTAGTCATGCTGCCACCAGGATAGAATTGCGGGAGGGCTGAGACAGCCAGCGCAAAGGCCGCTTGGAAAAGGATTTTGGAAAAGAACATGGTGATTGACCGATTTAAAGGAGTGTTGTGTTTAAGGAGAGACTGTGGCACAATGGCAATTGATAGTAAAAGGAGAGTGTGAGGATCAACCTCGTCTAGGGAAGATTTTATAAAGAGAATGAAACTGTAAGGACTGCTTGCTTTGCGTGAGGATGTCAACAGGGTCGTCTCATGCCCCTGCTATATTTATATCCCATGGTGGAGTATGGGCGTCGCGAACACTTGATCAAAACGGTCAGCGCATACACGTGGATAGCATGTTTCAGCCCCGTTCTCATCGATCAGATCCATTGGATCGTGACTGGAGGCTTATTCGACGTTCTGTAGCTGCATCTATATCTGTCGAGGCTGACGCTGTCCAGGACATGATACGAGAACTCGTACTGTGTTTCCTCATAAACACAGGCCAATTGAATGGGAAACTGACAAAGCATTGGAGCGGTTCTTAAGCGATTGGACCAATAATACAGCGTGATTCATCTTCATTATCCACTGTGGTCTCGACTCTTGAATCCAGACTTTTTTGCGGGTCTCCACTTGGTCAATTTGCGTGACTAAAATCGTAAGCGCATTACGCACTCAGGGGAGTGCTCAGACGGTCACCCTCAGGACTCGGACATATGGTATATAGTTCCCTGTAAGGTACTCATGGCACAAGAAAAGAACCAGTATGGCTCATCCATGGTAGGCGCTTTGGTCAGCAATTTCATCGTCTAGAGAACTTCGTTGTCAAAGTGAAACTCATTTTTCCACGCAGGTCAACCGTCTTGGACAACTGGTCATCTAGACTTGCTGTATTTATTTTGAAATTCCCTGATACGTTCGGTTCAAGTCAATGGGATACTGGATACCAATGTTGATCCGATTTCTGATCTCTCATAACTACTCATACATTACGGTAGACTCTAGACCAGCAAGCCCTCAGTATCAAACGATGAATACTAGAAGAATCAACCTGTTTCAATAATACTGGGTAGTCAAATTAAGTATTAATGAGCGTTATCCTAGCAGACGAACACCATCACTGTTCGTGCTTGACCTAGGATTAAAATCTCGGGAGTATCAGCGCAATCAATCAATGCGGACATTACATATGTCGAGTTCAAAGCATCGAGTCCACATTTCAGAGCTTTCAAGTACAGCAGTACGGTGAGGGAAGACCAATCCTGAATGTCAATAATTAAGCTGTCATTTAAGCAGCCGGTTGGGCAACATCTGCTGGCGCATCCGCAGGAGCACGGCCCGCGTCGGGATGGGGATGTTTCTCGGCATGTGGGTGCATTCCCACTGGTCCCTCTCTTCCACTATAGTAGAAATTGAAGATCTCGAAGCACATGGCGCAGAGAGTCCAGAAGCTACACACGTGAGTTAGCACGCTTGACTGCGCTCCACACATCAGCTATCAACTCACAAAGCCAGGAAAGAGAAGGCTTCAGCAGTTCTCTTGCGGGTGCATGAGCTTGAGACACCGAAAGAGAACCATCGACAGTTCTCCTGCCCAATGTGCTGGGCCAGGAAGATGAATGCGGCAAGCCACCTGTTCATCACTCATTAGTACTCACGTCTCAAGAAACAGGGAAGCATATAAGCGTACAAGTAGGAAAAGACAATGTCCAAGGGCAGCATATATCCGCGGTTACGTTTCATAGCTGATACTACCATCGCAGGAATATAAAACGCTGTTGTTAGAACAGCCTGCCAAAGTCAGAACCATATTTCCCGTCATATAGGCACGATAGACCTACAATCACCAGCGGATAGACCACTCGGTAGCCATCCCTCTTGGTCACGGCCCAAGCCGTGATACCCATGACGATGACAGCACTCAGCCATGCGAATAGACGGGCGACGAGGAGAAAAGGGCGGAGCGCATCTCTTGGAGTCCAGGCCATTTTGGACGTTGTTACTGTGTGCAGTCAGCTCGATGACAATGGAAAATGAGGTGTCTGCAGCTCGTGTATATAATCACATTCAACACTTCCAGAGCTCCTTTTAACCATTTTGGCTGTCCTTGTGGTGTGACTCGAGGTCCGAATGTCATGAAATCATCGGCCGGGATGGCTGAGAACCATTGGCCGAACCACGGATATGAGACAGCAGCTGGAGTCTAGCATCACATCTGTCACACGATCAGCACATTACAATCAAATTGATAATCAATGATGTCTGAGCCCGGATCAATGATTACATCAGACATTGTTCCATGACATACTATATGTATTGTGCAGCGCCCCGGATACGGTACCTTGGATGGTGCTCCTGCCCAGCGGACAGATGAACTGGGAGTGATGCCGAATGGGCAGATGACAAATATTCAAGGGTTTAGTATATCCATACAGTGATACAGCCTCTGTAGATCTGTAGATGATCCATGACCGGCCCGCGTTGAGCCTTAATTGTCGAACATCCTCGTTGATCCACCGAGTCTGAGCGGGAATACCACGGCTTTTAAGTACCTACACTGCGGGCCTCCAGCATTTACGTCCAGTGACGGACAAAATGGACTTCGGCTCTCATTTCTGCCTGCATGTATCCTGACGTACAATAAGCAAGGTAAGATTGACAAAATTGCAACTGATGACTAGCAATCTTCGGAAGAGTCACAAAAAATTAAAAGTTAAAAAAAATGGTCACTACGAGGGTCGAACTCGCGACCTTGGCGTTATTAGCACCACGCTCTAACCGACTGAGCTAAGCGACCAGTTGTTGAAAGTACCGTTCTTATTATTGATGACAAGGCAAGAAGGAATTTCACGGCCGCTTCCTTTCGTCTTTTCGCATATCTGTATGGACAAGATGATCATGCTAACACAGACTTGATCTGACTCAGGCCCTCGGTGTGTCTTCAGCACGATGTCTCTTGCACTGGCCCCATTTACCTCGCTCCGTAATAGTTGAATATGCGTTGTTCAAGCTTGCTCTACCTCTCAGAAGCTATAATATATATAGTTCGATCATCCCGCGTAGTGTGTCCAATCACTATTGACGTTCACTCGTCAATGTAGATGTCAAAAATAATGGGAGAAAAAATTTGTATGGGATCGTCATGGACTATCGATGTCGATTCTCAACAGCGAAATTAAATAAGTATAGTCGATTACTCGTTCTACAGGACTTCCATTCTTCTATCCACGAAGTGAGGTGGCTAAGAACTACACCTGAAAAGTTCTAGATGCACACCTCTGTACAATCCGTAGCCTAATTGCTCGCTGGTATTAGTTGCCAAGCTGAAATACATTTCCTGCATCAAAAGACTTCCGAGGAAACATCTGATAGCCCTTCTGGTTGGCCAGGACGACCTTGCCTTTCTCATCCGTGAATTGACAGTTATGATGCGTATGGCCAAAGGCCCAAGCTTTGACAGCCGTGGACGTCCAGCATTCCTCCGAGGACAAATCTGTCATGAAAGCCGAGGTCACATCGCTATGCTTATGCCTGTGACTCATACAGCGCGAATCCATGGATGGGCAGTGATGAGTGAAAATGAAGATCTGTCTCTGTGGCTCCTCCTTTGCAATCTTGGATACCTCGGCATTCAGCCATTTGACGTCCGACTCATGAGCGAGGTTATGGTCCTCCACGGTCCAGTGAAGGATATCTTTAAAATCCACCGCTCGGGACTCGACGGAAAACTCCTGCTCCGGAGTGATATGAGAGAAGAGGGTACATCCAAGCACGGTATGGGTATCCGAGATGTCGTAGCGAGTCTGGTCCAGAAAGACGAAGCGTCCAACTCTGGAGGAAGAGACCCGCGTCCGTTCCATTTTTGCTTCAAAGGCTCGCATCGTCTTCTTTGCAGTCTGCAGCGACATATGGTATGGTTCATGATTTCCAAGAACGAAGAAGACAATCAGATACCGCTGGATCTGATGTTCGAGGAACTTGAATAATTGCTCATTTGCTACATGGTCAATGTCCCCGAGGAGTGCAGATACGATGCTCTGTTCTGGAATTGGAAATCATCATATGAGGAATGGGTCTCGAGATGAAGATCAGACATGATCTGGAACGACAAAGGAGCCATGTTAATGCCCCTGCAAGCCAATGTAATCAGTCCACATTGATATGCTGAGCGGGAGTGCGAGCTGTTATTTCAATGGTTCAAGCGCATTCCACGTCATCAGCAAAGCAGCATACCGTAACCATGGATTGTTTGCGGATATCAGCCGGGTTAGTAACAAATGCATATACCACTTCCAAGTGAGTATACGGACGACTCCTGTCTGTTCTACAAGAGGAAGTTGACGAACAGTGACGTTATGTAGGATCACGTGGTGTCAGCAATTGTTTCTGTTACTGTTCCTTTGTAGTAAGCTTGGTGATTCCGCATGTGACCTGTGAGACCTGGTACCAGATCACGGGCAAGCTTGGCTACGGAGCATACTCGACCAGTTGGCTATGCCGGGATCTTCAGTAGGCGTCTTCTCCACACGCAACGCAGGAAGCTTAGTTCCTGATTAATATCTCGGAAATACGATAGTCAGTCTGTAGCGACGTACATGGTACAACTGAGCTGCTCTACTAGTCCAATAGGCTGAGGTCCACCGCAATCTGCGTCACCACGGTGTACGGTTTGTCAAAGCAAGCGTCCCAACACGTCTCGCCTGAAGCCCAGAATTTCTCCAGCAGGGCTTTGGCCGTCAGCGGGACATATGAGCCAATGTGGCGACTCATCTCCGGGAGGTGTTCTCGAACAAAAGCTCGCATCCCTGCGCCGCCGATCACAGCTTGCACCCCGAGCACGACCAACGGCCATAGTATGGATCTTTTTACTCTTGGGGATGACAGGGCCTCATTGAGCAGGTCCTGCAGAAGCCGCCCATGGCTGGCACAGCTGGCTCTCAGTAAGGGGTTCAAAGGCAGAACAGACAGACTCTGCAGCGACAGGATGCAGTATAATGACACGGCGGCCTGGTACGATTTTCCCACAATCCTCCAGTCCTCTTTTGATGACGGTTTGGAATCGGCCCATCGTTCAGAGGAGAAAATATGGATACGGTTAAGGACTCCGTACGCCTCTTGGGCGAGGTCCCCCAGCCGTGTGGGATCTTGTTTCCAGGCTTGCACGCGAAGATGATTGATCCTGATAATCTCGGCGAACAGGGGCTTGGGACACATCTGGAAGTCAAAGACTCCGTTGCCAAAGTTCTCTAATATGAAGTCACTTTCTTCAAGGCGCAATCTACTGGTTGCCAAGTGGGAAGCGGGCGACGAAGTGTCCCCAATGACTGCAATGCTGTTTGGCTGTCAGCTGTATGCTACTCCAAACTGAACAGTTTGCGCGCAATAACGTACAACACAAAGCAATGGAGCAGTGGTGCTAAGCTGGCCGACCTGGCCAGAGAACGAATGCCGCCGCGCAGCATGATTAGTTTCTGGAGCCCTTCGATGTGGTATCGCCAGTGGGGAGAGGCACCTTGCTGAGCCTTGCGTGGCAGAACATGGTTTAGTACGGTGGATGGTCCTCATACTAAAATTTCGACTCACATCAATGAGTAGAAGCGTGATGATTCCAGCAAGGACGACATCGCTTGCACGCTTATGTCCTTGATTAATATCGTTTCTGAGGGAACGAATGACAAGTCCCCGGTAGCGATAAAAGGTCACCGCTAGGGATTTAGACTGAGGGTCATTCCGCATTTGGTTCATTCGATGACTGAGGGTCATACAGACTATACCGAGTTGTAAGTACTCAGGGTGCGCAGCCCCTCGCTGGAGAAGCGCGGATGAGATCCTGTAAACGCCATGGTGCGGCCCAAGGTCATTGACGGGGAGCAAGTCGGGGTATATACAGGCGTTAACTGTCCAGGGGTTAGTCCATTTTCTGGCCATGGCGCTACATATGTATTTCACTTGCAGTATTCGGCTGCCTGGGCCAAGACCGGGGCATTAGAGATGGTCTCGAAGCGGGGAACGACGGAGCGCTCTGCTGTGGTCCTCGCCCGGTTCATTTCCTGATTGTTCACCTGTTTCCGATTCCGAAATTTTACCCTCCCAGGAGGAAGCCACTTTAACCTGAAAGGTTCCTTATCTTCGTATCCGGGGCAGACGATCCCGGAGGTAGAGCACCGCTTACATTGGGGCCGGATAAAGTCACAGACTAAAGACCGCCGGAGACATTCCCAACAGTGGCGCTGTCGATCCTCCATTGTCTATATACCTGATCAGAGATGATCAAGCGAGGGACTGATAAAAGGCTTCAGGGGTGGGGAAGTGAAAGGGTTGTCTCTCTCCCCTGGAGCAAGCACGCGAGTAGTACAATAAGATGAGCGACAGTTCTTTCAAGTCTTCAATAGGCAACCGCCTCAGAATGATCGTCACCGGTTGAATTTAGCGTCTTGGCGTCTCTATTTTCCTAATTCGGCAAAGCGTCTCCCAACTATGATGCTCTCTTTGAAGAGCAACTGGAGAGCCATATAAGCCAGCATGGTCCACTGTCAGATAAATAACAAGGGAGAGGATCCTATTTGGTTCAACTCGAGAATTTTCTCTTCCAGGTCCAATACATGATGGCAAGCGGGCAAGTCGGTAGGCTAGCATCGATTTTTTCTCCACCAGAGTATTATACGATGTATGTGATAGCGATCCTGACAAGCCCTAGTTCCAGGGAGCCTTTACGTCTACGCTCCTAATAAGGCAGCCCCAATCTTCTTCACAATTGCATTTGCTGTCTCAGCAGTTGGCCATATTTGGCAATGCCTGTGGGTGTCCTGAGTTCCTGCGATATGGCTTCGTTCAATCAGACTTCCTAATTCCCATATTAGCCGCTACAGATGCATCAGAATGATCGGGCTGCACCCATTGTGTGCAGTGCTGTTTACAGTTGGATATGCAATGCGGGCATATGGAGCCGACGGGCACTATATTTACAACCCTGACAGCTCACAGAACCTGCTCGTCTATATTCTCAGCCAGGTTTTGATCTATATATGCCCGTGAGTTATATATGAGGTCAATGCTGTCTTCGCACTGACTGAAGGTCTGGCCCTATAGTCCGCTCCTCGAACTCGCCAACTACCACGTTCTCGGCCGGATGTTCTACTACGTCCCAAATCTCGCACCCCTTCCCCCCGGCAAAGTCCTGGCCATCTTCGGCGCCCTAATGGCACTTGTGGAGGCACTGAATGCTCTGGGGGTAGCCTTCAACGCTAACCCAACCGGCAGCCAGCAAGGATTGGGAAAAGCTTTGATCCTCGTCGCGCTCGCCCTTCAACTGTGCGTGGTTCTTTCGTTCGTTTTAATAGCGGCCTCTTTCCAGTGGCGGTGCGCAAAAGCCAATATTCGTCGCAGGTCTCTGCCGACCCTTCTGGTCACGCTAGACATCAGCATGGGGTTAATCCTGGTCCGTTGCATCTACCGCCTGGTTGAACATGTCGGCAACACGTCGGTGGATCTCGGCGATCCAGAAGAACTTAGATCCCTGAGCCCCCTTTTGCGATACGAGTGGTTCTTCTATGTCTTTGAGGCGTCGCTCATGCTCCTCAACTCTTTCTTATGGAATGTGTTCAATCCGGGCCGGTATCTGCCCAGACACCACACGGTTTATTTGGCAGCGGATGGCACGACGGAAATCGAAGAGGAGGAAGTCCGCAATGACCAACATGTTCTGGTTAAAGCTGCGTATGCGGCCGTCAATGCGCTGACATTTGGGCTGTTTCGCCTCTTTGTCCGCCAGAAGGATGAAGAGAACCATCCACTAACAGAGCGAAATAAATAGATATCTGTTATGGCGTGTCAGATTTGAACGGCGGCTGGAATACTGCAAGCAGTTCTCTGGAGCCATCAACATCCCTATCTAGATCTAGTAGAATGGACTCTAAGGGGTCACACCGGTTTCGGCATCAGATGCAGCCAGTGAAAAGAAGGGAATGGATTGCATGGATTACATGGCAATGAAACGGATTCGTCAAATTTAGACTTGTCCATATATTTTGCAATATTTTGCACAGAAGCTCTTCTTGCAGTCGAATGCAACCAGTGAACCTGGTAAGGCTGTACATGTTCGGGTACTTATCTTTTGGGGGTTAAAAGTCGAGATGCTGGAAATGAAAGATAGAAAGCAAAAGCTTGGATTGAGGGAAAGTACAAATCATCCTACTTAATAATGATAATGCTACCATTCTTCTATTATTTCCACTATCTGGCCAACCGCTGGGGTTTTCTGGCTCGGTCTTATGCCACTAGGGGTTTATGAAACGTCCGGCAAAAGCCTTTTATAGTGGGTTTCACTCTCTGACACAGGCTATTAAAAATTGATTAATATTGACTCAGTACTACGTGGCCATAATGCTCAACTAACGACAGATAATAATAGAAGGTTAAGTGATTCATACTATCATCTCCTCTCCTTTCCAGGCTGTTATGCTCCACTAGATGCAACTATCCTTTTCATATTTCCCGGCAAAATAAATAAACTCATAGTGACACTGATAATAATTCTTCTGGCAGATAACGTATTATCATGATCACCATTTGGGATGGAATATACTTGGACCAAACAGAGAGTAGTTACTGGCAAGAACTAAGCTTCGGCCGCCGAGGCTAGGCATTTCTTGGAGCCAACATGTTTCATCAACGAAGCAGTTCCCCTGTACTCTCTAAACTAATTTGGAAAGTGGAATGATTAGAGGGACAAGTGGATCCATCAAAAATGATATCCATTAACTCCTAGTCGGCCAGAATAGCCTTAGGCTGGGTACTGCTCGTCATCGGTCCTAGATTGTAAGTTTGTAGCGAGCATTGAGACCTTCTGTCCTTCTGGGTCCTTCCATCTGGATTATCAGAAGACCGTCACTTTAGGCTGTTGGTAAAAGTGCCGTCTCGTCGGGCCTGATTCCGTGAAGATTGTTGACTGCCGAAGTTGGGGTGCATGTGCACTTCTGCAGCAGAGGGGAAGCAACCGCTAAGCTTTTAGCCGCTGGGACAATCTGGGGAAAGCATTACTGCCGAGAAGCAAAGATCATCCAAGCAAAGCTTACCCTCTAGGGTGGCGTGATCATTCAGCTAGGCTGTTCGAAAATACATAAATTTAGCCGAAAAGAACATATAAGGAGGGTCTGTCCCCTCCCGGCAGAGCACTGTGACAATCATCACTTTATTCATTAGAGCCTACAGTTGAGTCTCAAAATGATCTCCTTTTCCTCGCTTAGCTTTGGACTCGCCGCTATCGCCAGCGCATATGCTCTTCCGGGTGACAAGTCTGTCAACTTAGCGGAACGTCAGACCATCACGTCCAGCCAGACAGGCACTAACAACGGCTACTATTATTCCTTCTGGACCAACGGTGCCGGAACAGTGCAATACACGAACGGCGCTGGCGGCGAATATAGCGTGACCTGGGCGAATCAGAACGGTGGTGACTTTACCTGTGGGAAGGGCTGGAATCCTGGCAGTGACCAGTAGGTAACGCCAGAGAACTATAAGAAGAAACGAAGAAAGCACTAAACTCTCTACTAGTGACATTACCTTCTCTGGCAACTTTAATCCTTCCGGAAATGCTTATCTCTCCGTGTATGGATGGACTACCAGCCCCCTAGTCGAATACTACATCCTCGAGAACTATGGCAGCTACAATCCAGGCTCGAGCATGACGCACAAGGGCACTGTCACCAGCGACGGATCCACCTACGACATCTATGAGCACCAACAGGTCAACCAGCCTTCGATCGTCGGCACGGCCACCTTCAACCAGTACTGGTCCATCCGCCAAAACAAGCGGTCCAGTGGCACGGTCACCACCGCGAATCACTTCAAGGCCTGGGCTAGTCTGGGGATGAACCTGGGTACCCATAACTATCAGATCGTTTCCACTGAGGGATATGAGAGCAGCGGTACCTCGACCATCACTGTCTCGTCTGGTGGTTCTTCTTCCGGCGGAAGCGGCGGTAGCTCGTCTACTACTTCCTCGGGCAGCTCCCCTACTGGTGGCTCCGGCAGTGTAAGTCTTCTTCCACATGGCTGTGACTTCATGTGTATTCTGACTGTGATAGTGTTCTGCTTTGTGGGGCCAATGCGGTGGAATCGGCTGGTCTGGCCCTACTTGCTGCTCTTCGGGCACTTGCAAGGCTTCAAACTCGTACTACTCCCAGTGCTTGTAGCACCTTCTTGCAGGGTTATATCCAAGTTATGGACACATCTGAATATATGCGATGGATTTCAAGATTGGAGATCCTGGCGTTCCCACTGTCTCAGATATAGCACTTATTCCTGAATTGGCATAGTAGTAATCAACAGTCTCACATTTACTTTGAGCTCCTAGGTTCTATATTACGACGTTAGTAAAGATAGTGTCGAAGCTGGAATGACCGGATCATCCCTCCTCTCCACGTCCGTCGCGCTCCTTGACTATTATACACTTGTATCAGGATTGCTATATATCTTCGCAGAAAAGCAAGGAAAAAGTAAATAAGGCGAGTTGCTGTACATGCATCCCTTTCTTCACAATTGCTTATTATACGCGTCCCTCAGTTTGCTATCAGCCAGCTTCGTACGCAGAAACATCAAGGCAACCCGTCAGAATGCGCCTAAGCGCTCCTATCGCCAATTATAGAAGTGACCAAGCTGACGATCGGCAGCAGGGTCATGAAGACGGGGAGTAATTGACCAAAATCCCAAGATGATGTGAGGCCGTTCTGGAGTAGACTGTAGATTAGAGCACCTAAGCTGAAAGCCCACAACAGTGCCAGCCAGACACCCGCCATTCTCCATGGAAAGATAACCTCCGCAATCAAGGATAGTATCCACCTTGTCAGTTTGGAATCCGTCTCCACATACCTTTCGCTGAAAGCTACCGCAGTTTTGAACAGACACGGCTTTGCTATGACATACGGGTTATACCGATGCCATATAGAGTCCGAAGCACCGCTGTGCGACAGAGGCTTCACCAGAGCCAACCATTCCCGGATAAAGACAATGTCCTGGGCCGAGGGCGAGACACGGCCGACGATGGTTCTGACCTCCATTGCCTGCTCGGAAAGAAAGACCGGTAGATATGTGAGCAGATATATCCACATAATGCTAATGGCCTCAATCACAGTTGCCGCATGCCAGAATTTGCTGGCCAACGAAGACAATTTCTCGGAATCCTTTGGTTTATTAGGCGACAGAATGCGCACCGCAACGACCAGCCACAAGCCGTAAATGATATACATGATGACTACACGGAGCGTAGCAAGCTTCCGATGACGCTGGAAGTAGGGACGGAGGGAGAGTAGCGTCGCTGCATGTGTGAAACTGGAGTAGCAAACCACATCGGTCACTGTCCATAGATTGTTGGCGCCGTGGTGGACGGACGACCGCCAGTACTGAGCATAGCCGCACACGAGCAGCAAGAGTCCGGTCACCAGTTGTTGGTCACTCAACTGAAGCACAAAAGCGGTCAAGACGCGTATCCAGAATTTGTCTGAATGGTTGAGTGTTCTGTGTTTCCCGTATTGCTCCTCGTGGATCGTGGACGCTGAAGGGGACGGACCGCGTCTTCGGAGGTAAAGAACCGCATACGAGGCGACAAAGGTCAATGTCCCGGTCAATATAAAACCGCTGATTACCTGGTCCTCTTAGCACATACCATATCAAACTCGCTTGGGAAACGCACCCCTGCTCCGGCAATATTGGGGTCTGGTTCATATGGATTTACTACTGTACAGTCACCCATGGACTCCACTAGACAAACGATTTGACAAAATATATGCTATAAAATTGAAGAAGATATTCTGGAAACCGGAAGTAGTCTGTGTTCAGTCGAAAAGTAGTCATGCTCGATGCCTGCTATGCAATGTATCATGGGAGATAGAAGGTCTACACTCGAATGTCTACGGAGGACAAGTAGGTCGTGATTTATGCAAAGACATTCTCCCTCAACGCAGGTTCTGATGTCTTCTGATGTTTAATTATCAACTAGGCAGTGCCCGACAAATATCAAATCGCATCGCAACTTCTGAGCTCGTGCTAGAGAATGCCAAGTCATCTTTTGCTGTGTAAGTGCCCGTATGTTTGCCCGGGCGTAAGTAGGCTTTGCACAGCCACCTCATTGCGTGGCAACTGGCAACTACAAGCGCAGACTTGTGATTGATCAAGATAAATACTATCATCTACCGGAAAATATCCTCGATTGTTACCCTTAGAAATGATGCTTAGATCTCTTAGAGCTCTCCAACGTCGGTGTGAGCGGTGATATTAGAAGGGACAGTTGCAACGCCAACTTGTCTATCGACGTCCTTTTGGAACTTGTCAACATAGCACTTTATTCAGAGATACTAAGATAGTAAACGCAGTGATGGTGCTTTCGAATTAATATCATACTGGCCGGTGATTTCAATCTCGTAGTACACCACTTAAGCCAGAGCCTTGGCCGCCACTTGCTCCGGACTCTCCTCTGCAATTCCCAGTAAATCAGCATCTGATTGCTCTCGCGACCGAGCAAGAAGACATCGAGATTGACCCTCATCGAACAATTGTGCCACCACCAGGTCCAGAATCCAACCACTAACACCCTCCTGGAATTTGCGTTTCCCGTTCTCCATGAGTGTCTGGGTGGACGCTCGTTGTACCTCCCACTGTTTCCCCGTCGCAGATTGAAACGCTTCCAACAGCTCGTTTTGACAGGTTATGATGGACTGCGCCTTGACAAAGCGGTTGGCAGTCTCGGCCGGATGCTGCAAGACGCCGACCACCGACTGTCCGATACCCTCGAGCGTGGTTCCGGTGAACCGTTCGGTGCCAGAGTCATAGATGATGGCCGAGCAGTGCGCTACATCGAAGCCCATCGCGGGGAAGCGTTTCAACGCCTTGAGAGCTGGTTAGCTTTGAGGCGAGAGTATGAGATAAATTGCTATCACTTACCCAATCAATTGGATTCCCAATGCTGATTCCGGTGTATGTAAAATTGGGATTGCTGTCTGCTTTGGCTTTCGCATGATCCCATCCCGCACGACGTTGCGCATGAATGGCTTTGAACTCGGGGAATGACTTGGGATTGCCACCCCAGCCAAAGTCATCAAGGATGAAGCGCTTCACGCCCGCAGCCTCGGCGGCATCGATCATGGTGACTTGTGCCCCGATCCCGCCGGGACCCACCACGCAGACGGCTGCATCCTGTCCCGCCAGGGCTGATGTGAGGTTCTCCAGGGTGTAAGTGGTTCTGATTACTGGAATGTCCGGAGGGAATGTCGCCGTCGATTCGGACCGGGTGATAATGGTTACTGTGAAGCCTGCACGTTGTAAGGCTGCTGCGATTGGGGTGCCAAAGTTGCCAGAGGCCGGTAGGGAGGTCAGTAGGGGTGTTTCCTGTCATATTGAACGCTAGACAGTCGGTCTTACACCGAAAATAGCGACTCTTTGGAGGACGGCCATGGTGCTCAAATGTGCTCTTGTTTCTGATTCGACTTATTGCTGGCTCATATTGATGCTTGAGGTCGAAACTAGGGCCTTTTATAAACAAAGAGACGGAAGACAGAGGTCCATTAATTCGCAGGCAACCATCTCACATCATCAGATGTCTCACTTCGTCTAAGCGCTGACCCCGCAGCTAGATGTACCAGTGACTAGTGCTTTAGTAGTCAAGCAGCATTGGGACAAGCTTGGAGGCTCATTTTGTCTCTGGCGTTCATGAGTCTAGACCTCTCGGAACAGATGGAAGGCACATTTTGTTCCAAATAGACTTGTAATCAGAGACTTGCAAGTAGTTCCTATGACAGCATGAGATGCGTAGTCTATAGACATCGTCCACATATTACACCTTCCGAGCTTTATAGTATCACGAATACATCATAGAGAACGAATGGAATATATTCTTCATTAATAATTAATGGTAAAGTAAGTCTAATTTATCATCTGTCCGTCTATCCAAAACTCCAGGTATTGATCTATGTTCTTCCTTTATGGTATAGGACGACCTATTTCGGCCCTCTTGCGCCCTTACACGGCATCCATATGAGTCAATGATTTGTCTCAGTTATCCCACGACTTGGACCATTGTATAGTAGGCAATCGTATGATCCAAAGCGGTGCGACCAAGCAGGGAGACTCGTCCTGTGATTTGCGTCGGGGAATTGAATTATACTGGAAGAGCTGCCTCACTTCGATTGGAGCAATTCGATTTCCTCATCAGGGGCATCCATCGCGGCTTCAACCGAATCATGATCGGCTATAAATGATGGTTTTGAATTCATTCGAGCATCGGATATTCCCTGCACCTTCGCGACCGCAACATTGCTCTATATTTTTTGGCTGAATCATCTCATTCGGATGAGAAGTGCGATTCTTGAATCTTCCGAGCTTTATTCCCTCTTTGTGCCTGGAATCCGAGGAATATCGGATAAAGGTGGCCGGTCTTGCTTCAGCCGACCGGCCTTATTCATTATGTTGGTTTCGACAGGTCAAATCACCTAGTCATCCCCTTAGGCTGCTGCTACAGCCTTGTGGTACTGAATGGCCAGTTCTTCACATACGCCCCAGATGCGTCGACGGTTCGCCACTCCAATAAGCGCCAGGTCGTCCATGCCGTAGCGAGCAGCGGTCATCTTGTCGAGCCACATGTACAAGCGCTTATAGTTGACGTCGGCCGGCAAATCCCTGGGGTTCTGCGAGGAGTAATATTCCCAGAACCATGGCATATCCCACTGGATGAATCGCTTCCAGAACCAGTTGTCCTGAGTGACAACCTGAATGCTCAGTGATGCCTGAGTCAGTGCCTTCAGCGAATCCCCGGGCAGGTATGAGCAGATCTGATACACGAGTTCGAGTGGGAGCTTGCCGAAGGGGCTGGCGGGCGAGCGGCCCTTGAGATCAAATTGTAAGAATGACTTTTTGAATTTGCTGTCGGTGGTCATGTCGGTTTTGAGAAAGTCGTCCAAACCAGATGTCTCGGTTGGATGAGTCGCGCAGTACTGTAACTGGTCAGTATGAGAACGATGCGACTTGGTCGTTGCTGCTTGCCTCTGCGCCGGGGATGCACTCCCAGTACCGGCCTTGCGCCCGCCGAATGTCGTCGCCATAGTTCAGTCGCAGAGCGGAGGAGGATTCGTTGCTCAACTCCGTCATAACATTGTACAGGAGTTTCATATCAATTGTTGAGCTATCGGTGGAGCCGGTGAGAACGCGAGTCAGGATCTCAAAGCAGCATCCGTGAAAGGGGATGACTGGTCCAGGAGTATCGTCAGTCCCGGAGCCATAGCTGCATCACATTAGACTAAATCCTTTCCAGTTCGATGGATAGGGTGGTCAAACCAGGTATAGACGTTCCGGTCTTGGCCCGGTACAGCGTCAGTTCCCGACTTGATGGCAATCTCTCCCTGCAATGATCTGTAAGCCTGCTGAATTGTGGATATACCATTGGCTGGAGAAGCATACAACGTCTGCATAATACCCTGGTCCGGAGACAAATGTTCTTAAAAAGAGTCAGATAACCTGCCTTGATCGATGCAAAAGCCGACCATCAGCACTCACTTTCCCTTTCCCGAGGCAGCTTGAGGGTTGAATCCGAGACAGTATGCCTTATAGAGCCATGCTACGTTCTCCCAGCCAACAATCTTGGGATCGTAACTGCGAACGGGCTCTTCACCTTCCTGTGGAACCTGGTCGATAGACTGACCCGCTTGGAGGGCCCGAGATCTCTTTTCAATCCACCGTCTTCGACGCTCAGTTGCTGTTTCTGAGGGAGTTTCGATGAGCATTCCACAAAAGCCGACGCCGCAGATGGCGCAGTAGCAGTCGTAGGCCATGGTGACTACTGGATGGAGTTCCCGTGTATCCACGGGAAGAGTATCAAGTGGAGATGCAATTGAGGATGGGTTGAGAGTTTGACGGGGGATGAGTGATCTATCTCTGCTCTCTGAACAGGGTGGAATGCATTTATTACTATCAGGCCAAATGGAGCCATCTGGACTCGGTGGTCACGCACGCACACATGGAAAATTCGAAAAGTTTTCGGTAGACGATCCGTTCCATCGACCAAATCCAACAATACTTGGATCGATACCCACAAGCCGAAGCAATTGACACGCAGGAAGCAATGGCGTCCTGCCAGTTTGCCCCTGATCTGAATCCATTATCCACCTGGATGAGTTGTCATTCGTTGCTTGATGAACTGCTATCTGTTAGCTGTTGTTTAGTGTCTCAGCTGACCTGACAAGTTTTCTGGCTAAGACCATCTATCCCCGTACACCGCTAAGTGATTGAATATCCCTAAGGGGAGCCAAGTTGATATCGCCGCCCCTTTGAGGCAATCCCGAGTCCCGAGGAACTTTCTTTTGCCCCTTTTTCTTTTACCTAACACCTCCATACCACAGCTGCAAAGGCGATAACTTGATGACTTGGCCTCCCGCTGTTTCTGACTATTTGATGCTTGATCTAAAAATAGTTGTTTTTACGGAGTACGAGGTCTCGATTCCCCCGGTTCAGCTACTCTCGATATTATTTAGGATGGCGTGTTGGGTCACTTGATCAGCAGAAAAGGACTAAATTAGTATCGTGGCCAGCCGTCGTTTAATTAAGGAGAAACGTGTCTAGACCGACACAACAGTACTTTCGTCGTCCTCCTCGCTTTCTAACTCCCTTCTAGCCTGGAGCGAAAATCCTTCCTTCCGTCTCCCCGACACCGGGCACCTGGGAAGCGGTACGGATTACTA